TGTGGAAGAATTCCGTAGGGCGGGCCTTAGACTTAAAGTATACATAGAAAATCCATGTAAATTTTTAAGTTGCCCTATATTGGCTCCCCTGTACCGTGAATTCAGTTTATCTTGATAACAATTGGCTCTAACTTTTTTGTTTTAGTGATATCAACGTAAATAAAAACAAAATGTAGGGTTAGTAGCCAAATTTTTTTCCAAGTGACGTATAAAACAAAACAATATCAATTTTCTGACACATAAGTCTACATCATATTTTTTTAAATTTTTTTAATAGAATATCTCAGCATTAATACAATAGCTTTAGCATCCGTGAGAAGCGTGATATGCTTACTAGAGTATATGAAGAGACAGGTATTTCTCGGCGATCAATCCACTCAGTTTTCGTAAATTTTAATTTCGTAAAACTTAAAAACTAAGTGCAGAAAAAGGATGCAGTCAAAGCAGGATACAGTTTTGCTTGGACATTTTAATGAGAATAATTCTTTGAAAAATATTTTATGGACTGATGAAAGTTCGTTCACTACAAGAAAGGGTTGACATAGGCAATATTGGACTTTGAATAATCCAAAACAAATACATGAAATAAAAACAAATCAATTACCTCTTGATTTCTGACATACAAGACGACTATCGATGGCACCAACAATGATTTTGATTGATTCTTTCCGTAGAATTCAGTGCCGTAATTTGTCTTTTATTTGCTATCTAACGGTTTATTAGTTACGAAGCAAAGAAATATTATTTTTTACATTAATTGGAAATCATTTAAACGTTTCAGAAATACGTATAGCTGTACAAACTTGTTTTGAAAATTAAGTTAAATTTTTTTGTTTGGAGGTGATTCCTTGTCTCAAGTAAAGGCAAAGTTGTTTTATACACGTTTAGTCAAATGTGGGGAAAAATTGAAAAATTGTGTCGGCCATAGACCACAAACTATGTTATAAAAATAAAAAACTATTTTTCAAAAACGGTGTTGTCGTATGGAATAAGTTAACTGGCGCAGTCGGTAGGATCGTTAAAATAGTCGATCAATCGTTGATAGACTCAACTGACGATCGGAAAGTTCCAACAATCGGGTAGCCAAGTGAATATACGGTTTCTCATGCTGGATTTTGAAAAACTAAGCATACGTGGGTGTTTATTTCAAATAACTGAATATCCGTGGTGCTTTGGGGAACTGTCACTACATCTGGCAATTTCGTGAGGACTAGCTGCTTTGGAAAGGACAAAATAACTTACACTACGTATACCAATGTTAGACCTGCCAAAAAGTCGAAGTAGAAAATTATCTTTGTAGTAAACAATATTTGAATTAAATCAAAATAAATAACCCATATGCAGTCATGTTCTTTTGTCCTTACGAAATGTAACGATGCGCGAGCAGATCGAAACCATATTGGATCGTCCATTTGTAACTCAATTAACCCGTTCCGATTATTGGGTACTTCCTAAGAAAGAAAATCGTTATATTAACTGCCCAAACCAAATTGAAGAATTAAAACTATTTGGAATCTTCGTGGACAGCGCCAAAAGCCAAATAAACAGTACGTTTAAGGCAATACTGTTTCTCGATGTTGATATAAATAACGATTTAATACCTACATTAAATCTAAGTATCTAGGAAACCCTCCATGTGGACAATTTTGCTGATGACTTCCGATGGCTACCTAATCTACAGAAAATGTCGCCCAATGTTAAGAAGAAAGAGGGCTGGAAGAATAATGTTCATCATTCAATAAAAATTACTTTTTAAAAACGGTGTTGTCGTATCGAATAAGTTAAGTCTGGAAAAAAATAATTTTCGATTAATTAAGTATACAGGTTGGCTCAAAAAAACGCGGCGAATGACACGTACGTTTTAATTTTTTCAATTCCTTTTAATATTCTCCAACTTTTTTATTGATAATCATACATGTCTAAGCGTAATAATTTTTCCAATAGTGTAATTTTTCTGAAAAAAAATCTATCTGCTCTATTTTATGAATTTCTTACCCAGTTGTTTTTATTGGATCTTTCAGGAACTAATATATATGATTTGCCATTTAAGAAAATCGAGATTTTTCAATTTGAAACACTCTGTAGTACCTAATTCAAATTCCGTCGCATATATCTTTTACGTCATCTTCGAATAACGCTGTTATCAAATATCGATCATCTATATCGTATCAATATCAATTTTTTTTGCAAGTGTGGAACCATTTTTGTAGAGCGTTCAATTTCCTATAAAATTGACTTAATGAACTACAATTATTTATATATAAGGCTAAATCGAAATTATAAAAGTGTAATGAGGATTATCTTCCTATTAATATTAAGAGCTCATACGCAGTAAGAACTTTTTAGAGGTAACTAGCAACTAATTTTTGTGTGGCAAATTAAAAAAAAAACGTTTTTTTGCCCACCTTAGTATATCATGTCCGTTGTTAGTGAAGATGCGTTTTCACAAACCTTTGGTCCCGTTTTTTGAAACGAAAGATAATGTTGGAGAAAATTTTCATGACTTGCTTAGTTTTTAAAATACAGGGTGATTTTGGAAATTTCAATTCTGGGTAGTCATTTTTTTTCTAAATGGTTTCGTCTTTTTGAAAACAAATAAAGTTTTGGTGTTTTTGAATTTTATAGGAAAAGTCGATTAAGCTTATACAGGCAATAAAATCGTATATCGTATTTTTGAAGGTCAGATTTGCAAAAAATGCCAATATTTAACAATGTGTATGTTTCTTATTATTTCAAATAATTGTTTTAATGTCTGGGTCGTTGTTTTGGTTTATCTTTTTTAATAATTGATAGGTCGTAAAGCTACGTGAAATGGTACAATTAAAATGTTGATATTAAACTAAGTTGAAGAATATGCTGGTTGAAAAACTTACGTGCCATAAACCCATACCCGACATTGGCCAAAAAAACTTTTTTTTTTCAAAAAGACGAAACCGTTCGGAAAAAACTGACTGCCCCACTGAATTCTACGTAAAAATCTATATCGAATGCGCTTTTCACCTTTCCGACATTTCATAGGATCCCCGAGATTCGAGGAGTGCTCCAAAATTTCAAATTTCCAAAAAAAAAAACACCCAGTATTTTAACAATTAAGCAAGTCATGAAAATTTTCTTAACGTCATCTTTCGTCTCACAAAAAAGTAACAGAGGTGTGCGAAACAACGGACATACCCCTTAGTCGCGACCGAAATGCGAGAGAGTCTACACGCGTGCATCTATGGTTGCATATGTTGTTGTTATTCAAATTGTTTTTCGCTTGAACTGACGAGCGGCTTCTTATTTTGAAGACTCGCGGACCGCTGTCGATCGACTCGAATAATCATAAAGTCATTAGACGAACGATAAACCGTTCGAAATTAGTTAAATTAAATTTAAAGAAGCGCTTCTAAATGGGACACGGACCCTCCTGGAAATTAGTTTCTTTATCCGTAATTTCGCCGTTACGCGAACTATTAGTGCTTCTAATTGCTTTTTTTCCCCGCTTCCGAGTGCGGGGTTAGGGGGGAGGGCGGCGGCGGCGGCAAGACGTCGTTCCTTTAATTGGAGTGCTTCTTATTTGCAGTTTTTTTTTTTATTCGCCCGATATATTTTGCATGTAAACAGAGAAATTCGAATTAGCCGATTTAGAACGCACGCCCGGAATGTAGGCAACCAGCTGTGGCTATGAGCTGCGTGGGACAATCTAATGTTTGCACTTGCGGGTTTTCATGAGTATGAGTCAGGATTTAAAAAATAACAAAACGTTTTAATTGACGAATTGAAAAATGGTTTCCAGTTTTTGACATCAATGCTTTTTTATTAGAATTAAGTGGTATTAAAATTAATCTTAAGGGTCATTTTAAATGTGGCAACGCCAGTCAGCACAATAGGGAACTTGAACATTTTTTTATGTCTTTAATACATTTGTTTATGGAAGCTCAAAACCTAATATTTAACTTGCTATAAATAATTCGAGTTCTATTCCGTTTAAACGACAGTAAATCCGCGGGAATGATCTTGACGTCATACCGCTGCTTTCCGATCGAATTTTGTTTTGAATTCCTTTAAAACTGATTTTATTAAGTAGTAATGGATATCTAAACGTTTGTATTTACCATTTGCACATACATTTTGAAACCACTGAGATATGTTAACACTGTGTCTTTTTTAGCTTTTCTATAATTTAATTTAATTGATATGATGCGGACCTTAGTTTAGGAGTAGTATTTTTTGTAAACAATGAATAATAATAATAATAGCAGTAATAATAATAATACAATAATAAACACTTTTAAAAACACTTACAAAAACGGCAATATCGTTGATAAGAGATATTATTGATAGTAGAGAATTGAAGTAATAGTATATTATGCAGCAAGTGCGGTAAACGGCATTTGATTCAGGAGTTCATTACACGAGCGGAGCGAGTGTTTAATAAACGAGCGACTTAAAAAGTTTACCGAATGTGTTGCATACTATACTTTTTCTACGATCGGTAGTTTTTGGGTACATTTTCGCCAAGCAACACGAATACATTCACTGACATGACCGTCAGAATTGACAAGCCGTCAAAAAACATCCGATTGCTCCAGCAAATGTCCGAAGTGGCTTGGATCCGTGGGAAACGAAACTGACGTGGTAAAGTGTGTAATTAGGTATTTTACAGACGGGAGTAGAAAACATTAATTACAGCGCATTATAAAAATTAAGTACTCTTACATTTCTATACAAAACAACATGAATCTGTTATAATCACGACTCTGATAGTGAAACAGAATTACATTTAGGCATTTAGAATAATAATTTGTTATGTATAGATATTCCCAGCCATAAATTTATTGTGTATATTTGATGTCGTTGTGTTTTCTTGGTATCTTTTAATAAGATTATACCCACCTAAATAAACAAAAAAAAAACTATATTATTTCTAAAACTTTGGAAAGGTCTTCCATAATGCTCAATACCTACCGGAATCGAGTTTTATTGCCGTCTTTTTTAACGGAATTCCATTGGCTTTCCAGGTGAGACGGGAATTGCGGGAGCTGTCACTGCGATGCTCAGCGTACCAGTGGCGCCGACGTCGGCGGCCCCGCCCGTCGGTGACGCCGCTGGCATCCCGCAGACGCCTCTGGCCGCCACTACAGTTTTCGCATCGCCCGACACGGATCAAGCGCAATTCGAGGCGGACAAGAGGTCCATTTACAAGTCAGTATCGTCATAAAAAAAGTGTCTCCGTTTCGATTCCCTGTCGATTGCTTGCGTTCTGCCGTCCGCTGCCTACACTGTCGTGAAATAGCTTGGCTTATCTTAGAGGTAGTGAGAAAAGGAAGAAGAAAAATTATCCTTTCTAAATCAGCTGAGCGCGACTGAAATGGCAAAGTGATAAAGCAACTCTGTCTTGTTTTATTTCCGAATGGTGTTTATGCCCCTAAAAATTATGCTCGGTTAGGGCCGGTTCAGTCCATAAGATGGCTGCGTTTCATACCGATAAATTATCACATCTATTGTTTCTACGTTAAATAATATTGATGAAATTTTAACCGATATAACAATATTGATGTGTAAAATGGTTTTCTGTTTCTTTCATCTTAACATTGATAGTTATGAACCAGCCCGCAAGCGATATCACCAATTTGTTGTAGTGGTCGGATGGTACTGTTTATATATTTACTTTCCAGCAGAACGAAAGAAGAAGAATGACATTTGACCCTTGAGGTGCGGCGAACTGCATCGAACATAACCTAACCGCTTTTCATTTCTTTTTTTGTTTTCTTATACCGGGAAGTAAATGAGATTGTTTCTGTCGAAATATTCCCTACGATGCCGTATTTTTAGATTAGATAATGGAGGAACAAAAACAATCTGAAAACGACCATGATCGTAAAGGTTGAAACTGACGAAGAACTAAAAAGTACTGAAATAGATCCGTAAATATATACTTTTCCCCTTTTTATTTTCCCCAATTGAAGAGGAATGTGGAACTTGCATAGCTCTTTGTTTACCCGAAATAAGTTAATAAATTTCTCTATAGCAATTCCTATGATCCCTTATACATCGATATTCCAATTTTTCTCCAAAGAATCTTGAGATTGTTAAATTTGAAGAAATCTAATACAGATGGTTCATCATTATTGCTTGACAAGGATCTTTAAGTTAGCAACCGTAATTGCTAACTAGAAACACAGGAGGTATGGAATATCATTTTAAATACATATAAATAAACATTAAGCATTAAGTGCAGCTGTGAGTAAGGCTTCAAAATGATGAAGGTTTTAAGATTTTTCTTTCAAAAACATTCGTTTGAAACATACGATTTATTATTTATTCTATAATTTGATTAGTTTTATTATTAGTTTGAAGTAAAAATTTGAAAGAAGGGGTTTTTGAGGTTGCTTGTATAGGGCGCTTTTAACTTTTTTATCCAACTGCAATTTTGAATGAAAGATCTGATACATAATCAATAAATTTACAATAATAAATCAATAACAAACAACACGGTCCGTTAAACCCAATACCTTTTTTATTCCCTCACTTAAATGTTTATTTTCTGTAGATGTGGTTAGTTACCTTTTACCTAAACTAAGCCTTTTAAATGACCCCCGACAGAAATTCGTTACAACCATCCATGTGTGGAATCATTCATCCGTGAAATCTCCAACCAATCGAGTATAATTATTCCCGAAAATGAGATAGAGAGCGTGAACAGTATTAAATGAGGATACCTGAATTTGTTTCAGCTTTAGAACATTACATTTTTATGTAGAAATCGAGTTTTAAAAATCATTGTTTTTTTTCATAATTTTTTTTTCATCGCTGGCAGTAGTGTTCCTCCTACCTACTGAGATAATTCTTTTTACATCCACCTAACTTTTCAGGCACCCACTGTTCCCACTTCTAGCTCTTCTTTTCGAACGTTGCGAACTAGCTACGCAGTCTTCTGAGCCCCAATCTAGCGACGCTTTCAATCTAGACATACAAGCCTTTGTTCAACACCAGGAACGCGATAGGAAACCATTTTTAGCCAATGAACCGGAAATAGATGGTCTGGTGAGTGTCCAATATTTATAAATTCGGCGTCTCACGGAAATTATCGGAATAAATTAGACTCAATGTTACTTATGAAGTAGTTTTCATATTAGAGCGTTGGTAACATTGAAACCATATCAACAACGAACAATGAGTATATTGAATGACTTCAAAAGTGCCTAAATTATCAGTAAAGGCATATTGCTCGAAAAATTTTAAATACAAAAGGACCAGGATGAATCAATAAGAGAGTAAAGTTTTTTTTATCTCATTGGTTTTAAATGATCAATCCCAAATTTGTAAAGATTGTTTAGGATGCACAATTTAAAACTATTTTAAAGTATTGCAGGGTGGCTTAAATTTTGTTTTGAAATTCTTCAATTTTTTTATTAATAACAATACATACCTACAAAAAAATAATTGATGTTATATACGTCTGAATTTTGAATGAAATAAACAGTGTTTCGTTTTAAAATTCGATTCCTGATAAAAACTAAAAATTGCCTTTACGTTGGACAAAGACAGTAGCAAAGGTATGTAGATATTTTCTCATGCTGATGTGATGTAATGTATGTCATTAGGAATTTCAATTATTCACCAAAATTAAAGTTAACTTTGTATAAAATAGTCGATACCACTTTTATTGTGTAAAAGAGCATTGTGAAGCAACTCGATTTTCAATTTAACAAATATTTACTTCGTTTCAGATGATAAAAGCCATACAGGTGTTACGGATACACCTATTAGAATTAGAAAAAGTTCAGGAGCTTTGTAAAGATTTCTGCAACCGTTACATAACATGTTTAAAGGGCAAAATGCAATCGGAAAATCTGCTCCGTTCGGATTATCCGCAAGGTAAGGAACACTTTCAGGTTGGCGTAATAAATATAGTCCTTTCGCAAATAAATGGTTTCGGGCAATTGAATGCAATAAAACTACCTGTGCTGCTAAATGAGCAATGGAAAACAATTGTAGTGCCGGGTCGAACTACAAGATGGACATCACTCATTAACACATTTTTTAAAAAATTGGTAAAGTTAAAAAAAAAAGAAACATACGTTCTTGGCTGTGTAAAGTACCGACATTTAAACATGCAATTCTTTTAACCTTTCATTGATACACGTCTAAAGTTTCCTATAGTCAAAAACCTGACAACACTGTTGTTACCATTTTTCAATTCTGTATGTTCAAAAACCTCCAGATATTGAACTTTGTCGTCTCAGCTTGGAGTGCAGTGTGTCCCTTGCTCATTAAACCTTCGTGAACAACACTTCCTAGTAATGCCAGAGCTTATTCCATTCCCTTCCATTTACACTTAACTGGGACTCGGATCTTTACCCTTCATTTTTGTTTTAATGGGATTCTTTTCACAGACTTCAAGGGTTTCTTAGGCAAATCATATAATTCTTTTGCAGCGGCACTAGCGTTAAGTCTTCTATTTTAAGTGAAGAATTATAAACACTATTTACAATTGGCTCGGCATCGAGAGATCAAGCATACAGCGATTATACTGTTCACATTCCCTTAGAAATTATAGCTAAACCTATACCGACATCTATCCGCCAATGGATAAATTAACCGTCGACCTCATTGAAGTAGATTCCTACGTCCTCGCTAGAGTGAGCCACAGACTACCAAAAAAGGATCAAAACGGTGCTGGTTGAAAACACGAACAGCGTTGCCATCTCTAAGGAATTTTCACTATTTTCAGGGAATCATGGAAAACTACTTGAATTATTCTTCTTCATAAAACATAAATTTAGCATCGTCTTTTATATCCAAAATTCATTTTTTTCTCTTTCAGAATGCAAGAACATAAGTTTTGCTAAATCTGAAACTGGTAACTACCACTGTCAGTTATAAACAAATATTTTGTTCTTTAGTGACGCGCTGCTTCAATTATAAATTTTTGAATGTTGCTTTTATGTTAAAAACGCATACATCTCAAAAACTATCAGATTTGGGTATAGGACATATTGTACAAGAAATGTGCAGAATTTTTAGGTGGTTTTATTCGTTATGTTATATATTATTTGTGTAATATACAGGGTGTTCCGTTAAAAAATATATAACTTTAATCAGTGGATGATTTCTGCAAAAACCTTGTATAGATAAAAATATATCTTGCAAATATTTTTTGAACAATTTTTAGAGGGAGTAGATGGACATTAAAAAAAAATTCAGTAAGTAAATACATAAAATTAGTGCATCTAAAAAATCTAGGGAACTAAGCGTCAATTTGGGGAAATTTCAAAGGCCGCGTAGGGAATTTATCGTGACATTTGGTGACAACGCCGAACGAGAAGGTGGCCGTTTGCGAGTGGTTTATCCTGTACAATGTAATTTTTCGTTATTCAATAGCAAATGGTAGTTGCTAAGAACAATTTATCTGTGAAAGCACTCTACAGAGATGATAAATAGTCGAATGTATTCAAAACCATTCTGGATAAATAATCCAGTCAAAATAAGTCAAAACTTAGGCAAAATTCGCATAGAGCTGAAAATTGGCAGAGACTTTAAATATACCCTTGCATTCGACTTTCCTCGAAACGAAATTTACAAAAATGTTTTTTTTTCTAACGACTCATCGTGAGATATCGCAGTTTCTAATATTCGAAAACTCATATTTTATATAATATGCACACATTTCCACACCAGCTATGTGTTTTCCCCAGTAGGTATACTCCACGATCTATTGTAATGAAGAATATTTGATCAAATCTTATCGTATAGATGTTGTTTCAATAGATAATTATCTACGTCCATATCAACAATTATTTCTTTATCTTCATATTCTTCTCTCCGTTTGCTGTTCTAAGAAAAGGGATGCACCAATTGTCTTTTCACTAAAATCATAAATAATTTCCTCTGATGAACTTGATTCAAGATGGGAGCAAGTCTGCTCATTGCCTAGCCACAGTTGAACTTGATGATACACACGATACAAATGCTGATAGGGAGCTTGACGTTTTGGATATGCAGTCAGATTTTGTGATGAATGTATTGTTGATTGTACTTGAGCTTTCCTTTCCTTTCCTTGGTTTTAGAAAGTAAACAATTTTTTCATGTTGAGTCCGTGCACCCAGTAGTATCAACAAATCAACATGTTCCCCAACAACTACAGTATACACCGAATTATCTCTTTTACTTCCTTCAAAAATAGGAAGGTATACTTTGACCAGAAATATAGTGCTTTTACAACGGACCCCGTGAATAACTTTGCCTACTGTTTATTACCCCAAAACCGAAGCCCTTTATTATTGTATTATTATATTACAGGACCGTCCTAGGAATTTATCAACCTTTTTCGCCGAGCAATTCTTGAAACGTACATAAAAGAAATAGTACATTGCGTTCTGTGTTTCTTCTGAATTTCTTATAAAATTTTAAACATTCAAAACAATTTGTTTAGGCTGAGGTAGTTCGTCTTTTAAATTGTCATTAGGTCCGACTGCCATCTCCACTTTGTCTTCATATTCTGCGTTGTTTTCCATGTCTTCTTGTAACAGGGGAACATCTGCTTAATTCCACGCCCTTCACATTTTAAAGTGTTAAAAGACAGGAAGAAACCTTCGAAAAATAGTAATCTGTATTTTTATGACTTACCTTAATCTACTGCGCATATAATAGTCTTAAAGAAGTGGGAAAGGGAATTAATTAGAGACCTACAGCATAATCGTTATATTTTTATTTATATTAAACGTCCGACGACATGTATAGGCTGCGTTTAAATGCACATCATGTAAAATATAAATTTTCTATTAGTGACGATATCTCACGATTGGTGAGTCGTAATAAAAAAAGTGCCTGAACAATTTTTTTAGTACGATCTACAATTTTTGTCAGACCCATTTTCACGAAAAACTAACAGATTTCGAGAAAAATAGAAAAATCAAATCTAAGAGGATTTTTTGACATTTCATGTATAATGGTGTACTTAACGTCTCTGGCAATTGTGGGTAGGTCAAATGTTTATTTTGACTGGATGAAAATATGATTCTTAAGGACATTGCAATTGTTTTTTTTTAATTTTTCATTTTTAGATATTTTAGGTACGGGAATGATCAACAACATCGAGAGCAACAACAACAGCATGATGTCGCACGGCAACTCGGAAAGCGGTTCCGCATCGAACAGTCCTGTTCAGTATTCGATCAGTCCATCTCACGTGGTAAGTTGGTGCACCAAATAATTCCCTCGGAAGGATAAACTGTATTAAAATTTTCATAATTTAATTATAAATAGCTAAACTAAAACATACTCGATAAATTTTTTGAGATACCGGGCAGAAATACGAGAAAATAAGTATAGCCCCACACACAATAAATCGTCTGCGGGACTTTGTCGAAAGACTTTTCGAAATCTAAATAAATTGCATCAACCCGCTGATTTTTATCTTAGTTTTTCGTCCAGTCATCTAAGCATTTTGTTAAGTTCCTGATTCGAGGTAAGAAACCATGTCGATACCATGATATAGTATTATTATTTACGCGTATCTCTACACTTAAGCGTGGGAAATTTTAAGCCACTTGATACAAAACCGTGACGATAACAGAGATTAAACTGAGGTGGCTTTTACTTGATGAAAATCCATTTAACAAAATAAATGAGAATTAAAAGTTCAGATTTTCACGAAATTATATATATTATTTACAAACTACCTGCTACTTTATATACCGAAAAATGACAATAAAACCTTAATTAATGTTGTTGTGAGAATTTAAGTTTAATAATGAACAGGTATTTAAATCGAATTGAACGTTAACCATACATACTTTTTGTGACTGTATGTCAAATATCAAAATTGTCAAAAATGTGTTTTTCCGTGTTTAAGTGTGTAGCATAATTAGAATCTAGACTATTGTTTTTAACCGCTCTTTTATGTTCGTTAATGCGTTTCTTGAAGGATCTACCTGTATGTCCAATATAAATTTTAGGTCATGACCCGCATTTCAACCTGTAGACAGCTGATTTTTGAGATTTTGGACACTTCGTTTTATAGTTTTTTAAAATTTTTCCTATTGTGTTGTTAGTTCTGAAACTTTAAACCACCTTTTGACAAATGTTTTGAAACTTTTTCACTGGGTTCTCCTATGTATGTAATTGTTTTAAATTGTTCGTGTTTTGTATTAGGTTTCGGATAAATAGAGTTTACTGTTGTCTGGGTTTGTTTTTTATTTATAATTTTATCGATAATGGACGAATTGTAGCCGTTGTTCAGTGCAATTTGTTTAATGATATTAAGTTCTTTGTTGTAATTTTCTGTTGAGAGTGGCGTATTAAGAAGTCTGTGTGTATAAGGGTGATTTGAGCTGTTATGTATGATTGTGTCCGTGTGTGAAGGTTTATGGTAAATTGAAAAATCTAATTTGTTTTGCGCTTTCGTAATAGTTAAGTCTAAAAAATTAATAGAGTTATCCTGTTCAATCTCGATAGTGAATTTTGTAAGATTATGTAATGCGTTAATGTAATTTAAAAAAGAATTCAATTGTCTGTCCGTTCCAATAAAACAAGCAAAGACATCACCCACGTGTCTATACCACCATAGAAAGCTTTTACTTAAAGGATGTTCTAGTATGATATTTTCCAAATTATCCATAAATATCTTTGTTAACAAAGGACTAAGTGTAAGTAACCTTCCTTAGAGATGTAAATCTGTCCATTAAATTCAAAATAATATTGGTCTATAGATATTATTAAGCAATCTAATAAATCTTGTTTCACCAATGGGTTAACCTGTTTCCGAATGAGAGTGAAATCTACTAAATCTATCACATTCATAGGTGGAATACTGTGAAATAAGTTTTGTACATCAAAAGACAATGGTGTTGCGTTAGAGGGGTTTTGATATCTTTAACCTTGTTGATTAATTCAAAAGAATTTTGTATTGCAAATTTTTGGTTTAAAATCTGTGTGGAACTTTAAAATATTTACTAATTTTGTTGGAGCTGTTATATGAGACACGACTGGTCTAATGGGCATATCTTGTTTATGTAATTTAACTAAAGAATATAATTTCGGCGGTTGTGGATTCATAATTGTTAAAAAATACTTGTCTTTGTCACTAAATAGTGTGGAGTTACTAATTACTTCCTTGACTTGTGTTTGATATAACTCGGTAGGATCGCGTTTGATACATTTGAAAAGTTCTGGTTTAAGAAAATTGTTGGTTTTTGAAATATATTTTGGGAGATCAATAGCTATGACTGTCTTCCCTTTATCTGCATGTGTAAATATTATGTTATTTTCAGAAACTTTTGGATAGATTTTACTAGTGACATTTGAGAACTTTCTTGGTGTTTGTTATTATCTATTAATTGAGATTTTATTATATTCGCTGATACATGTTTGTTTAAATTAGAACCGTTAATGTCCTTAATTGCTAATTCACAGTCGATCCCTAAACAGTCTAATTCTCTATCAGTGTTCGAGTGCTGGAAGTTAAAGTTGAAACCTTTTTCCAGAAATTCAACTTTATTTGTAGACAATGTTGTGTCCGTTAAGTTTATGAACCTGTTGTAAAATTGGTGGTCGGTATACTTTGTAATAACTGGCTTGCTGTTAGATATTTTTGTAATAGAAATTAATTTGTCTAACTTTAGTTTTTGTCTAAGTCTAAGAATTTTGTTATGAATGACAAATGAAGTGTCTGTTCGAACTCTATAATCAAATGTGTCAAATTCTATGGGATTATGTCTATGTTTTCTGTGTCTTACTTCATCCATTTCGTCTGGCCTTGGATCTGGGCTTTCCTTGCAGCGGCACTTCTGTTGTTGGCTTTTAATTTAATAAACTTGGGAAAAACCTTATTTTGTAGACATTTGCTAAAATTTATATTGGACAAACAGGTAGATCCTTCAAAAAACGCATTAACGAACATAAAAGAGCGTTTGAAAACAATAGTCTAGATTCTAATTATGCTACACCCTTAAACAATTTTGATATTTTACATACAGGCACAAAAAGTAGAAAATTAAATTTATTGGAAGCCATGGAGATTAACAAAATGAGACATTCGAATGTATTTCTTAACGATCAATTAGATTTAAATATGTCTCCATTATTAAACTTAAATTCTCATAACAACGTTAATTTTCGCTATATATAGTAGCAGGTAGTTTGTAAATATTACATATGATAAAGACACGGTGTTGTCGAAACAATTGTCATGTCAGTATATGTAATTCATTGAACATCTCAACTTTTAGTTCTTATTTATTTTGTACAACAGAGTTGAAAACTGGCGATTTGGTTTAAGGCGATGCCCCCGCAGCCCCATTTGGAGAGGCCGACGCCTGGTAGCGTGAACCTCGAAGCCACGCCCTACGTCCTGCCCCACTACAATGGGCCTACCACGCCCCTAGCTCAGTCAGGGCCTGCGCAGTCGCCTGCCCTAGTCGCCGAATCTCTAGTCGTACATGGATCCACACCGCTCTCGCAGATAGGTGCCGGTTTATGTCAGCCGATAGCGGCGCCACCGTCGGAAGGATCCGGACCTTTGTCACCCGCTCCCACCACCCCCGGGGGCAGCAACGACGACTGCGATAGCGATTTCTCGCGTGGCGGCAGGAAACAAAAACGAGGCGTGTTACCGAAACACGCGACCAGCGTGATGAGGTCGTGGCTGTTTCAGCATTTGGTCGTAAGTGACGTCGAAATCGAATTTTTCGAAAGTATACGCGCTTAGCAACGAAACTTCTATCTCGGCAACGGTAGGTCCTAGGGGACCACCATTGGTACAGAAATGATCAGCGTCGAAAAAAAAAAGTTTTTTTTTTCTGTTTTCCGTTCTCCGTTATCCGGTCTCCGTCTGTAGACCTGGCCGTAACGGTTTGCTAAACAGCTATCAAATTTGGCTCCTTTTAAGCCGTGCACGAGCTACACAAACCAGTAAAAAATGGGTCCGCTCAAACCACGGCGTCCATCTTTTTTTTTAGATTTTCGTCTGTTTTTTGGACTTCACTATGAAACAAGTTTTTTGAAGCTATCCACTTGAAATTTGACACATATATAGAGTTTAGCTCCGTAACGAAGCCTATTGAAACTGGAGGGCTAGAGAGTCGAGAAGTATTTTTAAAAAATTAAAAACTGCAATTGCAGGGTATCGAAAAAGTTCTTAAACCAAACGACGTGCAAGATCCGGACCAAAAACCTTTATTCTTGGTGATTTTTTAAAAATATACAGGGTGCATCGGTAATTTTCAAAAAACTGAACATTGGTCTCTCTTTGTAATGGTAATTAACCATAACAAGAAGGCTGTGATTCTGTTGCTAGTTAAAACTATTGTATTTAAAGTTTTTACATACTGTACATGGTGTTCGGGATATTCCGTGCTATATTCAAAAACGTTATAAGTGACCCCAATATGTTGCTATCGATTTTAAATTTGGCAAGGAAGTAAAAGTCCGTACTCACATCTAAACAGTAGAATTTGAACTTAATCAAGTATCACCAAATATTTTTTTAAAAATTTTGAAAAATTTTCTTTGAATATTTTGGCTTCCAGATAAACATGATTTTCTCAAAAACTGTTCAACCGATCGGCAAAATTTTAGAATCAGGAAATGCAGGAGATCCGGGGTTATCACTTTCATTTCAGACATTTTTTCGATTGCTTACAGGGTTTTTCAATTATGGACAAAAATCTAAAAGACCATGAAAATCGTTCTTTTCGCTATTAAATTATTAGCCGTAAATCAAAATACGTGAAAAATATGGCCAATCTTGTTTCTGAATGTGGGAGGGTAATCAACTCTAAATTTCCAATGCCAGGGATCGTTAATGTATGATTTTGTTACTCGGTGGTTAGTGCATTAAGGTATCGGTCTATGTGTGTAGGTTTTCTTAAAACTCAATGTTAGGTCTAATTTTCTATTGAAAAAAATTTCTAAGAATGTGAGATTATCGTGAGTTCCTAATTCAGTGGTAAAATTTATGTTAGGGTGAACACACCTCTTGTTTGAAAGCGGCAGACAATGATTCATTCGGTATAAATGCTCAGAAATTGTTGAACTTCCATTGTCTTCCAGACTGCAGCAGGTGTACTTGATAACAGGTAGTGACACATCTGCCCGAAACAAAAAATAAAGACAAGAAGCTATTTTTAGCGTATGCACCTCAAAGGCACACATAAATTGTTTTCTTCGATTCTAAACTAAGTTTTGTGACACATTTTACGGAAGTGGTCCAAGCAAGTCCTTGGGTTTGTTGTACGGAATAGTGGTCAACTTGCCTTAAACTCCTTTATATCTCTTTGGTTCGCTCTAGACTGGAACACGCGTCTCTGGTATGTCTGCTATATAGATAACATCGAAGCCGTTCACAAAGTATTTTTAACATCTTTGGCTTCAAAGGCGCATATCAATGGGTATCAAATCAACTACAGTTGATATTGATACTATTCAAACCAGAAGATTTTAGAGTGATTTAGTTTTTCTCGTTAAGATTTTGAATGGTTCGTATTATTATCCAGCTCTTTTACAGAGCATACAATTTGACCCAATATTACGGAAGCTGTGATAACTCAACGTTCCGCATACCTTACCATCGCGCAAATTATGGAACTTATTCACCCCTTACTAGAAAGCTGAAAACGCGCAACTGTCCAAAGCTTGATCGTTCTGACGCGTTGCGTTTGAGTCATTCCACTTAATTCTATTTACTGTTATTGTTAAATTTTGTTTTTGTTTGATTCTATCTGTTGTACTGCTGCCTTTCTCTATATTTGCCTTTAACGAATGCAAAAGTTTTATAAATTGTTTAAATCATAAGTAAATAAATAAACACTTAACCACAACCTCTCAAAGACAATGAGTCCAAAAGCAACCGCACACTTACAAGTGTTGTTTTGCCTTACATTCAAAACATCACTGACCGCATATCAAAAGTTCGTAAGAAATATAAAGTTAAAATCAGATTTACCACTTATCTCTCAACATCTTCGACCAAGAATATCAATTAGGCTAAAAGAACATGAAAGGCACTTAAGACTACTTAAGTATTACTAGAGTATATGAAGAGACAGGTATTTCTCGGGGATTAGTCCGCTCAGTTTTGAAAGAATGTAAATATAATGCATTTAAATTTCGTAAAACTCAAAAACTAAGTGCAGAACAATGTTAAAGGAGGATGCAGTTTTGTTTGGATTTTTTAAATAGTGTCGGCGGAGTTTAATCAGCAGTGAAATCAAACCCGAAGTTCTGATTAAGAACTTTAATGAAAAGAAATCACGATTCACAGAATACTATTAACAAAAATGGATAAACGGGAAGAAAATCAAAAAGGTACTAAGTGCAACTTGCGTTGTTGTACTTCGCGGCGGTATTTTGTCTACGCGATGTAGATCCCGATTCTGGCGAATTTTCCGGCGGGGCGCGAACAAAGGCAGTTGCCATGGTTACGGACGGACAGTTGGCTCGCGCGGCATAACTAGCCCATTCACTAGATCGAGAGTCAGCAAAACTTTTATCTAACAAATAGATATAATGAGAATAATAAATTTTTGAAAAACATGTTATGGACTGATGAAACTTCGTGCACTACAAGGAAGGGACTTTAAATAATCCTAGACAAATACACGAAATAAAAACCCAGGGGTAAAGTCTGTTCATAGATATAAGAAAGTGACTAACTGATACGAATTAAGGAAAGACCCGGACAAGCCGTAAGAATGAAATATGGCCGAACAGGTCCGTACTTTGCTTAGAATTTAATTATTTGGGGTTTTGTTAGGAAAGATACTAACCAATATTTATTTGTTTATGTATGTAAATCAATCTAAAATAAAATTACAAATAATTTTTATTACTTACTTAAATTACTTAAAATTATTCACATAATATATCATCGCCTGTTCTAATTATTATTTGTTCTATATTATTTGCAATATGGATATACGATTGTTCTGCTTTTTCTATATGCTTAACAGAATTTGCCCAACTTTGTGGAGGGATGTTAAAAACTTCGGTTTCTATAAGTTTGAGGACATTGGACTTAACACGGGGAAAAACATTGTTACGACGAATGGCAGATTTCAGTTGGTGCCAAATATGTTCAATGGGATTAAATATACAGTGGTAAGGTGGAACCTTTAACACTCTATGCCCTAGATTTTTTGCATAATTATCACAGACGTATTCCTTTTGTAGGTTCAAGCTTTTTAGAACCTCAATTAATTGCTTTTTAGTATAATCTTCGTGAAAGTAAACGTCGCTTTTATACATATAGTTTTGGATTGTTGCTTTTGTGTTACATGAAGAAGGGGTTTTAGTCAAATGTCTACTGTGATAACTTGCACTGTCCCCTACAATTACGCTATTAGGAGGAATGTTTGGAACTAGTTTGTTTTTAAACCAACTTTCAAATAAATCAGCGGTGGTGTCTTCATGGTAATCCAGAGAAGAATCTTTAATATTTTTTGCAGACAGAGAAAGTCCATTTGGAATCCAACCGTCTTTAGAGCCAGCATAGTTATTCTTTTACCTCTTTGCGCGTTTGTTTTACACTTATCAATTGAGTCAACCCAACCCTTTTCCAGGGTAACATAAGTGTCGAACCAGGTTTCATTCAAATAAATAATTGGCCTTTGTTGTTCTCTGTAAATCCTAATTTTTTCTAGATATTCCAGTCGCCATTTCCGAATTCTAAAAGATTCCATTAAAACTTGCCTTTTGTCAATTTTTTTAAATCTAAAACCCATAAGGTAGTTCTGCCACATTTAACACCGGTTTCATCTTTTTCAAGCCTCCTCATTAAGATATCTAATGTAGGCACGCTTTGTTCCTCGTATAACTGGTAAATTTTACGCCGTATTACATCTTGATCACTTTCATCTACACTCGAGAAAATGCCTCTCTTTTTTTTTCCTCGCTGAAATGGGATTATTCACAATTTTCCATACAGTTGATGTTGGAATTTTCGTCAATGTGGCCGTTTCTTCTAAAGATGGCACCACGTTCAATGAGAGTCAAATAAACATTGTTTATAACTTCCTTAGTCTCAATAGAATAGTGTTTTCTACATTTGGGCGGGAGCATCTCCTGAGATACACACATATTCTGCATAATTCGCACACAATTCAACACACGCTGTATTACACACGAAATAAGAATGATTACTAATCAACTTAAACTAAGTAGTATACCAAACCAAAGAATATTAAACACAGGTTTGAATTTAAATTCCGAAACTTTAGGTAATAATCTTGTTGCATTGTATGTTAATGACCACCTTTGGATAATCCCATTCAAAAGCATTTGGTCACTTTCTTATATCTATGAACAGACCATACCAATCAATTAATGTATGGTGTGGTGTCATAGATAGGCATATTATAGAATAAAATTTAACTGGAGATCATTATTTGTAATTCTAATATAATATATAGAAGATTTACCCCTAAATATATCAGCGCTGATTAGATGGCAGCAAAACGGTGCCCCTCCTCACAATGTTGTGCAAGTTAAATATTTTCTTAACATAAATATTTTTGCCGATTTGTCAAAAACGAGTGGACTAAAATGTAAATGTGTAATCGGAATAAGATATTCTATTAACCAAAATATAATACACAGGGTATTCCATTTAAAATATGATGTAGGCTTATATGTCAGAAAATTGATAGTGTTGTACGCACGGTACAAAATAAGACTGTTCAGTTCAATTCAAATTCGATTTATCTACAACCGACACAGGAGAAATTTAAAAGATCACCATCGCTTGGTGAGCAGAAACTCGTAAATATTTTCCAACATTCTCATTCATTTTTTTTAGATATCTAAATCTAATCTAAATATCTAAAATCATTCGTTTTTCCAATACCGTACCTCGTGGCCCTTATTGAACTACATGGTATAATCGAAATTCAAACAGCTCTCGGATTATTATCGAAATAATTATTAAAGGCATTTTCAAGTGCCAAGATTTTGCAACGTACACCTTTTTTCCGTCAACCCATAATTAATATAATTGTCAAATAATCATAATTTAGAAATTAATTAATGAATTAAGGATCGGACATCATAGTATATAAATATCGATTTAAATATTCCTTTCTTTGTCTAGAGGTTGAACTTGAACTTTTTGTAATTGTTTTTAACTCCTCCTTCGCAACCCCAAGGCTAGGAAAATTTTATGACTCTGTATTTTGCTGGGAAGTGAATAATAATTATTATTATTATTCAGTAATTTCGATCGGACATGTGACAAATTTTCAGCACCCGTACCCTACCGAAGACGAGAAACGCCACATTGCCGCCCAGACGAATCTGACCCTCCTCCAAGTCAACAATTGGTTCATAAACGCGCGTCGACGTATCTTGCAACCGATGTTGGACGCCAGCACACCAGCCGGACAAGATGGCGCGCGGGCTGGTTCGCCTGGCGGCGGCAACGCGAAAAAGAAGAAGAGTCAGAACAACAACCGACGATTCTGGCCGCAAGATTTCGCCAACATGCAGCCTCAACTCGATAGCGGTAAGTGCTGGGGAAAAATTCGCTTTTGATGACGCAGTGTACGAGGTGTGTTCAAAAAGTAAGGGGACTTTTGTAATTGGGCTCGCTACGCGCATTCTATTTTCAATATACAGTGAAAACTCCCTATAGCGAAACTCTATATAACGTAAAACTCTATTAGGTCTCCATACAAAGCTATGTATAACTCTCACTCTCTATACCGAAAGAAAAAAGGGCACATCAGGTAACAAAGTAATGAATATAGGCCGACTAGATGATAACGTACACCGTCGACTGTATCCACGATTTGCAAGTGCAAAGAAAAAATCATTCAGGCTGAAGATCTGAATGGGGCAATATTGCAGTGGTTCCAACAGCAAAGACTTCAAAATGTACCACTCTCTGAACCTATCGTAAAACTAAAAGCAGAAAAGTTTGCTGAACAGCTTGGCATTATCGATTTCAAGGCTTCGGAAGGATGGTTGGGGAAGTTCAAACAGAGACATGGTATAAATTATGGACAGATAAGTGGCGAAGCCCGTGATGTCGACAGAAACGTCACTAACGATTGGTTGTAGAAGACGTGGCCAAAAGTAGCAGAAAAGTACCCTGCTGACGAAACTGTTATTTTTTACAAAATGACGCCAGATAAAACTCTTAAATTTCGAAGCGAAAAGTGTGTGGGTGGAAAACTTTCTAAAGAACCTATAACAGTGTTAGTAGCTGCCAATATGAGCGGGAGAGAAAGAAGAAAGCTAGTCGTGATTGCAAAATCAACTAACCTACGATGTTTTAAGCACATCAATTTTTGAAGAAGAGATCCGGAAATGATATGTAGAATTGAAGGGGAGGAAAATATTACTTCTCTTAGATAACTGCCCTGCACATCCCCATATTCCAAATCTACGGAATATTGAATTGGCATTTCTTCCAGCCAAAACAATAAGTGTATTGCAGTTGTTGGATCAGAGCGTAATAAAAAGTCTTAAGAGTCGATACATTTTAATGGAAGTGATGGAGTCCGAAGACAAATTTTCCATTTATGTGCTAGATGCAGGCAACTTTATTAGTAAAGTTTGGAAAGAGGTGACAGCAGAAAAAATTCGACATTCCTATCGTCATGCAGGACTTATTACCGAGACAAAAAGCGAACAGGACTTGGAAGTGGCTTAGCGAGTGGATCAAGCAGTTTCAAACAACAATTACGTTTACAAGTTAGGAGTTGCAAGATTTTATGGTGATAGATCAAGATTTGCCTACAACAGCAGACTTGGCAGAGGAAGCCATATTTCAATAAGCAAGAAAGGGTGAGGAAGAGCACCAAGAGGAAGAAGAAGATGAAGAAGTTGATCTGGGACCACCACCAACCATTCATTTAAGCTGCTAAACAAATTTTTTATGTATCAAGGGGAAGATGCCCCTCTCCAAGGAATGGTGAAAATACAAGCCGAAGTACGAGATGCGTACTGGCATACTAAAAAAATTCAAAAGAAAGTGACTGATTATTTGAAACAATAAATGTAGTTCTTAAATATTTATATAAAATATTCCTAAGTACATGTTAAAATCTGTATATAAAATAATTAAATATTACAGAACACATATGCGTATTGTCATTTTTCAAGTGCCTATAACGAAAAAAAAGCAGTCCCTTCAATTTCGCTATATAAAGTTTCGACTGTATTTGTCGGAGATCGTAAGAGATAATCAACACAAATATAATCAAAATAAAAAACTAGAAATAAAATCCCGGCTTCTGATGGCGAGCGATCTCACCAATTTGAAGGAGACTCCGCCTTAGCTTTTCGCCCGAGGATTAAGCGAAACATGGAATAACTCGCTACATATTAAACTATTTTAATATCAAACTGCCTTATGTCCGTCACTTATGCGTGCATAAAATTTCGAAGGCCGTTTATAGAAAATTTCAGAACTATAGGGCAATGACAAAGATCGTTTGCCTAGTCATCCTTACAATATAGCATAGCAACAAAACAGCAAACATTTTAAGTGACAAAATATTTTTTTATGACTCCCATAAATCCACAGTTGCAGTTCATCCATTAAACAATAACGCGTTTGTTTAGAACTGCACTAATCGCGGTCATTATAGTCACTTTCACTGTCCGAATGTTAGCGAAAAGTGCTGATCCCACTTCTGATGTCGGAGGTCGTAAGACATAAGCAAAATAATATAATAAAAACAATAAAATAGAAAAAAATGCCTGGTGGGCGGGTTCAAGGCGACATTGGGTTCGACTTCTCGGACATATGAACAGAATGCACTACACAATGTTTAAAAGAAATGAATAATCTAATCACTTAATTGATTCTGAAAGGGAATTCAATGATCCGCGAACCGATCGATCAACTATCAAATAGCCTATCCAAAATAAACTATCGGAGCTACTCAAAATCGCATCTAACCAGTGCTTTTATAAATACCAAAGTGGGTCCACAATATTACGAATGACAGAATTATAACTGATAACAAAACAAAATATGGGAAAAACAACGGCACATTGTGAATCTACTTCGAGCAAAAAAAAAGTTTATAAGTGGTGACTGCTCCAAGATGGCCAAATGGCGAACCTCGCTCGGGACGCCCCAGCACGTTAATAACTGACGAAGGCGTCAAAGAAGTGAAACAAATGGTACTGAAAAATCGTCGAATCCCTTTAAAAGAAATGGATGAAGACGTAGGCATCTCTATTCTCTCGTGCCATGCAAAGGACGTCAATGATATGCTCAAAAAAGTCATAACTGATAACGAATATTTTAATACGAAGAAAACTTCCGAAATTGTGGGAAAATAATTCATGGATTTTGCATCCCGATAATCTTGTGTCTAACTTTTTGGCCAAAAGCAAAACCAAAATCATGCCTCAGCCACCATATTCATCTGATGTGGTCCCCTGCGACTCTTACCTGTTCAGAAAGATTCAAATAATTCAATTGTCTATCAATTATTTTAAATTGTTCATGTTCTGTATTTGACTTGTTTTTTATTTATAATTTTATCGATAATGGTCAGATTGTGGCCGTTGTTAAGTGCAATTTGTTTAATGATATTAAGTTCTTTGTTGTAATTTCCTGTATATAATTGTGAAAATGTGAAAATCTAAATTTTTAGTTCTTATTTATTTTGTTAAATGGATTTTCATCAAGTAACGACTATAACACACATTACACTAATGGCAAAGCGTAAATGTTTTAAAATTTCTAAGGGGGCGGCCTTACTATCGGTTTATTGAGGGTGTTGTTTTACGATAAGCCAGGCAAGCCATTTATTTTGTGCGAGAACTACACCTACAAGTTCAACGAAAGTTCCTATGAAACTTGCAACCATGTTTCGTTTTAACAGGCATCTTATCGAGTTCGGAGGACGAAGGCGATTCGTACAGTAGCGACGAAGAGGAGGGCGGGCTAGTGATAGACTCTACGCCGCAGCAAAGCGGTAGCAGTGAAGCGAACCAAAACGGACGGCAAAGCGATCAACCGTTGCCCGTGTACGGGAACGCGTCGGACGCCGAACCTCAGTCGCAGTAACGCCAAAATCGATTAAACATGTTCCTCAGAACCGACCGGGCATTACGGACTTTATTGCAATAGGGAAAACAAAAACCAATAATATAGACTCACCGGCGTGAAAAACTGAAAAAAGAAGTTAATGTTTTGCGATATTTTATTGAAAAAGTGAATTCTTTTTGAGGAATAAGTTTCCTTCTAATATATATATATATATATATATATATATATATATATATATATATATATATATATATATATATATATATATATATATATATATATATATATATATATATATATATATATATATATATATATATATATATATATATATATATATATATATATATATATATATATATATATATATATATATATATATATATATATATATATATATATATATATATATATATATATATATATATATATATATATATAATCTAGTCCCTTTCTACCCGTAGGGTGCATGCAATTTAGCCAAGTTGTCTCCTTTCAATCAATTCTTCTATGGACTCCACCTTTAACTCTTCTCCAATTTTGACCCTTCTGGTTATTCCCTTCACTGTCCTCAAGTATTTCATCTCTGCTGCTCTAATTTTGCTCTATTCCCCATCTGACAATATCCAAGATTCGGAGCCACATGTAAGGATTGGTTTGTAAATTGTTTTATAAATTTACATTTTAGTATCCTTTTTAGTTATGAGCCCCTTACCCAATGCATTTGCCTTTTCTAATCTATTATTTAATTCTGTGTCCTGTCCTCCTGTTTCTTCCAACATAATTCCTAAGTACTGGAAACTACTAACTTATTCTATTAGTGTCCCGTGTATTCTAACTCTAAATTCTCTTTTTCGTTTAACAGTAACTTTGGTTTTATTTATGTTCATTTTCATTCCGTTTTTTGTTAATACCTGATCCCAGTTATTTAGATTTTCTTCCAGATCCTTCGAGGTTCCTGGTTATATCATCGGCGAAGGCACATTCCGATCTAATTGTCGGTATCCAACGTAAAGGTCTTTTGATCGCTGTTCTGCCATTCTAATTAGATCGTCCATATAAGTTATGAAAATAGCTCAAATTACCCCCTTCTCTCATTCCTTCTTGTGTTATAAATGCCCTGGATCTTATGTTTTTACTTATTACGCAATTACTTGTTTGTAGATGTGAACACGTGATCCTGGGCACTTCTGCCTTTCCGGAACCCACTTTGCGTTTCTCTTAGTTTTGGTTCTATTTTTGATCGTGATAGGGTTTTTATTGGTGTTGTCTTTTCTATTATATACTGAATCTGCTCTCATTTTCATTGTGATATTATCTTTCCACTTATGATCTTCCATTCCTTCGAAATCACACATTCCATAAAATTAGAAACCTTCCTGCACTATATTGTTGAAAATTAATGTTTTCGTTGCTGTAGTTGTTTTTGGTTTTGAATTACTACAAAGACTATTTTAGATTATTGCGAGTGCCCTCTTTCGCATCTACCCAGGTCTTACATATCCCAAAATAGCCTAAGGTCATCAACATTTTCACATCATCCCTCTTAAGACCATTTTGCAGATTTTGTAAGACGATAAAGCTATCATCATCAGAGCTAGTTCTTCGTTGGAGGTCAGTTCCAGGTCCTCTAGTGTACCCTGCAGTTACTAGTGATATATCACTTGCAGCCGTTGTTTCCGGTCTGAGAACAGGGATTTTATGGTGAGAAAACTTTAACCTTTAATGCCCGGAACCATTTTTTGTTTTAAATTTGTTCACCTTTTGAATGTGTTACTATCTTCTGCAAGAAGGCATTTTTCAAGGAACTAATACAATTTCAAGAGATTCTGCATCTTGGAACTGCTCAAAACATTCATCATGTGATTCTAGACTAAACTAATACCACCCTTAGGTATATTAATAAATACACTAATTACACTTTTATTCAACTGTTATTGTATTATTTTTTCATACACTCCAAATTGTTGTTGTCGTCAGAAAAAGTCTAAGCTATCACAATATTTTTATTAAAAAAAAAACATAACAATTACCGCGTATATTTTCGAAATATGGAAATAAATTAACCTCAAAGTCGCACGTGTTTCATGCGCTGGCCATTAATAGGTTAAACCACAGACAGTTTTTTTTTTATTTTACTAGATTTTCATTGAAACCCACTGTTTCCTTTCATTGGCATCGTTCAACGTGGTAGTTGTTAGAACTTATTAAAATATTTTGTTTGGTTTATGTGAAAGTTATTAGAAAAATAAAATATCGCAAAACATTAAATTCCGTGTTTCGCGATGGCGAGCTTAGTTGTTTGAATTCACTTTAAAATAGCCGCGCTTGTCTGTTTGCCGCAAACCGTTTTTAAAATGGACTCAAACGATAGAAGAGTTATGATTTAAATAAGGCTGATTTATAGGGTACGCATTTTTTTAAAGTTTCGTCTTTTCCCCGGTACACCACCCACTTTTCGAAAGTGCCACGTTGAGATTGTCAGTTTCGTTCTACGGATATATTTAAACTTTGTATACGTAATATATACCTCAGTACTTTCAAGGTGCGGGTGCTCTTTTGGACGAAAAAGCTAGGTTAAAACAATTTGCCATAGTATGTACAGTAAACAAACCCTTGGTGACTTTACTCAAACCTTTGGGTTGGTTTAAACATTAAACCAAGCATTAGATTTGCAAAAGTAGCACTATTCTGGAATTTTTGGGCAAATAGTCAAATGTGAAATGTCAAAAATTCTTGATACCATTCTATTTGTTATGAACGATATTTTTTATTATTAATATATAGCCAAAAATCGCATTAATAATAGAGGATTTTACTGGCATGATATTATCAATGCAGAGTTTGAATAGGTGCTGGAAGAGATTGAGACTGCAAGAGCTGTGCTTATTCAAACGGATCCCTTTCAGGTTCCTAAACAGAAAATTTGTTCATTTATTTAGTTCAACAACTTATGGTTGTGGCCAAAAATAATTGATCTCCAGAGATTTTTTTAGGAAATAGAAATTTTAAAGTATTTTTCCTTTTTTCGAGAATACACACCTGATACATTCGGTTCAGTTATTCCAAAAACAATTTTGCAAGCAGTTTCAGAAAATTTTGGGTAAGGAAGAAACTCCTTTGTTCGGATCAATTTTTGAATTGCTGAAATTGAAATCGCGTCAGTGTCATTGGAATGTTTAGCACGGACCACACTATATACAGGATGTTTGATAATAAGAAAGGATCCTTGGATGAAACAATATTTACGATGTTTACTACTAGTTTTTCATATTCAATAGTTAATTACGAATTATTTCGCACTTTATCGCTGGATACTCTTGTTTTAGAAACAAGCAGTAGCGTACCACTACGCCACTGGTGAAAGTAGGAAAATAATTTTCCCCCGAAATGTTTCTATACAATGTTTCTATACATAGTGGTTCCTACCAAATTTCAACAAAAGATCTAGAGCAGTTTCAGTGAAAATGACGAAAAACCACTGTTCTTTTTTAATTTTATAATTTTTTTTCTTAAAATCTAAACAATTTATTAAATTATGAAACACCCTGTATGTTGGTGAGCTCCGGTCGTTGCTAAGAATCGTTAGTAAGTATTGCGTCGCTTGGGTCAGATAGGTCGGTGCATTTGAACTACTCGGTATGCCTGACTATACTTGGTTACATAGTGACATTTAAGTTATAAAACAAATTTTATTTCAAACATTAATTAGAAACGGAGAAAAATTAATATTAAAACGAATCTAAAATTTCTATTATTAAAATATTTAACAAGTGAATAATTAAAAACTAAAAAATATCTGGCCACAAAAATAGAACCTTTGAGGAGACAAACACAATACAACATCAACAAAAAGTTATAAACTAAGTAAATTATACATAAACATGCATAAATGCATTAGATTTATGACCTTAATGTTTAATCATCTTCATCTTTAAGCTTCTGGAGATAGAGTTTATAAACCTTTGACAAAATTGTGCTGGTTTTGCTTGCCAACTGCCAACTCAATAGATCTAGAGATTGGAAAAGACACAAAATTATCCTGTTGCCAATAAAAAGCCTCCCACAACTTCACATTATCCCCTACATGTTTAATAGATTTAATGGTGTGTTTTAGTAATAGTTCTTGGTTGCGCGGTCTTCTAATATATCGGCTGCCATCAGGACCTATTAAAATTAATTTTTGCTTAATCCCTTCGTAGTAGATTAGGCCATTTCACTATGTATAATCTTCTTCGAAGATAATAGAAGAGCTTTTCTTACTGCGCTACTGATAGAAAGCTTCCTTGAACTTATTTCTAACCCTAATTGCTTTGTAATACACTTTCCAGCATCCTTTTAGAACGACCGATAATATTTGCAATATTGCACAACAATTAGAACTGTCATTCTGTCAGCCGGGCCTATTTTAAAAAGAATTATTTAAAGATAAACAAATTGGATGAACAAATTTGCGATAAAACGCAAAGGAAATGTATTTAATGGGTCTATCTTAACGACCAAACAAGAATCAACTTTTATTGAATGTTTAAACTGGCTCTCTTTCTATGAATATACTCTTCTATACGACTAACCTCAACATCCGTATATGTTAGGTATAGTAGGAGTAGATCAAATGTACCCACTTGTCTGAATCGAGTGACGCAATACCTTCTACTAATTACTGCTTGGAAAAGTAAGTGCCACCTCACATTTATTTGTCTCAAACTGGAATCGTAGTTTTGATTTGTTAGATTTACATGCAAACGAATGCAAAATTCGCACGTTTTCAAGTCAAAGCAAACTAACGGTTTCCAAATAATTACAGGTTATGTTCGGAATTCAAAGATCGCAATGCACATGTCAAAAATTAGATTTAGTTTAGATTAGGTGCATCTATGGACTGATTAACCATATTGCCACATTTCAACCGCATGGTTACCCGGCCGTTCAGCTTTCCGATGTAGGCCATATTTTGAAATGTTTCAGTTTTAAATAGCAGACTTAGCACTTAAACCAACAATCAAATGTCAAACGCTGTCAGTTGTCAAAATGACTTCTACCAATGCACCTGTCAGATGTATTCAGCTTACCTTATTAATATATATTTTTAATAAACCTATAGCAATGGTGCGGTGAAGCACATTTTATCACGTTTCGGAATAGGGCCTTCGTTAAACCAACATTGTTGAGTAAAGTTCACCGTTGCCAATACCAAATCCACCCAAATAAATAGGGCGTCACTTACCAAAACAAACGTCCAAAACCACTTGCCTGGTTACGTTTTTCGAATGTATACGCAAGTAATTTGTTTTTTAAAGTGATCGATACGCTCATTCAGTATTAACTGTGTAAAATATACTTTAACTTTAGAGTAATTATAATGACTGTAATAATTATTACGAGTACCGCTATTGACAGTGTATAAAAAGAAAAAGGTCTTGATCCGCCATATTGCTTTCGTTTAAAATGAACTAGGCCCTAAGGTTTCTTAGTATTTTCGACGGTACTCAGAAAGTAAGTAACAAACCGAACCTCTCAGTTTTGATTATAATGTATACGTCTTTTCTGTGGTACGTCTATGTATACGAACACGATAGTACAAATTTGAAGCATTCCGACATTTAGTTATGTTTTCGTCCGTAAAACCTCGAGAATGTCGTCAATTATGGTTATATTTAACGATAGTTTTTCTAACACGCTTCCTTTCTGAGTACACATATGCTGGTACAGTATACTAACTTGGAACTTATATACGTAAAAATTACAATAAATAGTGTTTAAGGTTATTCGAAAATAACATTTCCATCCAATCGTTACATTTAAGGCACTTTATCAACGTTTCGTATTTTTCAAGTTTTCGAGGGTTACTGTTGCGTAAGGTGCCCATATAAAGTACTTTACACTAACCGTACATACATACTTTTGTCCAGAGTAACTAATTCCGTACACTTCAGGTATTAAGTATCTATGTGTTTGTGATTGGAAACAAATGGCAGACTACTCAGTACCAATTTGACCAATTAATATGGAAGTATAGGACATATAAAAAGTTTGGTTAGGAAGTGTGAAATAGGCAGTGTTGCCAATCGCTCTCGATCTTTCTGTAATTTCTTGTACAATAGTAACCAATCGCACCTTCAACTGGAAAAAAAAGGTTTCAAAATGATTTGAATCAAGTGAAACTTCTTTAATGAAAATCAAAATCTAACCTACAAATATTAATTAACAGACCTGATAAGTTTATTATTTATATAGATTATTTACGTACGCCATAATAAGTGTCTGAATATTCACATTCCACGTTACAAGTTTGGTCTTAAATGATACATACCAGTAGAGGTTATATTTTCATTTTCAATAAAAATGACTCGTTTAATTTCCTTTTGCAATACTTGCGTAACTGAATAATAATAATAGTTGATAAATATTCAAAGACGGCAATAATTACAAACTTACACCGAAAGTCAGTTTCTTTGGATGCCAAACTTTGACACATAAACTAAAATGGCCGACGCTACGTCAGTATATCGCATTGGTAGAGTAAATTACTTTATATGCAGTGTCCCAGTTTAGGCTACACTAAAGACATAAAATACATTTCTTCCAGTATACGTAAAAAATCATTTTGTGACTAAATATATTAATTGATAAATCGTGTATATATGTTTTATATTAGGAATAATGTGCATCCGTGTAGCGCGTATGTCTTGGATTTGTTTTTCATTCGTGCCGGTTTGGTCCATTGCCTCTAATAATTTGAAGGTTTTCGACCAGGCGCAATATTGGTGTTACATTTTAATTTGCTATGTCCGTCTGTGATATATAATAAAACAAAAAAAAGTCTATGGCACTTACGTCAGAGAGAAGCATTATAAAATTGTAATTGGGAAATTCGTGACATTTTTTGAGGCGTGTTCATTCCAAATTAATATGTTGATCTAATTTTAATTTCTGTTTTTTAACAATTAGAATTAAAAATGGCTTACGATATATTTTTTTGACATATCATAAAACTGATATGTCAATGGAACTAACACCCTGTGTAATAGTAAAAAATGTCACTCTATTACGCTTAAACCTTTTAAAACATTTCCGAACTACTGAATTGCTTCTTATGACTAATGTATACGCTGATAAATACTCAGTTTTTCTTTATTTTTAAAGGCATTATATCTAAATGTAATTGATACATATTAAATTAGATTAAAATATACATTTCGTCGACAGTGGCTATAGGTATTTCCATTTTCGTTTTATATTACTTTAAAGCCCATACAAAATTTATTTTTGTTTGTATACCGTTTAGAATACAATCGCATTTTTTAGAAGCTCATTTTATTCAATTATGGTGCCCGACAAAAAATTTACACCGCTTTTACTTTTATCTTCCGTGATTTTGAAGAAAATAGATAAAATATTTTTCGTTATCGCCAGTGTTAGTCAGCTCTGTGTATGTCATTAATTGTAAAAAAAATAAAAAAAAACAGATAATTAAATTTTGTTTTAATTTGGCTCTTCATTAATCCAAGCCCAAAAAGAATCAAAAAATTGCAATGGCCATTTGAATCAGACCGAATAAAAACAAAATAAACAATTAAGTAGTTTTCCATTTTATTTAGCTCAAAGTATGTACAAAAAATAATAAAAAAATATATTTACAAAACTAAAATAATCAGTCTTTTACACTGTAAAATCAGTATTAGGCTTGTATCTAAGCATTTTAATCGACCTCCTCGATTGTCGGTCCACCTTGTTGTCCACCGAATCCACCGGCTTGTCTTCCACATCCACCGGGCATTCCACCAGACGAGGGTCCCGGGCCAAAGTTCTGCTGGTTGCCGCCTCCATAGAGTTTGGCCATTATGGGGCTGCAGACAGAAGTGAGCTGTTTCTGTCTGTCTTCGAATTCTTCTTTCTCAGCCAGAGTGTTACTGTCGAGCCACTTCAACGCGTCTGCGCATTCTTGCTCCACCCTGGACTTGTCCTCGGAGCTCAGTTTATCACCGCACTCACTTACAGCCTGTTTCAGTTGGAAAATGTAGGCTTCAAATTGGTTTCGGGCAGACACTTTGAGTTTTTGTTTCTCATCTTCTTCTTTGTACATCTCGGCCTCCGACAACATTCGGTCGATATCTTGTTGGGATAGTCTGCCCTTGTCGTTTTTGATGGTGATGTTACGGGAATTGCCCGAGCTGGTATCCTTGGCGGAAACGTTTAGGATTCCGTTGGCGTCCAAATCAAAGGTGACTTCAACCTTAGGGACACCTCTGGGAGCTGGTGGAATTCCGGTTAGGTCAAAGGTACCCAGAAGGTTGTTGTCCTTCGTCATGGCCCTTTCCCCTTCGAAGACTTGAATAGTCACCGCAGGCTGATTATCGGAATACGTTGTGAACGTCTGAGTTTGTTTGCATGGTATTCTGGCATTTCTTTCAATAATTTTGGTCATAACCCCACCGGCAGTTTCGATACCCATTGATAAAGGCGTTACATCCACTAACAGCACATCCTGAATCTTCTCATCTTTCTCGCCATTTAATACTGCTGCTTGGACGGCAGCCCCGTAAGCCACAGCTTCATCTGGATTAATGGAGAGATTTAGCTGTTTCCCATTGAAGAAATTCTGCAGAAGCTGCTGGATTTTGGGAATTCTCGTGGAGCCGCCGACTAATACTATGTCGTGAATAGAGCCCTTGTCCATTTTTGCATCAGTTAAAGCTTTCTCAACTGGCTGTAAAGTTCCTCTGAACAAATCCGCGTTAAGTTCTTCAAAACGAGCTCTAGTAACTTTGGTATAAAAGTCCACGCCCTCAAACAAAGCATCGATTTCAATAGACGCTTCTGTACTGGACGATAACGTTCTCTTGGCTCGCTCCGCGGCAGTCCTTAATCTTCTCAACGCTCGAGGATTGGTTTTCAAATCTTTTCTGTATTTGCGTTTGAACTCGTCTGCTAAATGGTTGACTAATCGATTGTCAAAGTCCTCTCCTCCTAAATGTGTGTCACCGGCCGTAGCTCTTACTTCGAACAACGAACCTTCATCGATGGTTAGTATGGAAACGTCGAAAGTGCCTCCTCCCAAATCGAATATCAAAACATTACGCTCTCCTTTCAAGTTTTTATCGAGGCCGTAAGCTAAGGCTGCTGCCGTGGGTTCGTTTATGATTCTCATAACCTTTAGTCCCGCGATAACGCCCGCATCTTTTGTCGCTTGCCTTTGGGAGTCGTTGAAATAAGCCGGAACGGTAACGACTGCATCTCTAATGGGCATTCCCAAATATGCCTCCGCAGTCTCCTTCATTTTCGTCAACACCATGGAACTCACTTCTTCGGGAGCGAATCTCTTGATCTCCCCCTTATATTCCACCTGGATTTTCGGTTTACCGGAGTCGTTGACAACTTTAAACGGCCAATGCTTGAGATCTTGTTGGATTTTGGGATCTTCGTATTTCCTTCCGATCAGTCGTTTAGCGTCGAATACGGTGTTAGCGGGATTCATCGCCACCTGGTTCTTCGCCGCATCCCCGATGAGACGTTCCGTATCGGTAAACGCCACATAACTAGGAGTCGTCCTGTTGCCTTGATCGTTGGCGATGATTTCCACCTTCCCGTGCTGCCAAACACCGACACACGAGTAGGTCGTTCCCAAATCAATACCGATTGCTGGAGCTTTCACCATTTTTGTTTCTTTTGTATTCTCCTTTTACAAATAAACTACACGAAACTTGGAAAATTATCGCTCGTTCGCTTCGCTTCTTACTAACACTTCTATATATCACTTTTCAATTTCAACTGTCACCGAGACCGCCGCGGTGTGACGCTTTTATACTCTGCAGCATTCCGTTCCCGGACAATATCGAAAATTCTCGACTTTTCCACGCTCGTTCCATCTCTTTTTAACTTACTGGTTTAAACAGAGAAAAAGTACATTTGGTCGTTGAACGAAGCAACAACCAAGAGCACAGAAAATTCTCGATTTTAATATAGGGGGAGCCAAATATTTTCGTTAGCAATCGTTCGCTAAAATTAGGATTTTTATGACTTTCCATTTGGAAACTAATAAATATCGATAACCAACGAACTGATTAGCTGAAATTGACCAATGTTTTTAATACTCAAAGACTCATAACAAGAAAGCTTATAGACAAAAAGTACGTTTGAAATAAACGTGGCTGAAATGACTTTAGGACACCTAACACGTATAAAGTCAATCTATGGAGTGAGTCCAAAACTTATTGAAATTTATACCCATTCAAAAAGCAAACTTGCGTTATTTTCTTGAGATAATATATAATTGATAATATGTTTGTGACTCGCAGCTATTCCGCATACAAAGCGATGATTTATTTCTTTCCTTTATTACTTAATATCATTGTATGTTATTGTTATGAAAATCTTTACGATATATTAAACTCGGTATCAATTATGACACATTCTATAAGTATTTATTTTTATTTTTTTAATTTATGGTAATAACATTATTATTAACCTCTATTTTATACCCACCCTAATTACCACGTGCATACAAAAAAATAAACTGTTAACCAATTAAGTAAGGGACGTTTTAAATTATTTTTGTACGTCATTGGACACTTGTGTAGCCCGATTGTAGAAAAAAACTAAGTTTTTATATTAGATAATGTTTATTCCCAACTAACGAATAATTATACCGAGCAAATAGAGAAAATGATAATAAAATTACTCGTAGGTTTAAAAAACCTACCTTTCCTTGGGACACCCAATACACAGAGAGTAGAATTATCGGGAAAGGTTTGCCATTATATTCGCTTGTCTCGCTTGCACTGTCTACGAACAACAAGGACAGAAACTTTTTCGAGAATTACATGGTAAATTCCCGTAAGGTTTTATTCTGATTCTATGGTGTTCTCGAACACTCCATTCGAGAACGTTCGGTAGTCTTCGGGACAAATTTGCCGTTTCATATATAAGGAGCGAGTTGGCGCGTCGATCGCATAGTTCAAATCGAAACGGTTTGAGTAAAAGTGGTACGTGAGATACTAGAAGTATTGCTATTTACGATTTATTTGCGAATTCAAGTGAATCCGTATTTGAAAAATGGTGAAAGCTCCAGCAATCGGTATTGATTTGGGAACGACCTACTCGTGTGTCGGTGTTTGGCAGCACGGGAAAGTGGAAATCATCGCCAACGACCAAGGCAACAGGACGACTCCTAGTTATGTGGCGTTTACCGATACGGAACGTCTCATCGGGGATGCGGCGAAGAACCAAGTGGCGATGAATCCATCTAACACCGTATTCGACGCTAAACGACTGATCGGAAGGAAGTACGACGATCCCAAAATCCAACAAGATCTCAAACATTGGCCCTTTAAAGTCGTCAACGACTGCGGTAAACCGAAAATCCAGGTGGAATATAAGGGAGAGATCAAGAGATTCGCCCCGGAAGAAGTTAGTTCGATGGTGTTGACGAAAATGAAGGAAACGGCCGAAGCATATTTGGGAATGCCTATTAGAGATGCCGTCGTCACCGTTCCGGCTTATTTCAACGACTCCCAAAGGCAAGCTACAAAAGATGCGGGCGTTATCGCGGGACTAAATGTTATGAGAATCATAAACGAACCCACGGCAGCGGCGTTAGCGTACGGCCTCGATAAAAATTTGAAGGGAGAGCGGAATGTTTTGATATTCGATTTGGGAGGAGGCACTTTCGACGTTTCCATACTAACCATCGATGAAGGTTCGTTGTTCGAAGTAAGAGCTACGGCCGGTGACACACATTTAGGAGGAGAGGACTTTGACAATCGATTAGTCAACCATTTAGCAGACGAATTCAAACGCAAATACAGAAAAGATTTGAAAACCAATCCTCGAGCGTTGAGAAGGTTAAGGACTGCCGCGGAACGAGCCAAGAGGACGTTATCGTCGAGTACAGAAGCCTCTATTGAAATCGATGCTTTGTACGAAGGTGTAGACTTTTATACCAAAGTTACTAGAGCTCGTTTTGAGGAACTTAACGCGGATTTGTTCAGAGGAACTTTACAGCCAGTTGAGAAAGCTCTCAATGATGCCAAAATGGACAAGGGCTCTATTCACGACATAGTATTAGTCGGCGGCTCCACGAGAATTCCCAAAATCCAGCAGCTTCTGCAGAATTTCTTCAATGGGAAACAGCTAAATCTCTCCATTAATCCAGATGAAGCTGTGGCTTACGGGGCTGCCGTCCAAGCAGCAGTATTAAATGGCGAGAAAGATGAGAAGATTCAGGATGTGCTGTTAGTGGATGTAACGCCTTTATCAATGGGTATCGAAACTGCCGGTGGGGTTATGACCAAAATTATTGAAAGAAACGCCAGAATACCATGCAAACAAACTCAGACGTTCACAACGTATTCCGATAATCAGCCTGCGGTGACTATTCAAGTCTTCGAAGGGGAAAGGGCCATGACGAAGGACAACAACCTTCTGGGTACATTTGACCTAACCGGAATTCCACCAGCTCCCAGAGGCGTCCCTAAGGTTGAAGTCACCTTCGATTTGGACGCCAACGGAATCTTAAACGTTTCCGCCAAGGATACCAGCTCGGGCAATTCCCGTAACATCACCATCAAAAACGACAAGGGCAGACTATCCCAACAAGATATCGACCGAATGTTGTCGGAGGCCGAGATGTACAAAGAAGAAGATGAGAAACAAAAACTCAAAGTGTCTGCCCGAAACCAATTTGAAGCCTACATTTTCCAACTGAAGCAGGCTGTAAGTGAGTGCGGTGATAAACTGAGCTCCGAGGGCAAGTCAAGGGTGGAGCAAGAATGCGCAGACGCGTTGAAGTGGCTCGACAGTAACACTCTGGCTGAGAAAGAAGAATTCGAAGACAGACAGAAACAGCTCACTTCTGTCTGCAGCCCCATAATGGCCAAACTCTATGGAGGCGGCAACCAGCAGAACTTTGGCCCGGGACCCTCGTCTGGTGGAATGCCCGGTGGATGTGGAAGACAAGCCGGTGGATTCGGTGGACAACAAGGTGGACCGACAATCGAGGAGGTCGATTAAGACGCTTAGATGCAACCCCAACACTGATTTTACAGTATTGTAGAAGACTGATTATTTTAGTTTTGTAAATATGTTTATTTTTTGTACACTCTTTGAGTTAAATAAAATGGAAGAAAAATCTTAATAATTGGTTTATTTTGAAATTAGTGTAGCTTCCTTTGGTATAACCAAAGGAATATAAAAAAAAATTAAAAGACGAGTATTTGACAATAGTTTCTTGGGCATAAAATTAAACTTACATCCGCAGATTAATCTTTATTTTCTAAAATCTAAAATGGATTATTTGATTTAGCAACTTTAATTTATGTTTTAATGTCTTGGTGGTACATAACAAGCATTAATAAAGCATTACTCCTCGTGCCAATTTTTGTAGTGTGTGATTGACAATACTTATAGCGTTTTGTTCCGTCCAAAAGATTATTTTTTCTTAACAATATCCCACCGAATCTCTTGCATGCACTTGTAGTAGTGAGATTCTAAAGGTCCCTCTGCACTTGGAAAAAACACAAACGAAAAAAAAGCCCACAAAACACAACAAATATTTTAATCTCATAATTCTGGGACTTTTAACGCTTCAACTATTCGAGAATAGGGTTTCTCTTAATTTATCGCTTTTTCGATATCAAACACCCATAACTTACATATCCAAAGTTCACTTCATTAGGTACCGTAAGGCTTCAATATTAGTCACAGATAAGCGAAAAGGGAAAGCATATCACAATATAACAGCACAAAGAGAATTATTGCAGTAGGATAAAGAAAACCGAAACTTTAAAAGATTGGAAGCGAGACCGAAAATATCCTTTAGTTGCATACGATATTTTTAGTTATCGATTATTGATTATTTACTGGAATAGATCCACCATAGATCATGGTCCGCCAATATCGATAAAACACCGCCGGTTATTATTTTTTTCAACCTATATGAAAAACCCAATATTCACCCCACAAAATTAGACATAATAAGAATAATACTTGTTGGTTATTGCTGAATTTAATTTTTTGTTCTTTGCCATAGAAAATTTGTGCTGTTGAGAGTGAAACTGCGAAATCTTAGAAAATCTTAATGAAACGTCAGTGTCAGTGTAATCACATCTAACTGTCATTGGCATTGTCGAGCTCTGCTGATTTAATAGTTTTGACAAAGTTTACAAATGTTTTCAAAAGTTGTTAGTCTTTGTAGTTATTTAAATTGGATAAAGTTTTATTAGATGTTAACTTAACACTATTATTCCGAATTTCACGCTTTAAAAATGGCGCGTGATTATGACCATCTTTTTAAATTACTTATAATAGGAGACAGCGGTGAGTAGGGCCTCAAGGGGCGGGGTTAGGAAATGAGGAAAGTGTTTTGGTAGCCACTTATAATTATCCCCTATTTGATAGACACTTTAAATTATATTGTGGTGTTATTCTGGGTTGAAGAAAATTGAAAAAGTGGTGGTAATTTTGCAATTAAAGTTGCTAAATTAAAAAATTGTCTTAGTGGTTTTTAACGCTCACACAAAATTCCTATTTTTCATTTTAGGTGTAGGAAAAAGCTCTCTGTTGTTAAGATTTTCAGATAACACTTTTACTGGAAGTTATATCACAACCATAGGGGTAGATTTTAAAATCAAAACTGTAAACATTGAAGGTCAAAAAGTGAAGTTACAAATATGGGATACAGCTGGCCAAGAGCGATTTAGAACCATTACTAGCACGTGAGTAATATCTTGGGATGCAAACAGTTAAAAATTGTTGGCTACTTCAATATTGTAGGTATTATAGGGGCACCCATGGTGTCATAATCGTCTACGATGTTACAAATGGTGAAAGTTTTGCTAATGTAAAAAGATGGTTGCATGAAATTGATCAAAATTGTGAAGTGGTCAATCGAGTCCTAGGTAAGAAATTCATGGTAATAACTTCGATTTTAAATTGTTGTTTTAGTGGGGAACAAAAATGATACCCCAGATAGAAAAGTGGTCTTGACAGAAGATGCTCAACGTTTTGCTGACACAATGAATATTCGTTTGTTTGAAACGTCAGCAAAGGACAACATAAATGTTGAAGAAATGTTCATGTCTATAACGAGGCTGGTATTAAGGTCGAAGCTTGAAATGAAGGAAAGGCAAAATGCATCCCCGAATGATGTGGTCAATTTGAGAAAAACTCCAAAGTCCGGTAAAAAGAAGTGCTGTTAGCAGATTTTAAATTTGTTTTTCTTTCAAATCAATAAATTAACTGTTTTCTAAATTAGATATCTCAAAGCATTCATCATAAGTATGACTTTTAAATTCAGTATTTTTTGGAATATCCGCAGTTATTTCAATTTTACCTTGTACCATGTGAGACTGTATATTAATGTAAAAAAAGCTGGTTCAGGTCTCAACAAAGAATGTCCCTTGCAAGTTATTGTTTGTGAAATATTGAATCTCTCTTGTATTATTTACTCAGTTCAATTAATTATTGAGAATGATATTGGGAGCTTCCATTTTTGAATTATTTACATAAAATAATCTTGTAAATAACCAAAAAAGTTTTGTAAATAAAAAAAAAAATTGTTCTATGCATCTATAGTTTTGTTTTATAGAGTAACGAAAACTTAAAACGATCGAAATGTGCTAAGTAAAGTTTACCTAAAGGTCATCAAAGAAATAAAGCTAAATTATAGCTTTTTAGGTGTTTTTATGAGTCAATTACATGCATAGGCAATTGATATAATATCGTTTGGCGCTAAAAAGGCTTCCGACTAAGCAGAGTGCAAAGTAAATCCTCTCAAATTTAAAGCTATGTGGAAATTTGAAAGTAGAAAATGTGTTTTGGACTTGATTGTTCACTAAGAAAAGTGTTTAGGGTAATTCACCAGAGTTATTTGGAATTGTATAGAAGCAGTTAGCGGTAAATGCAATCAAGGTTGGAGTATCATATATATTTTGGTATATACAGGATGGTTCGAATTGTAATGGAGAAACTTTAACAGTGTATTCAGCAGATAAAAATAAGTAAAGAAGTATGTAAATGTAAAATGGTTCATTTTGGAGACACAAGGTGTTGAAATATTCCAAAAAAATCAATTTTATAATAATAAAATAATAAATAAAAATAAAAAACCATTGAAATTCCACTTTTTCTGTTATGTAAATTAATTTAACGGTCGCACGAACGCCACTGATTAAAAAGTGGCAAGAATACTAAAGTTTGAAAGCAAATTCTAGATTTTTGTTTTTTAATGAAAAACGATTTTTTCGCAAATTTCAACACCCTGCACCTTTTTTAACTTTTTAATATCCGTCGAATACGCTGTTAAAATTTCTTCATAATTTGGACCACCCTATATGGGACAAGGAATATATACAAATTTTCCAAGAAAATGTCTGCTATGGTATTCATATAACTTCATTATTTTTCCCGCCAGATAAATTGTGAATAATTATAAAGCCTAAAAATCTAAACGTAATTTGCATTTAATGTTTAATTAAACCAGTGGATTGAAATGAATTCCTAACATGGAGAACGGAAAATGCAAATAACACTGTGAAATGTGCTGTAACGTTTCGTTATGCATTTTATTTTATGTTAAGAAGAACCAGCATATCACCTTTATATTGACAATATAATAGATATTTTTACGGTGCATTTATTTAGCAAGAATTATTTTTTGCATTGTGTAAAGATTGTGCATTTTAATTATAAATAAAAAAAATGTATATTTGTTGTAGTTTAAAGGTTTCCTTTTTAACCCCTTACCAATCAAGACGGCCAAAGAAAATTAATACACCACCACCACCTAAAATACGTTTCAATTTCAATGGACCATAAATTAAACATCACAGATGTAAGATTCCCTTTCAATTGGCAATACAGATTTAAAATTTTAAAAAAACGTAGGTAGTCCACTTTATCAGGAAAGACTATCACACGAGAAGCAATGACGTCACCCCGTTAAAATTCGCTTTTGTGGACAAGTGTGTGTTTGTATTTTTTAAACAATTATACCTTTACTTAATTCTTAACCAAGAACATGTATTAAGTGTTTATTTGGCAATCAAATATAAAATGTTTTAAAACATTCTTCTTCCTTTTGACGCGATGCTCTACGAAAGTTTTCTATCCAAATGACCATGGTCAAACCAGAGGCCAAAGTTCTAAAATCTTCTATTTCTTGGAAACATTTATTACTCGGTCACTATTTAACATATATTTTCATCAAGATAGGCTTCTATTCCTTTCAAAATATATATTTTTTTTCTAATATATTGTCAATTGATGATTGATATAGACACTCTTTGAGGTACATTTTCGGTAATTAGCGTTCTGTGTATTTCAGTTTTTGATTAAATGAATATAATCGAATATTGCTCCAAATTTTTAAGTACCAAAATTATGAATCAAAGTTTAGACGACCCCGGAGGAAATCGAATATATGACTGCTTCCATGATTTCGTAGGAGAGCATAGAACGGGAGAAAAAGAAACTTTATAATTAGTAGTTAGTAAAAACTAATTAAATCGTTTTTTAAAATGGAATTATTCTCAACGGTATCGCATTTAAAGGATGATCATCTTATTAATGGTAGCTGTTGCTTGTGAATTTTTTGTACATTTTCATTTGTACAGAAAAAAATTGCAAAAAGTTTTATCAATGCGTGCTTTCTGGAACTACCATTCTATTTTCTATGTTTGTGTAGAGAGGCGCCAGAAAAGAAAGTGGGAATGTCAAAAGGTTTTAATTTTTTTCTGTTTTCAATAAAGTTACTTTTTGGTAATTAATTGACGAAATTGAATGCGTGTAAGATCGTAAAATATGTGACCATAGGTAGAAAAGTGCAATGTATTTTGTGTCGTTATTTCATGTACCAAGTAAATTGTTAAGGAAAAGTTGTATTTTATCTCCATCGATTTAAACGCTATCATAACCAGTGGTTTATACAAGAAATTGCAATAAATTTTGCAGCACAATGTCGGTTTGTACATACGATTTGGATACCTCAGGGGGTCTTATGGAGGTGAGTTTAAAATGTATCCATTTCTATACAATATTTGAGGCTAGGATGCTTTAAAATGGCGGAAAATGCTAATTATTTATTTTCCATCTAGTTTTACTTTAATACATTAACTTGTGTTTTAATATACATTGTTTGTCCATTCCTTGGGGAGCTTAGACTCACTTAATGTCCATGTCTTCTTGCAGCAAATCCAGGCTCTCATAGCACCTCCTGATTCGGATCATAAAAAGGATAAAAACAAAAAAGCTGACCATCCATATTTTAAAAGACCAGGAAAGGGCCACAATCACGATTCATGTGATGCTTGTGGTGAAGGAGGAGATTTGATATGTTGCGATAAGTGTCCTTCGAGTTTTCATTTAGGATGCCAGTGAGTAATAGAATTTGCATATATGTAAGTTTCTCTAGAGTTATAATACAAGAATGTTAGGTGAAAACAATATTTCAAATTCGCGACGTCTATAATGCGACCATTTGCAGTAATCCGCCGTTGGAAGAAAAAGACATACCACATGGGGAGTGGCTGTGTCACAGCTGTAAATGTTCCAAATTGAAAGGGGCAAATTTGACATCGGGGAAAAGGTCAAACAGCAGTTCTCCATCCCCAGGTACCTCGGGTGTTAAACAGGTTACCAAAAAAGCAAAATTAAGCGCAATGGACGTATTGATCGAAGTGGCAACTTCCATGAATCCTAAACAGTTTGAGTTGCCGAGAGCAATGACTTTACCCAACACCATGTTCCCGGGGGCAGATAAAAGTAAGTTTGTGTCTAAAACAATCAGTTTTTTGATAGGGTTATTACAGTTGAATCCATAAAACTGCCAAAGAAAAATAAACAGAGAGATCACGAACGACAAGGCAACGGTTTGATACCATTGCCCGCCAAAAAATGTGCTGAATGTAGGAAATCGTGCCGAGTGGCTCCCCTACTGGCGTGCGACTTTTGCCCTTCGTTTTATCATTTGGACTGTTTAGATCCGCCACTCACCGCACCTCCGAGCGGGGCCTGGATGTGTCCTCAACACGTGGAACATGCATTGGTTAGTTTAAATGGTTTTTTTTCTCTCTCTCTTTTAAAACTTAAATTTATATAAAATTATAAAAAGATTTGAAAATAAGCCGATCATTTATAAACTTATGTATACAAGAAGTTAATTTTTCAAAGAAACTTGCGCAGTCTACAAATCTTCTGGATTTGTCCCGCGTCATTTATTTATAAATTAAACTGAACAGTTTCAGTTAAGATTAAGTTAGAATTTATAACAACCGACCCAGGTGGAATCCCAAAGGTTTGTAAATAATATACAAAAAGTTGTTTATCCAGATTGTATCCGAAATCTTTGAATCATTAAGAATAATAGTTGTTCTTTAGAGAGTCTAAATCAAAAGTTAAAGCTATCTCTAGTGTTATAGAGAGTTTGTTGGGGGGTCTTGTGGATGGTAAGTCCTCAAGGAAAAGAATATTCTTCAATAAGCTGCCAAATAATCTTAAAGAAACAGAATTAAAAGTTTCTTAAACAGTGAGATAAAGTATATTGATTTTTAAATGATTGTTAACCTACTTGTGTATTTAGGGTAGCGTTAATTAATTAACCAAGAAACTAACCAAGAAAGCTTAACTTCCTTTTACTTTAGGATAGCAACGTGCTGACATCGGTTTCACTGTCCGAGCGGGTCGAATTATGGGATAAATTCTCCGCGCCCGTAGATCAGGATACTGTAAAACTTGAGTTTTTTCGGAGCGTCCACAGGAAAAACCCGCCGTTTCGAATTAAAAGAAAGCTAGCGAAACTACAGGTGGTAAAAGTACCCGATATGGTCAAGTATCATTATAAGAAACCTGTACATTTACTGCCTAGTTTAAAGGATGTGTTAAGGATAGACACATTTAACAAAAGGCATAGGTACAAAGATAGGTACGAAATAGATGATCTAGAAGAAATTAAGGACGAATTAACCATACAGAAAATGGGTGATAACGTTGAAGGAGAAAATGTCTATAATGTTGACATTAAATCATGTGATATTAGTAATGTAAGGTCAGTTTTTCATTTAGCACTTGATTCAAGTAAGGCAGATATATATGGTTTCTTTTCTCAGTAATCCCGAAATCGTCAGTGAAGAAATGAAAGTTGACCTCGCGGAAAGTACCTCCGATAGAAAATCCCCGTCGGTGAATATGAGTATAATTAACAACACCATATTTGCAAATAACGTGAACGTGAGCGTAAATTATGGTCCGAGGGAAAACGGACAAGTGGAATTGAATAATGGGTACTTTGAGAAGGATCTGCTCAAGAAAGAGGATAGTTTGATCAAGGACATAATGGAGAGTTGTTTTGCCACTGAAGGTTAGTGAAAGCTTTTTTAGGAAAGATAGATATAGATATTTGATATTGTTGATTTTCTTGTTTCTTTGATTCTTATCTTATTTACCACTGTTTTGGGAATTGTTTGAAATCTTTGAGGACAAAACAGAACAGTTGTATAATTTATACGTCAATATTATTTTTTCTGGTTTTTTGTTTTACTAAATCTACACTTTTTGACGAAAAATAAACAAAACAGTCGCAATTTATACATCTATATTATTATTTCTTCTTACTACAGACATACTCCTACCATGGCTAGGAATTGCGGATATCCTATTAGAAAAAAATAGAACTACCACCAAACACAAAACTTCGTTATCAGTTCTGGTTTTAAGGTTTTCGTGACGTTATTAATCTCAGTTTGTTGTAACCAACGGCATACAGAGAGAGTTGGACCGCTATTGTTCTCTCTCGTTGCCTGAGAGGTCGCTACTTTCAGATTACAAACTCCTTCAACTGATTGTAAATAATGATTTATCCAAATTTTCTGAATGGTTATTTTGCAACATGTTCAAAATTAATGCAGGAAAAGCTGTCTTTAACCAAAAAAAAGTTAAACACATTTCTTAGTCGCGATTGATTTTAATTTTATTCTAGTTTATAATGCTTACTTTTTAAATTTTCCGAAACGTTCCAGTTGGGAAGGTTATACACCTATGGCAGAGCATGTCAAAAGTTTTTTAATGGCTCATAAAGATGTAGCTTTATAATAATAATGATAAAGTACTTTATTGATAAATATACATATATATATATATATATATATATATATATATATATATATATATATATATATATATATATATATATATATATATATATATATATATATATATATATATTATATTAATATTAATGCTCTAGGGGAGTTTCCGTTCAGACAGGAAAACGTCTCGAACTATCTGTTCAGCTCACAAAAGAATAACAACAAATTATATGAAATTCACATATTTATTTAAAGTAAATCTCTCTCACAAAGATCCAGCTTCATAATAATAATAATAATGAGAAAAATGATAAAACAATATTATGTAATACTCTACAGCAGTTTCAGTTCAGACAGAAAAACGTCATTACAACAGTTCAGTAAGTATCTGTTCAGCTTGCAAGAGAATGCCAGTAAATTATATGAAATTTACATGTTTATGTAGAGTACACATCTCTTATAAAGATCCAGAATATATAAAAAGGAAGTATATTATGTAATGCTCTAGGGGAGTTTCAGTTCAGACAGCAAAAACTTCACTAAGTCAGTTCCCGAACTATGTGTTCAGCTCACAAGAGAATATTAATAAATTATATAAAAATCACATATTTATATAAAGTAAACATCTCTCATAAATATCCAACTTTATGATAATAATGATTTTTTTAATTTTCAAAATTGTAAATGTAAATGTGTAATGTTTTTTTTCTTTAAAAATGTTACATAGAAATCTGAAACGGACGTTACTGGTAATTTTTTTTAAACATATATCGCGACAAAAAACATCTTTTGTTATTTGATACACGTGTACAAAATGCTAATGAAATATCTAGGGTGCTTCGAAAATTATGTTATAAAATATTTTTTTTATAATTTCAGCACCCCCTATCGGATGTATGTTTATAATAGGAAACTAAGGCCTATTTTCAGCGTAAAAATTTGGTGCATTAATTGCGAAAAACCCTTTTTAAAGGTAGTATTTTGTACAACAACTTTTAAAGCCGGTTTTCCACCAAGCGGACGGTCAAGTTTATGTTTTGCTTGCATTTTTTGTGATCAGGTCACTTTAAAAATTGCAAATAGTTTTTGAAACAACAGATCAGATAATGGTCCGAAAATTTAAAGAAAATATCATACTTTGAATGTGACAGGAATTTTTTGCTCGCCAGTAATTATTAAATCTATTAAATTTTTATAATATTTCAGGATCTATCTATAAAAATATAGAAAAATATCAAAAAATGATTTTATCATAGAATTTGGTTATTTTTTTGTATAGGTATCTTCAAAATAAATACTGGGTGGTGGGATATTTGAGGAAGAAGAGAATTTTTTACCCGATTTTCAAAAAGTTCACTTGTCATGTCCTGTACTTTCGTTTTTTTTTTTTACGAATTTATGAATTTAAGTTAAATATGTTTGCGTCCATTCCATCAATCGTTAGGTGTCATCACTGTCCACTGTCATCTCAATGACGTTCTTAGAAGCCCTGCTGACTAATTTCGCATTTAAAAATATAATTTATTATCGGATTTTTTATTTGTTAAAGTTAAACTTTGAATAATGTTATAATACACGTTGATTGATGTTTTTTTCGCCATTTATCGTGTACTGGACTATACTTTATTTTGTGAAAAAAATAATTTTTTATATAACATACTCAAGGTCAAAATAATAATAGAAAATGAGAGTCTTCTCCACTGAGCGGGTTTTAAAACACGTGGAAACCTTTTGATTTTGACGTGAGCTATCGCAACAGTTTTATTTGTGTTCGTCAAAATTGTTCCGGCTCACTTTAATCTAGAAGCCTGGTTACCAAGTAACAATTTAAATGACATTTGAATAAATTAAGACATTGACAGTTTGATAAGTCCGTAATAATTCTGAACGGTTTCGATTAAATTTTCCTCGAGGAGCGTTGTGGTGTCAGCGTATCGCGTTCTTTTCAGTGGAATTAGAGCTGAGACATTTGGACGACCGCGTGCTCAAATTCCTAGCGTATCAACGGCTGCAGCAGCTGGTGGGCAGCTCAAACAACGCCCACTGCCACCAGAACAATCATACGAGCAACGGTCAGACGAATCGCGAGTCGTTGCAACAAATGCCCCTGCCCAGCGAGCTTCTCACTCCTGCCGATATCGATAGGATATCCAGGTTCGTGTCTTTCAGTGTGACATCACGCTGGTTTCAAATAACGCATTTCTAACCTAACCTAAACGCAAACTTTTGTCTTGATGAAAAAATGCCAAGATATTCAAAACTATCGGCTAGGATTGCTTGCTTATGAGGAGTCGCAGCTCAATGTCAATTTTGACGAATATATTCTGCAGTTTTTCGTCACTGTCAGTTGACATACAGTTGGTCAAAAAAGTCTCTGAACGCATAGTATTTTCTCAGTTTTCTTTTAGTTTCTTCTTTCACTTACATTTAATGAGAAATATATTCCAAGTAAATATCGGCAATCTCATTAAGAGTAACAAAAATAAAATATAAATCATTTGAAACTCTTGCTTCACCTTAGGACAGACATTTTCGATTTTCAGAGCTGTATTTTTTTTCTTCCAAACTTTATCCCGACCATCTGACCCAATAAGATTAATTTTTGTTGGTTTTGTTAATGTGTTCCCTGGCAAATTCCAAACGTTTTTTTCATTTTTTTTTTGCGAAATTAGTGGTTTCCTTCTGACAACGCCGTCATTATAACCTGCCCGATGCTTCAAGCAGTTTCTATTCGTTTAAGGGCTAACATTTTTTGAAAACTCTTACCTGATTTCCTCTGCAAGTTTCGCAGCGTATGTTTTAGAATTAATTCTAATTTTTTTCGCAACAGAAGACTTCCGATTCGAGGGGACTCTATGGCTTTAATCATTTGCAGCATAGCGATTTTAAAGGCCCTCTATAACTTTTTTTATTCGTATTGTAACGAGATTTTTATTAAAAACATTTTTTGAAGATTTTTTAAGGGCAAATCTTTCTGTTTCACCGATTTTGTCTTAAAGAATTTAGTTGACGAGATATAACACAAAGTTACTTTTTTTTTTAAATGGGATACCCCAATTGAAAAAAAGTTTTCTAATAAAATTTCCTGTCAAACGATGTGCCATACACCTATTTTTATTAATTAGTTAAAAAGATATCTGCAATTTTTGCTAATTACCATAGTAGGTTGTGCTAAACTCTGACCTATGCAGTTTTACGGTATCTATCTAGCTAGCTATGATCAGATAAAAACAATTGCAATGATACGCGGTTAGCGCCAAAATTTCCCGGCCTAACATAGATGCAGCTTCAGTGTCACGATAAAACTTTGTCTTCTTTTAAATATATAATAAATATAAATAAACTGACCAAAGGCGGGTGTCTTTTTCACGATAATGCACCTGTCTATAGTGCTGGTGTTGCACAAGCTGCCATTTTAGAGTGTGGGTTCCAACAGATAGATCATCCTCCCTATAGTCCAGATATGGCGCCCAGCGACTATTATTTGTTCGGATATTGGAAAAAGTATGACACTATAATATGTTATATTGAAAGTAACGAAAATCAACAGACGGCGTTAAATCGATATTTCTGACATTATAATATGTTATATTGAAAGTGACTAAAATCGACAGATGGCGTTAAATCTATATTTCCAGAGATATCGGGAAAGAAGGCAACATAGCTCGAAAATATTTTTGAAGTTAAAACGTCATCTACAAGAATACGGATCCTTTACAAAACCGAAGCCTAGCCAGAGATAGAGAGTTGGAATAACTAACCTTTCTGGGAGAAATAGAAATTAACCCGAATACTTTCACCAGGGCTATGGAGAGAAACACTGGAATTCCACGCAGCAATGCCGTGCGGGTGCTTAAAGAACATAGCCCTATCGACCCTGATGGGTGCCTCAATTACGGCAACGAGATTTTGCTCCGAGACGTGCACTTTGCAGGTGGTACCTAAATAAATGCCAAGAAGAACCAGATTTTGCCAGGAAAGTTATTTGGACGGATGAGGCAACGATTTCTAGTGATGGAATATTCACCAGGTATAACTATTACTGGAAAGTGCAGAGTCCCCATATTATGGTGGAAGCAAATCAGGAAAAGTTTAGTTTTAAGATATGGGTCGGCATCTACAGAGGACAAATTATTGGGACATATATTTTTTATGGAAATTGAAATGCTGAAAGATGCCAACAAATTCTAGAAGAGCATGTAATTCCGTTTATCGACAATTTGCCACTTCAGCAAAATAATGAGAAATACTTTCAACAAGAAGGTGCACCTCCTCACAATACACAAGACATTACTAATTTGCCGAAAACTGGATCTGAAATAAAGGTCCTATATATTGGCCCCCCAGGTCTCCAGATCTAACCCCTTGCGACTTCTTTTTGTGGGGGAGAATCAAAGACCTTGTATTTCGAAATCGCCCAACTACTAGAAGGGAATTGGAAGATGAACTTCGTACTGCATTCAGGCAGCTTCGTGCGGTAGAACTTCTTCAATTATGGTAAATATCAAAAATTGCAAATATCTTTTAAACCATTTAATAAAAATAGGTGTATGGAACATCGTTCGACAGGACATTTTACTATAAAACTGATTTTTTAGAAATTTCGGGGTATCCCATTTAAAGACATATAACTTTCTGTAATATCTCGGGAGCTAAAGGCTGTAAGACAAAATGAGTAAAATAGAGAGATTCACGCTTATTAAAACTTAAAAAACTGTTTTTTCCCAAAACTCTATTCTTACATTTAAAAAAGTTATATAGGGCCTTTAACGTCGCACAGTTTTGAGAATCACCCTGTAGCTCAAAAACGCCTTGACATATCACGATGCGGCTTTTAGTTTTTGACTTCACTTTAAAATCGAGCCCGTAAGACGCATATGAGTTTTGGGCTAACTATGGTGCAAATGCTTAAAGCCCTCTCGAATTTGGACCACGAGGTACAGTTGACTGTGATTTTTTAATTATTTTACCAATATCCCTAAAGTAGTTTTTCTCTTTCCATAAATCTACTATGATTTTTCGAAAGCGCAATTGGAATTTCGCAATTTTTGGCGCTCATTTTGCTTTTACTTCATTTGTTTAAGCGAAATTTGGTACAAGCTGACGTGATAAAATATTGATAATTAACGGTTCTACCCGCAGTTCTGGATAGTGATTTAGTAAAGTGTATGGAGACTTATTTGACATAGTTTCATGCTTCTAAAATTGCCTTATTATAAAGTGTCTCAAATGATTTTTATTTTATTTTTATTACTCATAATGACATTGCCGATATTTACTTGAAATATATTTCTTATTAAATGTAAGTGAAAGAAGAAACTAAAAGAAAAATGAGAAATACTATGTGTACGGAGACTTTTTTGAGCGACTGTATATTAAACCATATAGCTATAAGATAATCTAGTGGCCCTCCTACAAGTAAGTACAAAAGTCGTTAAAATTGTTTGGATGCACAATTTAAAATTATTTTAAAGTATACACGGTGGTTCAAAAAAGCACGACGAATGAAACATACATTTTTTTAAATGGTCAAACCTATTTTTTAAGTTTGTTTTGAAATTGTTTAACTGTTTTATTAATAATAATACATACCTAAACCTATTAACAAAAAAAACTAGTTTTCACGCTTATTTTTAAAGGTAGGTAATTACTATTTTAGTTTAGCGTTAACGTAGGTGTAACGGAATTTAAATTAGATGCCACAGGGTGTTTAAAATAAACGCATAACCGAATCATAACCTAACCACACTGTGTTGATTATCCGCGTGATCCCATCCAAATAAAGCATGCAAAATGCGAAGAAATTAACTTGCCTTTGCATAATTCTTAAAAATTAACTTTTTCATCTAATTTAATTTGCTTAAATTTGGAAAAAGTTTTGAATGTCATATGTAGCATTTCAATTACCACCTCCTCACCTCTTGTGATAATATCGCTTTCTGAAGATGGTCGAATTGATGGATTTTTTTCTAAAGAATGTTTAGCCAGCATTAGCCTTTGTTATTTTTAACATATTGTTTTCTATAATATAAAAATATAATTCCGAAGCCTCTTAAGCACTTTAATTGCTTTATATAAAACATACAATCACATTTTTCAGAATTTTTATACAATACCATTATTATAGAAAATTAAATAAAATTGAATAAACCAAAAAAGAACAAATGACAGTCTCGTAAATTTCTGACACATTTGCATTTTTGTTTTTAATAGGTGAGTCATAACTATCTACTTAACATTATAATAATATAATATTTATAATATTAATGGGACATTACTATTTTGAAAAAAAATATATTTTCATCCTATTTTTTCTAAATTAAGAATAGTTGATTTCTCATGGCCTGCTACTGCAAATAAAGTAAATTTTTTTTAATTTTACAATCTACAAAAAATAACACAGATACCCCATTAAGGTGCCCAAACTGGGTCACAGTGTATATGGTGGGCAGTGTATCTTGGGACACACACATATGAGCAACTATAGGGGATGGAGCTAAAATTTAAATACATAAGTTAATTGACGTATTGCAAACCTTCAATTTATTTTAATGTTGTATATACAGAGTGTTTCATTTTTCGTGGGCGGGTATCAACTTTCTTATTTTAAATTGAGCACTTGGTATGTTACTTCATTTTTGAACTCTATACAAAATTCTAGACATATTTTGTGTATAATGTCCTAGGTCTAACCGTTCTTGATATTTTTAATTTTTTATGCAAAAACTGACGTTTGCAAGACGTAAAAATCTGCCATTTTCTTCATTCGAAAGCATATATTGTTTCACTCGAAGAAGAAATTGCGATACATAATAAGATTAAAAATGCAATTAATTAATGTAGTTACGCCCGGCCTTCAAGGAGCCCCGACTTAGCTTTTCCTAAATTTTTTTCTATGGGGTACACTTAAAGATTTAGTTTACAAACACAAACCGTCAAATTTCTGTCAAAACAAGCCGAAAAACGCATCACCATCGGAGGATAAGGGGCTGTTTTTTTGGATATCTATATTCCTTTTATACTGTCGTTAGAAATCCTTTATGTTAAAATAATTATTATCCTTTGTAAGCTATTAATTTTTTTATTTGATCGTTCGTTATTAAATATTCACCAACGTTATCGCGGGGTCCTATTCTGTATAAATAATGCATAAATACATTTACATAATTTTTTGATCTTCATAAGTGTATCGGCAAGATTATGGTCAACTATGGCAGCGTTCTAGCACTTGTTTTAATTAAACGCGGTCATAGCCACCTTACACTAATTGAACTTATATGGCGACGGTATGTTATTTATGATAGACAAATGTTTAAAAGGAAATATTTCAAAAAGTAAAAATATTTCGCATATACAACCTTGTATAGTAATAATAATAATCTGTATTGTCTAACCGATTAACATCCATTTAGAAGATAATTTCATGTTGAGAACTATAACTATAATTATAATAAGTAGTGAACTATATACACCCTGACAAAGTAATAGTGAAACATACAATTCATTACAATATTTCAAATTTATGTTTAATAAATATGGTAAAATGTGAGCGACTAAGACAAAAAACTTCAATATCATCACAGAAGTAATTAAATAATTTCATCAACTGACAAAGAACACATTTAATCAAAAAATTGAACCAATAATCTCCAAGTCATTCTGCAGAGACACACAGTCGACCACACTGTCAATTATTCTAAACAATTTCACATCATCAGTAAAGAGCAAAATTAAAATTAGCGAAGCAAAAAATAAAATTGCCTTAATTTTTAATATGAAAAGATTATAAAAATAGGTTGTTTCCATTTTATGAAAAAGTTTTTTTTTTCATTTCATTTTTAATCTTATTAATATGAAATTGACAGATATTTACATGTGTTCCATCTAAACAAGATTGCTTTCGAAAAATCGTCACTAGGCAAGGCAAGTTCGTAGCGCGTAGCAGCTTTGTATTTCAAAAGGAAGCCGTTTCGCGGTTTCTTGTGCTATAGGGACCCATTGTTTTGCTATTGTGCTCCTACGGATCACTGTGGAACTTTCGCAAAATCGATGTAATTTAATTGCGCATGCACCCTTTATAAAATGTTCTTTACATCTCGACGAACTTTAAAGTTACAGCAAACTCGGTAAATATTAAGATTTGCACAAATAATAGCGTTGTCGAATGAGTTTTTTCAAATATCTCGTGCCCTGTTTAATTGACGAAATCCGAAACTCTCTCGAAACAGTTTATGATACTGTTCAAATCAAATTATCCCATTTTTAACGGTTTTTAATTTGTTATTAATTTATAATTATTTATAATTAACCCACAAAAACGGAAACTTTTAGGATTTTTTAGAGTTTTCGCCCATAAACGACACATCCTGTATATGATTCAAACTATGTTCGAAGTAGAGGTTATAGCCCTGGATCTTCCACGTTTCCTGGTTCAAGAATTTTCTGAAAATAGTAAATGGTTTTCGAGAAAATAATTTTTTTCTGAATCCAGCCCCCGAAATAACAATTTTAATATAGATTTTTTCAAATATCCCGAACAGCTTATTTGATAGACGAAAACCGCAAATACAAAAATTGTAGCTCTTGTTGCGGCCTATGACACTGTTTGAACCAATTAGCCATATTTTTTACGATTTTTGATGTTCGGCTAATAATTTACTTAATTTTCGATTTTTGCCTATAATTTGAAAACCCTGTATATGATCGAAAAAATGCCCGAAATAAATTTGCACTGGATCTTCCGCGTCTGCTGGTTAAAGAATTTTGCCGATCGGGTCAACGATTATGGAGGAAAACATATTTTTCTAGCAGCTAAAATTACCAAAAAAAAAAAAATCAAAATTTGATTGCACCCGATTTCTACCGTTTAAATGTGGACACGGACTTTTACTTATCTGCTAAATTTGATGTTGATATCTGCAAATTGAGGATACTTAACACATTTCTCATTTAACACGGAAGTTTTTGCTGTCGAGGTTGGCTATATCGCAATATAAAAGAAAGTGAGATCTGAATCATAGTCTTTCTTCAGTTATAACCATAAAATAAATTAAAAGTTTGTAATACCTCAGCTAACTTTTCTATTTAACTTTTGGCTCCATCTCCTATGGTTTCTATATATATTTGGAAACCTAATGCTGCGCACAATTTCCTGGTTAAACTGGGTCGGATTGTATACGGTCCGTGGTTTGCAATGGGTGTTTGGTCATTCGTAGGATGCTGTCGAGTCCGAAAAAGAAAAACCACAACGGTAAACCGAGGGCGTTGATCAGGGCTAGGGCGATGCTGTGTCCGGTGGTGTCGAAACATTTTTACAACGTGAGAACGACCGAAGTGGACCCCAACTTCGTCAGGCACGACGCGAGGTAATAGACGAACGTTCCGCTAGGGGGCGCTGAAACGCGTTGGTTTTTCTGTCGTAGCTTTATGGGGTTCCGACCGACGGTGTCTGCGAGGTTTCCCGAAGCAGTGGCGATGAGATACCGGGTGATCAACGTAGGCAAGGGCTCGGCCAACGAGGTCGACTTGGAGAAGTTCGGCTACTGCAGCTATATAGTGGCCAAACATGCGACGATATTTTTCGACGAGGTAACACAACAGTTTTTATTAAAAATATGACAAACCGAAATTAAAAAACCTGGATTGTGATTTTCGACCCGGCTCGCAGAGGTCATTTTTTTTTAGGAACTGATAAGCGAAAACGTTTATTTGTTTTATGACATGCAAAGTAGGGGTTTTAATAGAAACTAATTCGAAGAATATGCATATAAGTAAGATATAGTTAAAAATCGGGTTTTTTTTTTCAAATCTGTAAATTGTAATATTTGTCATACCAAAAAATATATATTTTTTACTTAATATTCTTCTATTACAAATTTGGGTGCCAAGAAGTGCTGTAAAAAAATATTCTTTTACGACGATGTCAATAACTAAAAACGATGTGTAAATATACAAGCATTATATTTTATTTTTAATTTAAATAGAAATAAAACACCATTTTATCACGTATGAATTCTAAAAATTAGGCTTGCGTCGAAGACTTAGAAATATACTACAGATTTCTCACAAGTGAAAACGTTTAGCTTTGGTTAGTTGTGCTGTTTGTAAAGCGCATTTCTCTTTATTTTGTAAACTTTTAGGCTTGGATTTTGCGATCTTTAGAGAAAAAAATAAGGGCTTTAATGGAAAACAGTTATTTGAAAAATATGCACATAAGTAAGATATAGTGCGTATGTTTTTAAGCTTCAAATTTGGGTGCCGAGAAATGCCAAGCCTGTAAAAAATATTCTTTTACGGACCATGTGAATAATTATAAACGATATGTAAATATACAAAAATTATATATTTTTAATTTAAATAGAAATAAAACACCGTATTTATCAAATATTCTAAATAAAATGGATCTAATTGTTATTAAGGTTTCAGAATTAAAAAAAAAATGCTTTCGTCGAATCCGTAGAAATATTCCTCCATTATTATTGCGATTCTTGGCTAGATATTAATTTTGTAGTGAAAATATCGCGAATAAGCACCAAACAACAAATTTCTATCATTCACAACCACAGTTAAAAAACTAGGATTGGGATTTTCGACCCGCCTTGCAGAGGTCATTTAGTTTTTTTTAGGGATTAATAAGTAAAGACGCCGTGTTTCAAAATGAATAAAGTTATCCTGTAATGCTAAAGAGAACATTGCAAGGAATTTTCTTTTTTTTCTTTTTTTTCTGAGAGGACTTAAAATATATAGTTATCAATTATTGCAAATTAGTTTTTTGATACTATACTATGCTGTGCTGTTTGTAAAGTGCATTTCATTTTCTTTAATTGTAGCAAGGTAACGGCTTTAATAGAAACTTATTCAAAAAATATGCATATAAGTAAGGTATAGTTAGAAGTTGTGCGTATTTTTGTATAAATTCTGAATTGTTAAATATTTGTTTCACGACGAACTTCAAGAATTTTAACATTCCACACGTAGCTATTGACCTCAAATTCATGGTCATGAATAATAGAAATGTCCAAAAAGTACAAGATTATAACCTACAATTGTTTTTCTTTTATCGTATGTGCTTATTCTCTGTTTTTTTTTACTAAATTAATATCTAGTCAAAAATCGCACTAAGAAACAGGAACGATAACTTACTTATTCGACCACTATTCTATCATATCGCATTTTGACAATACAAAGTTTGTTTTCACGTCCGATATTTGATTTAAAGCCAAGTTTATGTAAACATTTTGAGTAATAAAAATTAATAGGCATATTTAGAGTAACTTCAAAATAATTAGGTGATCAGCGGGGCCCCGATATTTTAACATAAGCTGGACAAGAAGCAGCACTTGGAAGGAATTTATTATAGCTTGCCATAGCTCCCAGCTGTTTTGAGGTCTAAAACTTTTTCGGTTCAACCATCATCTCCCATATGTTTTCGATTGGGTTGATGTCCAGGACTGTTAGTTGGGCATTTGGTAACGATTACTGCAGTGTGGACAGTTGTCTTGTTGGAAAATATAAAGCTGTTGCACTCTGAACCATCCTTCCCATTTTCGGATGGATTTACACTGAAATACGAATACTTTATTAATGTTACACAAACAAAAAGGAATAAAATAACATGTCGAAACTCTAAATAACGAAATTGAAGGGACTGCTTTTTTTTCGTTATAAAGAGTTATAGGCACTTGAAAAATAACAATACTCATAATTATTTTATATACATATTTTAACATCTACTTAGGAACATTTTATATAAATATTTAAGAACTACATTTAGTGTTTCAAATAAACGGTCATTTTATTTTAATTTTTTTTAGTATGCCAATACGCATCTCGTACTTTAGCTTGTATTTTCACCATTTCTTCGAGAGGGGCATCTTCCCCATGATACATAAAAAATTTCTCTAGCATCTTAACTGAATATAGGGCTTGTTGAATGGTTGATGGTGGTCTCAGAGCAAGTTCTTCATCTTCTTCTTCCTCTTTCTTTTTTTGATTGTTGTAATATGGCTTCCTCTGTCAAGTCTGCTGTAGTAGGCAAATCCTGACCAATCACCATAAAATCTTGCAACTCCTCACTTGTAAACCTAATTGTTGTTTGAAACTGCTTTATCCACTCGCTTAGTGGCTAATGATCTTCAAAGCCCTGTTCGCCTCGGTAATAAGTCCTGCATGACGATAGGAGTGTTGAATTGGTTCTGCTGTCACCTCTTTCCAAGCTTTACTAATAAAGTTGACTACATCTAGTATATTAATGACAAATTTGTCTTCAGACTCGATCATTTCCATTAAAATGTTTTTCCTGTATCGACTCTTAAGACTTTTTATTACGCTCTGGTCCATCGGCTGTAATACACTTGTTGTTTTGACTGGAAGAAATGCCAATTCAATATTCCGCAGATTTGGAATATGGGGATGTGCAGGGCAGTTATCTAAGAGAAGTAATATTTCCTCCCCTTTTCGAACTTGCTAACGTTTCGGCAATCATCCTGTTGGCTTCTTCAGTGCTTGACCCAACTCACCAAAAACCAGGAGGAATTCAGAAGTTTTGTGAAAATTCTAGTTTTTTGTTTCCCGAGAAACTTTTAGGCAATAGGTATCTTAAAATATCTCTGGAGATGAAAATTTTTCCATTTTTCTATTGCAGTACTCAAAGAGTTACGAACTGATCAACTATTCGCCGCACGGGACTTACGTCAACAATGTGCTGTACTCGAACAACGTTTGCGTCAAACGTTTGTCGGAGACAGGCGACGAAGACAAACCGGCGACCTCCAAGTGCGCGATCGTCGAGGTGCAAATGAGAGAGGTGATCAATAGGAAAAGGAAGGGGATCAAAGCGGAACCGGTCGGCAGAAAAGTGGGCGGGGTCGAGGCGCGAATGTCCGCGGTCGACTATATGGAGAGGTGAGTCCGAGGGGCGGGGGCGGAACTTGGCGCCTTTCAAGCGTGAGTTCGAGAACACCACAAATGGTTGAATGTTCAAATGGCCGAAAATCCCGAACGGCGTTCGGAAAGTTATTTTTATCGAAGGGTGCTGCAACCCGCATTCGAAAGAATATATTCTATTAATCCGTGAGTATGTTTTGAATATTTTGTCGTCATTATCGCCTCTTGTTTGTTAAGGTCAAAGTTGTCGTCTTTCAAATTAATCAATGACAACGTTCAAAACAAAATTCATTTTTTAGCAAAATAGGTAGGTAGGGTTTACACCTGATGATGGGAATAAAACTGATTATAAGCTGACTGAATTCACAGTGCAATTTGTGCTAGCCAGTCGCCAGTGAGCCCTTGGAGTAACACACATTTATGGGCCTCTACCCCTACCCTACTTTATAAATAAGATGGGGCAATACCCATAGCCACATGAGAATCACATAAAAATGTACTTATACAAAAATACTTTAAATCTACAGCATCGTCGACCTGTCTTCTGGACTCACGGCTCCAGAGCGACCCAGAAATGCCTGTAATGGCCCCACCAAATCTTTTGTTGTTCCATTGGTCTAGCAGAAAATATTTGTACTGATTGTTCTCTTTTATGATGTAAAACTGTTCAAATGGTTGAAATATAGTATAATTTTTTTCCATCCACATTTCCTTGTATTTGACGTACACACAGTGCCTTTTCCAAGTAAAAGCCTATAATAATAAACATTTTTATTTTTATGGCAAAGGTAACCAACCTCTACCTTTATACGCCTTATTAGGAGTTTCCAGTAATTTTTTTATTAAACATCAAATATATTTATTTAAGATTTCAAAAATTACCAGGAAGGTCATATACCTACTGCCACTTCAATATATATATTATTGTTTAATATTTATTGGTGGTTCTTATTAAATTACACAGCGGTAGAGGTTGCCTACCAAAGAAATACTTGCTAATCCCAGAAGGAAATCAAAATTTATGCCTATATTTGATGAAGGGTCTTTCAAGTGTTCATGATTATGTGGTCTCTTCCTTAAGATGAATACACCATTCTCTTCAACTTTTCCTGATTCTTGATATTTTGTTTCTGTGCTTCTGAGATATCTTTTTGCAATAATATATTTATTAAACTTTAATCATATAAATTGATTAATGTTATAAAGTATAACGATTTTGCCCCAAACATGCAAAGTGCCTGTTTTGTGAGCTACTATAAAAATATTAAATCAATTTTACCTCGTACCGTTACACCTGAAAAACTATTTGTTATGGGGTTATGTTCCTGTTCTGCGTTACTCTATCAATTTACTACCCACAATTAACTGAATTCCTGTTTAAAAAAAGTAATAAAATGTTAACTTAGCAAATCAATAAATTAATTAAATTAAATAAGTTTCAAACTTGATATCCCTATAAAAATCGTTGGTTCTAACCTAAACAATCTGTCACTGGATCACGTATACGTCACGTCTCAGCTGTTGGCGGATCGGATGTTACAAACCTCCCCCTCTCGCGAACCCGAATGCCATTCGGGATTTTCGGCCATTTGAACATTCATTCATTTGCTACCATCTCGTGATTTCCGTTTCGCAGGGCCGAATGTTATTGTTCGAATAGCTTCGAGGACGCAAAGAAGGGTTGGGAAGGCTCGGCGGTCCTCAATCACGGTTCCTTGTTAAAGTTCGGTTGCATAAACTTCGTGTTCTCGATAGTGGAGAGCGCCGTATGAGGTTGGTGTACATATAGCTAAGTAAATTATTGATTTTTTATTTGTATATCGAGCAGTTGTAAGCGAAACGAGGTCTCAAAATGTTTTTTTATTCTTATTATTAAAGTATGTTATTTTTATTTAATCGGTGTTTTATTTTACTGATAACCGCTTCATTCTCCTTGGAAAGGTGTGAAGGTGAAATGGAGAATGGTTTTCAGACAGAATACATTATTGACCCTTCGGTAGAACCAATTAAGGAAAAACATGTTATAAAATACTTGGGAGTGATGGTTGATCGAAACCTTAATAATAATCTGTTGCAGATTTTTTTGGCATGAATTTTATGTTATGAGAATTTCTTTCTAAAACAACAGTTACACTTATTTATAAAGCATTAATTGAATCGCTTCTATGCTATAGTTACAATTATGTTCATGATTATGAAACTCGTTGAAACAAATGTCTTCCCGAAAAATAATCTAGCCATTAAATTTTGTTAAAGCCACATTTTGTAAACATTTCAAATTGTTATCAGGCCCCGAGAAATATTTTCACTTTTGGGTTTAAACTTGTGAGCATCTGGGCACTTTTTTATTTGTCAATCATTTTTTGAAATATACATACCTTAAAGTAATGTTAATAACCACTTGATCAAAAAGTTCCCTGAATTTTTTTTCCAAAAAATTAAAAAATGCAAAGAAATCTCCGAGTGCAACACACTTATGCCAACACTTGATCCAATTTTCGAAACATTTTTTATATTCAGTTTTCGGTATATCCATCAATGCTTCCTGTGATTTTTTCCATTACTTCTTCTCGGCTGCTGAAACGCGTTTCCTGTAGTGTTTTTTTTTTGCATTTTTTTGTCAAAAAATTATGAATTCTTTCACGCAAATGTCTCATAACGCTCAAATAATACTCTTTGTTTACTCTCTGTGCTTCTGGTAAAAATTCATGGGCAGTATACCCTTGTAATCCATGAAAACTGTGGTAATGGTCAAGTTCTCCACTATCATTAAATTTGTTTTTAACGCAAAATTTAATGCAAGTTCGTTGTTGCAAATTGAAATCCATTTTTAAAATTCTAAAAAATCGCAATCATGTAGAAATAAATGTATTCTTGACTACGTAACTTTTGCAATTGTAAAGCTATGACGTTGAAATTTAGAGGTAATGTGAACAACAGATGTACCACCAACTTAACAAAAAAAAAGAACTCATATCAGAACGAAACACAATGGCTTTTCCGGGAACTTTTGGAATACAAATGAATAAAAAACATACTAACAAAATTATGTACTTAATATCTGTCAGCTAAGTGTGCATATGGGATGAAATCTCGAGCAAGTAGTTCTGTATTTGTCTAAGGACGTTGTCCATTTTAAATCAGTCAAGGTGAGTATCTGAGACTAAGTAATCGCTATGGTCTCGTCACCAGGACACTTCCCGTTGATTTGAGGGGCCAACACGCAGTCCACATGTAAGTTTATGTGTTTTTAGTTATATTTTTTCAAAATTCTCGTCAAGCTCCAGCTTTTCTAAGTGCGCATAAGGAAAAAGGCGCGTGGGTAAGGAAATGAATTGGGAGCTTGTTCAACAGTCGTAAAACACAATAGTTTAAAAATTATGTTGTAATGTTTGCTACAAGATGCAAAATTATGTGATGCAATTTCTGTTCATGACAAATTAATCACAATTTGCTTTCTGGCTTCAGGTAAGTGAAGTATGTGGGTATTGCCAACCCTTCGTTAAAGATAGCTCTTAATATCACTCGATGTCAAATAAACTTTCATACCATGCTATATGTATTTTGTATTTGTAGATGTACAAGCCGGAATACCACTACACTTTTTTTTTTCTCTGATTGACTTTTAGGAGATACGAATTGTAGTGGGCAATATTTTTTCCGCATCCCGCCTTGTAGGAATAGTTCTTGAAGTACGCCAAGTCATTAATGATAATTATATTATTAAACATAAATTACTATATAAATTGCGCATTAATTAATTTTGGGCTGTTTGGTGATTCTCAACGCTTTGTGAGAAGTTGTCGATTGGTGAAAACATCAACACATACTTCCATCTGTCAAGGACAACATTCTTTGTCACCGTACGCTTCCGTTGGTTATGTAGTCGAAATTGAGGTTTGTGTTGAAGGAGAATCTTCAAAGGTTGTCGGTGATAGGCGATTGACCTTAGTGAAATTTCTCATTTGCTTAGATCAAAGAAGAAGAAATTATTTAGCACACTACTACTACTACTACTACTACATGGGTGAATGATCACAGCAATTTTGCCCAACAGAATTAGTGAAACGCATCGTTAACCTGAATTAGAATTACTACTAGGCTGATTCTGTGGTGGAGCATTGCACGCGGCGGTTTAACCTCTGTTCGCTCCCGACAGAATCCCATGTATTCGTCCCAAAAAGTTTGATATCGGTTTCCACGGTGTGTATTTAGTGTTTTGAGTGTTCAGTGTACGTCTTAAAGTGATAATCGTCGTCGGCCCCGTCGTTTTTCCCCCTTCCGCGGTGGAAGCGGGGGGAAGCCGATTTTTTTGGTATCGGTCAGAATCGTTTTTTGCTAGCTGAGCAAATTATTGGTTATTTTTCTTCTTTGTACGTGGTGGTCATTGACCAGAAGCGAAAACCCTCGACGGAAGTCGGCAATGGGCGAATGATCCTAGCAGTCGAGCCCAACATTTTTTTGTGAAACGCATAATTGAATTGATTACTACTAGGCAATTCGTAGTATTCTCTGCATCTTGTTTGGCTTCAGCGAAAGAAAAGCGACACCGTCTCGTTAAGAAAATATTTTATTTATTTATCCTTCATAACAAAGAGTATAAGATAGAGGGGAAGGTCGCGTATATTGTTACGAATGCCATCTAATATTTGCGTCAAAGGACTAAAGTACTGTCAAGGCGGTTTAAAGTAATGTATCACACTGAAAATACTACAGTAGCTTGTAACGGATAACAGCACTTTATTCATTTTTAATAAAAAAAATTAAAACTATTTCGACATTTTTTTTCACATTCTACCTTTCAAACTTTAAATTGAATTGAGCCGTAAATTCCGCGCGTTTTCCGTTTTCATGATTGGACACAATCACTAGAGGCGTTGAAACTCGTTTACGCTTTTTAACACAACATAAAAAAAAATAGGGGTTAGCAATCATATCTCGTAACTTGGGTAAATTAAAAAGTCGTAGGGTTCAGTGTAGTTCAATTTTTGTTTTTGCTTTTCGCTTTTTCACACTTTTTCTTTCAAGTTAATTTTGTTTTGATTACTGAGGCAATAATAATGCACCTTTGAATGTCGAAACTTTCAGTTCCTGTATGTAGCGAAGTTTATTAGCCATACTTAGTACAGATCAGATGTTCTCTCTATGAGACCCAAAACACAAAACGAAGAGCTACCACAAACAATGGTGACATTGAAGAGTGTACAATTAATTATTGCGTCATTTAGATGTAATTAAAACAAAATTATCTTGACAATAAAAAAATGCGTTTTCTCTGCTGCACCCTTATTTGATACAATTATATTTTATCCTAATCTTTCGATTCTGTTTATGTCAACGTCAAACCTACTAGAGAGAGGGCGCCACTAGCACATGCGCGCCATCTATTGGCTCTTGTGTAAATTAATTACTTCGACGATCGAGCGACAGATGTCACCGCTACCGCCTGCGCGCTTGCCTCATTTTCTGTGGTTTAAAAAGAGATGACAGTGGAAAAAAGGAATAGGGACATTTCAAAAACATTTCAATAAACAATTTCATGCAATATGCACGTAATGCTTGCGGATGAAAGTACCTGAATGTTTTTTTATCTCTCTCATTTTCTGGCCTCATTCATCTTTTTTTTTCCTCCTTCCCTTTTACAAGGTAATTGTATCTAAGAAGGGGTCAAATGGTCACTTTTATGTTAATAACAAAGCTGAGGTCTCGTTCGCGACCAATATGAGAGTTACCCTGCGGTATGTAAGTGCACATGCTTTTATCTGTTCCCTGGTTTTGCGGATTAACCTATTTCTAATCAATGGTTGGGTGGAGATTTTTCAATACAAAATTTTCCAAATATATTCGTTTATTTCGAACACCCTGTAGAATCTAATTCAAGTCCCGTTGCATATATCTACGAATAAAGCCAATATCAAGTTATGAGTAGTATTGTTAGAAAATTTAAGAGTGCAAAAGTTATAAAATTTTAAAATGAGGTAATCCATTAAAGAAATAACGTACGTTTAATTCGTCACGCGTTTTTGAGCCTTTAAAATAATTTTAAATCGTGCAACAATCTACTATAATGAACATAATTCTATTGCTGACTCACCCTGTACTTGCCGACGATTTTGCACACACATTTGTCTAATATTACATCCGATCGGGCGGCCAGACCATTATAAAAAAAATCAATACATTGAGGCAGCGCGTTAACGGTTTACCACTACCCACAAACAAAACGCACACACACGAAATAGTTTGACCGATGGTCAGCATCGGGGGGCGGAGGCGGAAAAATCGCGCGAAATCCGCCCACCGATATGTTCCGACGTTGAAAAAAAATTCGCGGAAGATGGGATTCATTCACAAGTGCATTTTGTGCTTGTTGCTTTACAAATGGCAGGACAAAATGTGAGTGGATGTAATATTAATAATAACAATAATCGTCTTTAATGGGATATTTCACATTTTTGACAAAAGTGCATTACTTAATGCCAATACAAACAGAAAATATACAGGCTGAATAAAAAAAAAAGTAAAGTAAAATAACATTTATAGCAGCCTTTTTCGTTTTTATTATTATTATTGTTACAATATTTCAGACGCCTAGGTTGAAAAAAGCGTAAGTGATGTATAAAACAAAACACTATCAATTGTCTGACATACATATCATATCATATTTTTCTAAATGGAACACCCTGTATATTATATATGTGTTTAATAGAATATCTTATTCCGATTACAATGATGTAACACACTTTATATTTCGTTTTAGACAAATGGGCAAAAATAGGAAATTTTTATATAATTTGAAACAGTGCCCTGATTGACAAAGAAAAATATATTTTTCTACTCCTGTCTGTAAAATAATTACCCACCGATCTAGCGTGCGGGAAACGTCACTTTACCACGTCAGTTTTGTTCCCCATGAATCCACTTCGGACATTTCCGGGATTTTACCGCACGGATTTGGGAGCAATCGTATGTTTTCGGAGATATTTCACACGCTTTGAATTTTGACGTTTGGCAAATCTGACGGTCATGTCGGTGAATGTATTCGTTTTGTTTTGAGAAAATGTAACCAAATGCTAACGGTCGTAGAAAAAGGATAGTATGCAACACGTTCGGTAAACTTTTTAACTCGCTCGTTTATTAAAAACTCGCTCCGCTGCGCTCCGCTCGTATCAAATAAACTCGTAAGTCAAATGCTGTTTACCGCACTTGTTGCATAATATGCTATTATGTTTATATTATGTTGTTCAAGTCGTCATTATTGGTAAAATGGTTTTTCGCGAATTTAGCACCCGTGAAAGGAGTGATATGCTTCAAGTATACTTTCTGAATAATAAAAGTGCAACCGCAGTTCGTCGTCAGTATATTAGACTTTGTCCAGAGCGCCGAGCTCCTTCAAAACAGATATTTCCAAGGCTGACAAAAATATTTGCAGAAAACAGTAACGTATTAAATGCTACAAAGGTATGCCGGAATCATAATGTTTTAAATGAATAAAATAAGGCAAACATATTAGGATTCTATGAAGCACATCCTGTTTGCTCTATAACTAGAGTATATGAAGAGACAGGTATTTCTCAGAGAGATCAATCCACTCAGTTTTGAAAGAATAAAAATATAATGCATTTAAATTTCGTAAAAATCAAAAACTAAGTGCAGAACAATGTTAAAGGAGCATGCAATTTTATTTGGAAAAACATTTTAAGGACTGATGGATAAAAGTTCGTTCGCCCTGCCTAACAATGTTGTGCCAGTTAAAAATTTTCTTAACATGGAATATCCCAGGGGTTGGATAGGGACGGCGAAACTATGGATCGGCCAGTCAACTGCCCCGACCTAACTGTAATGGATTTTTGGGTACAGTAATAATATCGTGGGACTTCGGCAAACGATTTCAGAGGCAATCAATCAGTTAAGAGACAATCCAGAAACGTGCAAGACATCATACAATTCTAGTGTATGAGAAATGTGTTTAGGAAAATGGTGGTCACATACAACCGTACTTAGAATAGTTAAACAATGTTTTACTTTAGCGTGTCTTGTCATTTTTTGTGTTTTCGTTCTACTTTAATTTGTAAATAATTAAACATAAATTGAACGCAAGTTACAAAGTCTTCTGTGATAGTTAAATAAGAACAAACGTTGTTCAGATTTTCACATAAATATATTTAAATGATAGCTGTTTCGGCAACACCGTGCCTTTGTCAAATGCGAATATCAAACGGTACCGATGTTTATAAATACAAAACAGGTAGTAATTACTTAATGTGAGGTATTACACTGACATTTAACAAGGGGGATCCATTGGAATCCAGTTGGTCATTAAGTAATACATTCGAACCTCTCATCTGATTAATCTCCATAGCTTCTAGTAAGTTTAATTTTCTACTTTTTCAAACAGTGTGTAAAATATCGAAATTGTCGTCAAAATAGTGTTCTTCTAAATTTACATGTATAGCGCAATTAGAATCTGAACTATTGTTTTTAAATAATCGTCGATGTTCGTTGATACGTTTTTTGAAAGATCTACCTGTTTGTCCAATATGAATCTTAGAACATGATCCGCAATTTAATCTATAGACTCCAGAATTCTGGGATCTATTAGATTTAGATTTATTTTTTTTAACAAATTTTCCTAGGGTGTTATTAGTTTTAAAAGCAATTTTGAGGCCACATTCCGAGAGATGATCTGAAACTTTATTACTAGGTTCTCCTATGTATGTTAATGTTTTAAAACCTTGAGATTCAGTAATAAAGTTTTTTGAAATTGTTTCTTAGTTAAGATTTTATCTATCAGTGACGGGTCATAGCCATTGTTGAATGCAATTTGTTTTATAGTATTTAATTCTTTTTCAAAGTTTATTGCAGAAATAGGGATAGTTATCAGCTTTGAACTCTCGTGTATTATAGTGTCTGTGTGTGAAGGTTTATGGTATATTGAAAAATCTAATTTGTTTTGTGCTTCAAATATCGTTAAATCCGAGAAATTGAAAGAGTTATTTTGTTCGATTTCAGTAGTAAATTTTATGCGATTGTGTAATGAGTTGATATAATTTAAAAATGTATCTAATTGTCTCTCAGTCCATACGAAACACGCAAAAACATCGTCCACATATCTGTACCACCAAAGAAAACTTTTAAATAACGGATGTTCAAGTATAATATTTTATAGATTGTCCATAAAAAGTAGTAGAGGACTTGGGGTTTCGCATAATTAGTCCTTCTTTAGCTTCTTTAACTATGGAGATTAATAAGATGATAGGTTCGAATGTATTACTTAATGACCAACTTGATTTGAATGGATCCCCCTTGTTAAATCTAGCTGTTTTGTATTTATAAACATCGGTACCGTTTGATATTCGCATTTGATAAAGGTACGGTGTTGCCGAAACAGCTGTCATTTAAATATATTTATGTGAAAATCTGAACAAAGTTTGTTCTTGTTTAAATATTTTAAATGGATTTTCATCAAGTAAAAGCCACTTCAGTACAAGTCTTTTGTGGCCGCCATGTGTCATTAGCGCACCAAAGTTTTTTGCCTCATTTCTAAATTTGAGATCTTTATTTTCCAATTCAATTTTAATACGACCTCACGCGTGTTTTTTTTTTAAACCTTGTGTCGCGAATTTCCCGAAGATTTACGGTTAACCGGGTAAAAGATAAAGATTTTCCAGTTCGCGACCTCGGCCGTTTTCCGTATTCGTTAATTATGAAAAACCGCGCCTAATGTAGATAAAAATTATAATAAAACGTATAATTATTTAAATAATGCCGGCTAAAATATAAATAAAGGGCGGTCGCTCGAGCATATCGTTAGCGTGCTAAAGTCAAGCGGGTAGTTTGTCAATTATGTGGCGTTTACATTTCGTATTAACGGCGATTTTATTTTCTAACGTGGAATGTGCCAATATCAGGTAACTACAGTGAAGTCCATCTCCGTGACGCAACGACTAATAATGCGGATTCTTGTATTTATTTTTCTCATTGTTTAATTACTTTATTTACCAACACAATTATTAATTAAATAATTAATTAATATTTTCCTTTAAATACAGGGTGTCCAGGTAACATATCTCGTTTGTTGTTTGTTTTAGGGAAAAATGTTAAATGTAAAAGAAACTATTTAAAATTATTTTCAAAATTTCCCACAATGTTGATCTAAATTAATAATCATTTTGATTGAGTTGTTGATGACGTTGTACATGAATGCATCTGATTTTTATGCAAGATATTCATAGAGCTGTGAGTTCTCATAAATAATAATGCATTCTCGTTAGATCACACAACGAAAATAATGTCGACCATTTCTTCTATCCAAAAATTCACGGTTGACTTGCAAGTTCAGCGTTCGAGAAAACTAATGCAAAATCGACAGGTCTCAAATAATTATTTAGTTGCACGGCCAACTTACATTTGTATGGCCAATCTACATTCGCATGGCCGAATTACATTTGCACCAAAAGACGTCATCTGAACACATTTTTTATGGTTCAATAATACTTTTGGCTTCAAAAAAAAGACAGAATTTCTAAATAAATGGAAACATTAAAGGAAACATTTTTTTCAGAAAACTGAAAAATTTTCTTAGCAAAAATGTGTATAAATTGAAGTAGGAGTAATTAATGGAAGTATATACGTAGTGTTAGATTTGATTTTCTCACGAAATTTAATATTTTTCATTTTGACTCACCCTGTACACCTTGTATTTGTAACAATTTTTGACAGTCTTCTCAAATCTTCAAAATCTTTGAAAACTTATTCGCCAGGAAACAGAAGGCATATTATTTTTAACCAAATTTTAGGTGTGCAAAACGATTACAGAATGAGCCAATGAAAATTTAAGCTTCTTTCATTATTCTTTTAACAGAGTGCATTTAGAACCATTGGGGTTCCGATGGGTTGAGATGCTTATTGTTATCCATTCACCAATACCGAAAACTGTTTCCCAAATAATTGTATTTTAACAGAATACAATTTAGGCACCAGGAATGGCGGAAATTATTTTTTAATTTCCAAGAGGGCGTATTGCATTGTTCTTCCTATTGCCATTTTCTGAGAAACAATCTTACATTACAGATAAACTAAACTTAGACAATCAACCATACCGAATTTCGGTTGACATTGGTAGTACGCCACTGATTTCTCTTAATATAAAAATTATTCTTACAATGTCCAATCATTTCAAAAGAAACTTAATTTCTTACTTTTTGTTCAGAAAAATAAGAACTTCTTATCTCTAACAATATCGTTAATATGACAGCACGCACAGAATTATTATCATTACTATTTTTATTTTTAAATTAAATTCCTGTAGAAATGATTGGAGATTGTAAGAATAATAAAATAATAAAAAGTTGTTAGATTATTATAATTTTTATTTTATACAAATATTTAAATAAAACATTGCTTGACCATCAAGTAATAGTGTGTAAATGCTTACAATAAGATTTTTAACTATGCACCACAATGCCTATAATAAAAGTCACATTCCAAAACTAAAAACCCACCTTCGATAATGGATATACAGTCGAAACTCTATATCTCTTTTTCTTATGAATTTTTTTAGTGTGAAAATACGCATCTCGTACTTTGGCTTGTATTTTCACCATTTCTTCGAGAAATTGTCTAGCATCTTAACTGAATATAGGGCTTGTTGAATGGTTGGTGGTGGTCCCAGATAAACTTCTTCATTTTCTTCTTCCTCTTGGTACTCTGCCTCATCCTTTCTTGCTTGTTGTAATATGGCTTCCTCTGTCAAGTCTGCTGTTGTAGGCAAATCCTGATCTATCACCATAAAATCTTGCAACTCCTCACTTGTAAACGTGATTGTTGTTTGACTCTGCTTTGTCCACTCGCTTAGTGGCTGATCATCTTCCAAGTACTGTTCGCATTCTGTATCGGTAATAAGTGACGATAGGAGTGTTGAATTGTTTCTGCTGTCGCCTCTTTCCAACCTTTACTAATAAAGTTGACGGCATCTAGCGTATTAATGGAAAATTTGTCTTCGGACTCGATCATTTCCATTAAAATGTTTTTCCTCTATCGACTCATAAGGACTCTTTATTACGCTCTGCTCCATCGGATGTAATACATTTGTTGTTTTGGCTAGAAGAAGAGCTATCGACGTCCCACATCACTTTGCTTTTCTCCCCGTTCTATTTCCCGAATTAGAGCGACTTTATCATCTAGAGATAAAATTGTTCGCTTACTCGCCATGCTCGCCGTATTCACTAAGTCAAATTAGAACTGATTTAACATAATCGCTTATTACGAGAAAAACACTTGGGACGACCAGGTTTTCAGTAATTAGATTATAAGGGGGAGGGAATTCTGAGAAGGTAAGAGACTCTGTTAATTGTAAGTCTACCTACATTCCTCACTTTGTTACCTGATGTTACCTTTTTTCTTTCGATATAGAGACTGAGAAATTCGTTATACAGAGTGGATTAATACACAGTTTTGTATGACTTAACAGTACAACAACTTAACACATAGTTTTACGTTATACAGAGTTTCGCTATAGGGAATTTTAACTGTATATAATATAAGTATTAAAATATAAGATGATTCTCGAACATTTCATACCTTACTTATTATTATTTAAAGTCGCAGTACACACAGTATTTTGACTGAGTCTATTAAGCAGTAGGGGATTTAGTATATTTAAATGATAGAAGTAATATGAAAGAACTCCCTATTCTCCCATTTATAATAAATGAGCATGAGAAAGACAACAATGTCGAACAGAGAAACTTCTAGCTTAGATCTTTTTCGCTTGGTATTGTACGACCAAAAATATAGTGCATTTATATTTTAACCCCACAGCTTCGTAGGACCGCGGTAAAACCCATCCCAACAGATGTTTATTCTGTATTAAGTAGGTCTTGTCTGAGATGGACCTTAACGAATATTTGTGGAATTCTCGAATATTTTAACATCAGATGTAATTAAGTAAGTACCTGTACTCTAATTATCTTACAATTAAGTTCGAAAATAATCATTTTTTTTCTTGTGTGCCAGTCGATTCTTCTTCTTGTTTTTTTGTGTCTTCTCCATAGTTCTTCGATTTGTAAACAACAACAGTCTTTTCTAAGACTGTGGCTTATATTGAGATTGAGATGTTTTGGTCCGAGTGGAAAGCGCAAATATAAAGAAATAACACTGAACTAAAATTTAGTGATAGTACCATAAACGTAATTCGGCACGAGGTAGCTGAAATATCAGTGCAAAGCTGGGTTAACTGTAAAAAACTAGTAATAAAAGAAGAAAATATTTATCGAGAACGATTAGTGGATGAATTGATCATTAAACTAGGTGACGATAGTAGCGATAGTGACGATTTTTTAAGTGACTGATTCATTATTATTATTATTATATTTAATATTTTGTATATTAATAATGATACTATGTAAAAGTGTAATGAAATAGAACGTAATAAATTGTTACTTTGTACTAATTTTTTTATGCACATGTTTCAAGAATTGGTAGGCAAAAAAGATTGAAGGAATAGTTATATCCCGCTTGTTAGTCTATGTACATAAATTCCTAGGACGGTCCTGGAATGGTTACAGGTAAAGTTAATTACAGTTGGCAAAGTTAATCACGGGCTCGGATGTAAAAACACTATATTTCTGATCATAGTATACCTAAACAGTTATACGGGCGATGCGCGATATTTATTAACATTTCTACGGGGCACAGTTAAACCCTTGTTTACGTTGGTTGTAGATATTTAGGCACTTTATCAATCGCATAAATCATGGACAATGGCACTATTTTAAGTATTTCAAATCTTTTATTTATTTTATTTATATTTCTTAATGTAGCAACCACTACGAAACCAAGCTGCAGAGGAAAGGTTTCAAAGTGTACTGGAACTCACCGACCTTCCAATGCGACTCGCACAAACAAAACTTTTCGCAACTCCTTGAGAAGTACGGCATCGTCCAAAACGCAAACGCCAGATTTCGAGGCGATAACATCACTATTTTGTACGATCCAGGAAGCTTTCCCGCCATCCTGAAAGACGCAGGTGACCGTCTCTTTTTAAGGTAGGTTAGTTAAGGTTAACGAAAAATGGTAGCAATTCCAGAAATGAAGACATAAACTGAATACAAAATTCGTTTATGGAGAATGTGTTCTAGGAATGGCGGAATACCTCAGCAGGGAAACCTGACGCTACACTTGAATTTGTTAAACGAAATCGTCGAGCAGCTTATACCAAACACATTTTTTTCTGGTAAGCAGATCTCTTAAAGGTTTAGACCAGTGGTGTAGAAACTTTTTTTTAAGACGATCGTAGCGGGCCAAAGAATAATGCTTAATCGTTAACAAAATTATGTGTTTTATAAACATATACATATATTATTATATACACTTATTATTTTAATAGTAACAAAGCAAAAGGTAAGAAAACTATAAGCACAAAATATAAAATGAATTTATTATATTATATTATTGATGTGAAGTATTATCACTTTATTTTCTGGTGTCATTACGAACTTTTGAATAATACAGGATATCGTAATGTACGGACCCCAAAAACTGTTGAAACTGGCGATGTAATAATTGATGAATCATATTTACTAATTTTACAACAATATTAAATATATGGTCAATATCTAAATCCGATTTACAGAGAGCATCGTGATGTATAAGGCAATGTAAAAAAACAATATCATTTTCCGGATACTTAGAATTAAATTTTTTTATCGATGAGATTTTCAAATTCACAAAATATATCGGCACCAATCGTTGTTCCTTTCATTGACTGCAGCCCTGCTAGTTCTTCTGTAATTTAAAAGTGGGCTTTGATTCCTGTTACAAATATGAGTAATTGCGCAGTATCGCTGATATCTGTACTTTCATCGATGGTAATTGAATAAAAAATAAATTTTTGAGTTTTTGTAGTCAGTTGTGAAATTACATTTGTATCAATATTTTCAATTCACTCTCTGATTGTTCTTCTTGAGAGAGATAGTGACTGAAAATCATTTATCGCATAATATCGCACACATCTATATAAATTTTCCATCTGAAAATGCTTTATTAGATTTAACAATATTATAAACCAACACATAACTGGCTTTCGTAGCGCTTCTTCGAGAATGATTAGCTCTCTGAAATAATTGTTGTTGACTTGATAAATTTTTTATTAAATCTTTCGATTTTTTTTTCACTTCCTCACTTAACGAAGAGTAGGAGTGGTTTTCATGTTTGCTCTTGAAATGGCGTCGAATGTTAAACTACAACAGTTGTATTGCAAAGTAAGCACACAGGTTTTTCTTCTTTAAGAACTCGACATTCTGAATCCACTTTTCTTTTTTTAACATCCATTTTAGACGTTACCTACAACGGAGAATAACACAGAATCGCAATTGACGAAAGCTTACTACTAACTAATGCTCTTGCGCGGGTGTTTGTTGAGGCAGTGGGAGTTTCGGGGATTACACAAACAATTACTCGAGTCACAGCGGGTTGTTGCAGATGACTGACTAAGTCGCTAACTAACTGATCTTCGGATGGCCTCGCTTGTATTTATACCTACCTGCAAGGATTGTTCGGGAATTGGATTTTTCCGGTTCTTTGGGAAAAACAGAACAATGAATCGAAAATGCGAGTGTCTGGAAGTTTCGAGCGAAGAGTTAGCTATTTGGGTAGTATGGATTTGTCCAGAATACTATTGTGTTTTGAATATCGCCGCAGGTAGTTTTAATGCGGGTCGTCACATTACGAAGAAGAACGCGGCGCGACGGCGCTCTTAAACCTGTCCGCGGACCGTAGTTTCCCCATCACTGGTTTAGACTATAAATTAAATTTGGCTTAAACATAACATTAACATTGCAAACTGGCTCCCGCCTTTTATTTGTCAAACATGTCCCTCCTTCCTCTAATGATACTTTGATCATCTAGAATATAGCGTGGATATTAGGGCACAACTGACTATCAGAATGTGAATGTTGCCAATGATGACAAGTAAACTTTTACACTAAATGAGGCAACACCTTGCTATAATTTTCTTCATCTAGGCTCTAATTTTCAAATTGATCAGGTTATGATGTACCAAGCTGATTCAAAACTTGATTTTTTTCAATTTATTTGAATTTATCTGTCCTGCGCACTAATGCAGATTCTACAATGGTTTACATCTTCCTCTGACAGAACAAAAAACACTATTTGAAAATAATTTCTTTTATTCCACCCTATGCATTTGCTACTGCAAGAAACTACTCTTTGATGGTGTTTAACAACAAGTTCATCCTAACTCCCTTTCAGTAGACGTTTGCTGCAAGCAGCTTGCTGATTATAATAACTACTGGGTTATTTTTGTGTAATACCTACCTGTACCTATTATTTTTCCTATTTTTTGTTCAAAAATTACAGCCGTATACATTGCGAAAGTTTCCATGCAGCTTGTTTACGATGAAAATTAGAAATTAAAATTATCATTTGAACGAAAGTCCTGCAATGATTTTTTCATTTAGGTTACTGTTTTGATCACCTCGATTTTAAAATATCAATACACACCACGCACACACCAAGGAAATCAACCCCAAATATATCATGCCAGAAAAGGTATGACTTGGGTATATGTCTATTAACTTCCAAGAAATTAAAAAATAGCTGAATATATAGTGTTTTGCCTTTCTGTTTCCCTCCATTCTATAGTATCCATGTCAGCTCAATAACATGAAAACTTCTAACATAATAGTGGGTCCATAAAATAATGACCCCCTTCTATTCTCGAATTCATTCATTTTGGTTAATATTTCGTTCACAAATGTAGCAGCAGAAAGGATATGAGTACAATTGGAACTTTGCCTTGCCTTGCGAAAGCAGTCAGCATTTCCAAATTCTTTTATTGCTAAAGGCGGAATTGTTTACTTAAGATATATCCTTGTTGCTAATGAATTGGTAGGAGAAGATCATCAATGAAACCAATAAAGGCTTCAAATATTCAAAATAGTTTCTGAAAATAATTTCCAAATAACATACATTTTGAACTGTCTATTCTTTCATCAAAAGTCGAATGAAAGAGACAGCATTAATTAGGATAAGTCCGCTGTTCGCTAAACTAACCAAAACATTAGCAACCTGGAAAGTATTTGAAATGGTCAATTATGACAGAAAAAATAATCGAATATTGGCAAAGCCCGAAAAGTTACTATAAATTACTAGTGCATCAACTGGCAATTCCGTTATCTATCACCCGCTACAAACTTTAACCCTACCATTATAGGAATGATATTAAAATAGATGTTCCAGAATGGTTATACTGGGAAAAATCTTAATATTTCAACAGAAATAAACACACACAGATCACACAGATTATTAGGTCAAATTACTCCGAGCAATCAAAAACTCATTTTTAAACGGAGTTTAGTTAACCGATCTTGCAGGAATCGCCGTAATCGACTTTGAAAGTTGGCGGCCCGTGTTCCGGCAGAATTTCGGCACCCTCTTACCGTATCAGGAAATCTCGATCGGCGAAGAACGCAAAAATTATCCGAGCTGGCCGATAGCGTGGCTGAAAAAGGAAGCAGGTCGAAGGTTCGAAGAAGCGGGTCGCACGTTTATGACGGAAACTCTCAGGTCTGCGAAACGGCTCCGTCCTAACGCCACGTGGGGTTACTACGCCTACCCTTATTGTTTCAACATGTCGCCCAGTAACATGAAACGAGCTTGTGCCAAGGAAGCGCAACAAGAGAACGACAGGTACCTTTTCGTACTTACCGTTGAGCTTTACTGCAGCCATACAGCTAAAACGTCACAATTAACCTGAAAAACTGGCGTATTGACGAACTGTCAGCGGCCATGTTGATTTTTGGACGTCACAAGGTCTCGCAATGGTAAAGTACATAGGGACCGATATATCTAGTTGCCTGAGGTTCATAATATCAAATATTCTATTTTTGAAATTTTAATTATTATTTTTTTATGAATCATGGTTCTGGGCTCCTAACTTAATAGATTAATTTCATCTTTTAGGAACTGTGCGGTATACTTTCTTCAGGCACTTGTTCTGAAACTGTAATTAAAATAATTGATACTTTTTCTATATTGTTTCCTACTCTTGCATCTTTGAGGTTTAATTTTTAAAAAGTTAGTCGCAATTTTATGGCGGTTTTATCGGAGCATGTAATTTTGGTAATTTCAGTGTTAAGCTGATTGTTACGCGCCTGCAATTGTCCATATTTAATAAATATATTTTGCCTATTTGCAGTAGACTTTGTCAGAATACTTTCGACTAATACTTGTTTGACTCTCTCTAGTTCTAATTTCTGTCTTTTGTCCACCGCAAGTGTTTACCATAAATAATTATGTAAATATCATCCCATAAATAAATGCTGAATATTCTGATCTCATACACTGACGATTTCTTGACTACCGTTTGCTTTTACGCAGTATTGTAAATATTCCTTTAAACAATTGAAAAATAACTTAATCAAAACGTATAACAGAACCCATAGACTTAAAAGTGACCAGCATTTGCCCACCGTTTTTGTGATGACTCACTGACTGTTTACAGTTCATCATTCCACCATTTTAGGCAGAATCTCTATACAGGATTATTCCAAGTGTTCCGAAAGTTTGTTTCAGAATATGCAGGTGTCCATTAGGGTTACTTTTTAAAAATTACTTTTATATTAACAGGTTGTCCCACAAGTGGTGAAACCATGCCATATTTTTTTAATTTTTCAAGGAGTCTTTTGTTTAATTACCCACGGTATTCGGTTGTAGAAGTTTTATTGCAGCCAGTTGGTACTAATTTTTGTAATTGTTGAAATTTAATGTTAATGTTGTGTTCTTGTTTAGTCTTTTTTTTTTATTTCTTAAAAGGGCATATTGATTTGATTTTTATCTTATGTTAGTTATTAGATTGGTTAGATTTGATTACTTAGTTGCTACAGCCCTGGTAATAAATTATAATTATTATTATTGATACGTGTGATTGTTTAAAGTGATACAGCTACTACTAGACCTTGCATAAGTTTGGATGCGGCATTGTTACGGCAGTGTTTTCTCAAAAAATGCCTAGATCGCATTAAATATTTTGTTATTTTAAATCAAACACCCTATATATTTCGACATTGTTGGGACCCTTGGTTAAAATAAAGGTTACTTTCTTAAGAAATTCCTATTCAAATTTTGCATAGCTTAGGCAAAAACTGAGGTTATATGTGTTTTTTTCATATTTTTAATTGCCCCATATAAAATTGTGTTGTGGCGCTACTGATTCAGCTATTGCAACAAAAATTTAACCACAGACTAAAGAGATGATGCACTACTCAATCAGTTTGTCAGATGCGGCTCAGCTTATACAGGGTGTCCGCTTATACAGTGTATCAGCAAAATTATAATATTTTAAATCTTCAGGAGAGTCCAAGAAACTTTTATACGAAACTTATTATTTAATAGCTATATGTTCAAAGTACATAATTGTTACAGTGTTTTGTCGAAACGTAACGAAATTACACCAAGTTATAGGCACTTCAAAGTGCATTTTTGGGACATCCTGTACAAGACGGAAAGTTTTTATTTATAATTGGGACATAAAATAGGGTTTTGTCTTTGGCTTTAAGGTTTAGATATCATAAACCTTATTGAAACTACCTTATTTTGACAGTAAAATCCACTTGAGTTAAACACATTGAGCACTTTTGGGACAACCTGTATACCATGTAATGCGACTGCAATAGATGCTCATTTGTAACTCTGATCTCGTAGAACGACTTGGTTGTTTAACCTCGCGGATAATTTTTATCCGTCGTTGTATTTGGGGGACAAGCGACTGAACGCGACGGACAAAATCCAGTTAGTACAAGGACGGTTGGACGAAGCGCTCAGATTGAGGAAAGCATTGAACGCGCCGTCCAAGCAAATTTTACCTTACTTTTGGTATAAATACCAAGACACCCTCGAATTTCTCAGGAAGGTAACGCCTTCAATCCGATTCTGTTCGAATTAGTTCATTAGTTTTTCTGCTTTAGGACGATCTTCTCAATACCCTGACAGTATTAGCAGGTTCCAATGTCGACGGCGTCATTTTGTGGGGAAGCAGCAACGACGTGAACACCAAAGCCAAATGTCAACAGTTGTACGCGTACCTCGACGACATACTCGGACCTCTCATCCAAAGAATTTAAACATCCGTTCGCGTTGTAATATTCATTAAATTTTTATTTATTTTCACGTCAAAGTTTAATATATTTTATGTTTAATGAGACTATTTGATTAACTTCAAAATTTTTGAAAAAAATACGGCCAACAAAAAAAAATCCATAAAATTTTAAAACTCGGTTAAAAAAAATCTATAGTTTAAGTTGAAACTTTAAAGTAACAAAACTCCAATCCCTTTTGTTTAATGCTGTTTGTTCTATATCTGCAAGAAAAATGATTTTCGAATATGGAATATCTCTAAAAAAGGCTTGGAGCATACCACTTACAAATCTTCTGGTTGTTGACGTTTCGGCAATTATCCTATTGCCTTCTTCAGAGCATAACTGAAACTGGTACAAATTCTACTGTTTGAAGGGGGCGGAGCTAAAGGAGGTACATTCCCACGCATTCCCATATCGTTGACAGGGATAAGATCATTGGTTTTCAACTATCTTAATCCAAGTCACTAAACCCAGAACTAAGAAATGTCCCTTCTCTCTAATAGTTTCCATATTAGATATTAAGAGTGCCATCACAAAATACACTTCACCACAATCTTACAAAGATAATGAGTCCGATAGCAACGACACACTTGCCATTGTTGTCCTTCCTAACGTATAAAAAGCATCACTGACCGCATCAAAAGTTCTTAAGAAATATAACGACAAAACCAGTTTTACCACTTGTCCAAAAATATCTCAACACCTTCGATGAGATCGAGATACGCAACAGGAGTTTACAAAGAATACATTGGAGAGATCGGTAGAAAAATATCAACTAGGCTCGTGAAAGAGCCTTAAGATTATGCAAATAAACTTCTCAGCAGCGAACACCAAATTTTATTCGATAAAGGCAAAATTCTTGCATGTAATCCATTCTATTATCAATGAAAAATCCGAGAATCGATAGAAACCCATAAATAACCAAACAAGTTTTCTCCTTTCAGCAATATGGGAATCAGTGATTCTAGACAATGTAATGACAAGAAAATTTAATGCGGTAGTTCCAACCGTACGAACGTTACAAGCCTTCAAATGCTTCTCGGAGGTCCGTCGCAGAGAACAGAAAAATTTGATTTTTTTCGACGCTGAATATATCTATACCGACGGCGACCTCGTACAAGCAACTGTTACCGAGACCTCGAGTTCAGCGATGAAAATAATTGTTATATTTACCATTTTCTCATAACTTTTGGAAGCCATAAGATAATGAACTTTATTCTATCATTAATTCACCATGTTCGGGGTTATTCACTCTATTCTGACACCCATCTACAGGGTTAATTTTGCAAATGTCAGAAAAAACAAACGACGATCGCGAACTGTCAAAATGTACATTGCTGTCATTTTGACAGTCATGATGTCAAGTGTCGCAATAGTATAATAATTTACGTTGAAAGTAAAGTAATATATTGAGGTCTTCAGCAAAATTTCTTTCTATTCAGTGGTACACTATTTCGAGCCTCAAATTGTTCAATTACATTTTTAGTTGTAACGGGTGATTCAATAAAAGTTTCCACATTACAATCTGAAATATTTTTGAAAAGCCACTGTATTAATTTATTATCATATGAGATTTCTAACCTCAAAACATAAACAAAATTAGTCATGGAGCAATATACGACTGAACAACGTGTAAAAATTGTGCAAGGCAATTATGAAAATGGTCGATCAAGAAAAAATGCATTTTGGGCTCTGAGAGGACAATTTGGAATGTGGTTCAAAAATTTGATCAAACTGGATCTGCAACTAACCTCAAAGTCCCTCAACGTGCTCGTATAGGTCGGTCAGATCAAAATATTACCATTGTTCGTGAAAGTGTAGCCGAAGATCCAAACACATCAATTCGTCATCGATCGCAGCAAGTGCGCCTTACGTATTCAACCACACAGCGAATTTTAACAAAAGACTTGCATCTACACCCATATAAAGTCCAAATAACTCAGGAGTTGAAACTTCGAGATCATCAACAGCGCCGCGTGTTTGCAGAATGGATACGAGAACAAGGGGTTCATTTTTCAACGAAAATCGTCTTTAGCGATTAGGCACATTTTCACGTTGGTGACTTTGTAAACAAACACAATGCTCATATTTGGCGATTAGAAAATCCAAGAAAGATTGTTCAAAAAGTGACTGGTGCACATTTTGACGCGGAGGAATAATTGGCCCTTTTTTTTTTCGAGGATAATGCGGAGAACGCTGCTACGGTTAATGGTGTTCGCTATCGAAACATGATATTTGAATTTTTCTGAAGATTTGTGGTTCCAACACGATGGAACCACTTGTCACACATCCAGAGAAACGATGCAATTGCTGCGTGGCAAGTTTCATGTGATCTGATTTTTTTTGCGGGTATCTAAAAAGCAGAGGGTATAGAAATAAACCAATCACTATTCCAGAGCTGAGACAGAAAATTAGACCCGAAATAGCCGGCATAGAACCTGAATTGTGTCAAAAAGTGATAGGAAATTTCAATAAACGAATAACGTCATGCCACATGAGTCGCGGGGGTCATTTGAATGACATCATCTGGCAAATAAAAATGTTTGTATATTTTTATAATCTTCGGAGTTTTTTTTATTATTTTAATGTGGAAACCCTTATTGAATCACCCTTTATATATTGAAGGAACTCTTCTACCCGGATATATTTGTGGATATTCTCTTTTAACCCTTGCAATTTCCTTCCTCTGTACAACCCACAACAACAACATAAAACATAAACAATAACAACAAATGTTTTAAGTTATTTAACTTACGCAGGAGATCTTTAGTTTTGATTAGTTGTCAAAAGTACAACATTGTTAAAACAATTGCAAACATAGAGAATATGGTTTATGTCAAAGCAGACTTGATCATTTGTAAATTGAAATATATCAAAAACGGCTAAATAAAAATGTCAATAAACTACACATTTTTGAAATCATTCCGTTTAAAAAAAATGTTGCTGTCATTGTGACAGTATAATAATTTACCTTGAAAGTAAAGTAATATATTAAGGTCTTCATCAAAATTACTTTCTATTGTCCTGGTCTTTCGTGTGACACTATTTGGATCCTCAAATTGTTTAATTATATTTTATATTATATTGAAGAAACTCTTCTACCCGGATATATTTGTCGGTATTCTCTTTTAACTCTTGCAATTTCCTTCCTCTGTATAACCCACAACAACAACATAAAACATAAACAACAACAACAACAAATATTTTAAGTTATTTAACTTACGCAGGAAATCTTTAGTTTTGATTAGTTGTCAAAAGTTGTTAAAACATTTGCAAACATATGGTTGCTGTCAAGGCAGACTCGACCATTTTTACATTTTAAAACAATATGGCTATTGTCCAGAAATCGAATGATAATTATTTTTAAACTGAAATGAAGATGAAATATCAATTAAAGAAGATCTACTTAATAATATATAGGGCGATCTCTTAACAAAAAAAGCCGTTGCTGTCATTTTGACAGCTCGCGTTCGTCGTTTATTTTTTCTGACATTTACATAAGATAATAGGGCAAAAATATCTAAACTTTTGTATTTACACTTTTTTTTCTATCTTTCAAAATGAACCGTGTTGGTGGGTGTCAAAATATAATGAATAACCCAGTACATTAAATTGATAATGAAATAACGCGCGGGATAAACTGAACGATAACTCAATAGTTAAACACGTAGTCTTAAAATATTTACAAAACATTTTTACAAATTACCTAATAATATGTATATATCACCTTCTCGTAGGATCGTGCTTGACGTGTCATGAGTCCGACGTACTGCCCGAACTGCTCGACCTTCTGCGGTGGTGCTTCTTGGACTTCTTCTTGCCACGCGACTCGTGCCTACTCTTCGAGCGTTTCCTTTTGTGCGTCTTCTTCTTTTTCTCCTTCTTATTTTTCTCGTAATCTTCCCGCGGGCTCCCGCGTTTTTCCTTATCCTTTTTCCTCTCCCTCCTTCTGTCCTTCGATGAACTCCTTTGCTTCCTAACCGTTTCGGGATAACTTACGTCGACGATCTCGCAGTCGTCTGAACTCGGGTCTGAGTTGTCCTTTTTCTTTATCGGGGTGGATTCTTTCTTAACTGACTCGACAGAGGGAGGCTCTCCCGATTTAAGTCTCAAAAACGCGGCCGCTTTCCGTTTCCGTTCGAGCTGCAGGGCTTTATCTCTCGCAACGCTCGCCATTTTCTCGCGAGCCGCCGCCGCCAGCTTATCTTTGATCTTATCCTCGGCTAAAACGAGGAAATTTCGTTTTACAAACGATAGTAGATCTAAATGGTTTCATCACAGATAAATAACTGCGAGTGAAGTTAATCTGCAATTAAAGTCCATTTGAGATCGTGCTTATTGCTATTCAGTCACCAATGTTCAAAAAAAAGTTTGTACAATACCAAAGTTATAGACGTGACAAAAAAAAACAATTTAAAATTATTTTCAAATATACACAAAACATGCCACAGAAATAACTTTTACGAGTTTCGTCATCGCAATAAATTAAGTATTCAAGCCAACACTTTTCCAGACATTAAAAAAAAACTCCAGTAATACCAGTTTTTAATATTTGAAATTATCGACCTACTTGCAATTGTTTCAAAAATTGCAAAGAAATGTATAGTTAAGCAATTAGTTCAATACTTTTTATAAAACTTCTGGATTCCTCCTGCGTAGGTTTTTGTTAGCTCGAACTTGCTAACGTTTCAGAGCTTCAGAGCTTGACTGAAACTGTACCTGCTTATATATTGTTTGAGGGGGGCGGAGCTAAATGAGGGACATAAACACTGTCTCGGGTGACAGGTCGCGGCTAAGATTGTTTGTCTTTGACGGATCGAGGATGTTGAGAGATTTTGGACAAGGTAAATCTGGTCTTGACGTTTTTTGCTTTAGAACTTTTGATATGTAGTCATTGATGTTTTAAATATAAGGAAGGACAACAATGGCAAGTGTGGGATTGCTTTTGGTTCCATTGCTATTGGAAGGTTGTGGTGAAGTGTATTTTGTGATAGAACGCTATATACTTATTAGAGAGAAGAGTAGAAGTAAAGTGTTTTAATTCTGGGTTCCATGACTCGGGCTGAGATAGTTTTATGGCTCCGTAAACAAGAAAGTTTTTGGGCCGGATGATGATGTGAGAATGCATTAAGGTATCTTTGTGTACGTAGGTTTTCTGTAAACACAATGACCCAATGTTAGGTCTGATTTTCTATTGATAAGATTATCTAACAATTTGAGGCTGTTCATTCTCATTCATTTCTATTTCAATGGTAAATCGAATGTTAGTTTGCTTAGAGTTTAAATAACAAAAGTATCATCGACGCAGCGTTTCCATAATTTTGGTTTTAGATGGAAGGTGTCGAGAGCTTTCTTCTCAAAGGCTTCCATAAATATATTCGCGATGATTGGTGATAGTGGAGAACCCATAGTTGTTCCCGACGTTTGTTTAAAAATTTGACCGAGAAGGTTTGGTTCCAGATTCTCCGATTTTAATATACCGGAAATGGCGGTGAGAGTTTCAGGAATATGAACTTTAGTAAAGAGGGATCCTACGCCGAAACTTCTCCGCTCCGCCCCCCTCAAAGAATATAAAAGCAGGTACAGAATAAAATGCGAGTCAGTTTCAGTTAAGCTCTGAAGAAGCCAACAGGATGATTGGCGAAACGTTAGCTAGTTCGAGTCAACAAAACCCGACGCAGGAGGAATCCAGAAGTTTTATGAAAAGTACTACAGTAGCCTGTGGAAGTTTCTTTGAAAAATTAGGTCAATATTTTGAAATTAATGACATTTTTAATAATAAACAGTTTGGTTTTAGAAGAAATAAAAACACTGTTTCAGGCATTTTCAACTTGGTTTTAGACATTACAGATGCATTCCAAAATTGGCAATATAACACTGTATTATTTTGTGATCTCACTAAAGCCTCCGACTGTGTCGATCATGAAATTCTTCTGTGCAAGTTAGAGGCTTATAATTTTTCCAATAGCAGTCTTAGTTTCATGCAACCTTACCCTAGCATTAGATGCCAAGTGATTAAGTGACATCAGCAAAGAGTGAGGTGAACAATGGGTGCCCCAAGGCTCAATTTTGGGTTCCATATTATTTTTAATATATTTAAATGGCCTTCCCCTTGTGGATCCTTCATCCGATTTGCACACTTTTTGCTGATGACACCACTGTGTCTGTTTGGGGATTTATTAGAAGACACGTTGGAGAGTTCCAGGATCGCACAGGAAAAGACTGAGTGGACTTGGTTATCGGGAAGATTGTAAAAATGCCATTCGAGACTTGGAAATTCTTACATTGCCCTCATTGTTTATCTTAGAAAATATATTATTTATAAAGAAAAATTGCATGACCATCAAACCAGATGTGGTGACAATGTGGTTATTACCTATTCCGCTTAGAGAGGTGTCAAACTGGTCCAAATTATTGGTCCGTTAAGTTTTTAAATGGACTTCCAAATGCTATTCGTAATTTACCATTTGAAATGTATAAACAAACAGTCAGACAATTTTTAATTAATCAGCATTACTATTATTTTGATGATTATTTGTATTTCAATTATAATGTACAAGGTGCATTTTAAGTATATGTTATTTTATTCTTTTCCAAATTTATGTGAGATTGCAGTCTTCTTATTAAAAATATTTGCTAATTAGTATTCTATTTTTTTAATAAAATATCATGTTAAACGCGGTCAGAGACGTTGAAAAAATCGTATAGTCTTATGACATTGCGCAGCTCTGAGTCGAAGCCCTCGACCACACCCCCCAAGACCCTTAATAGGGCTTTCATCGTCGAAAGTCTCCAAATAAAGGAACAATGCTAACATAACGGTAATTGTCGGCATTTTTGGCTTCTCCTTAAAAATACAGGATGTTCCATGAAACAATATATATAGAGTTTTGTTCGTAAAAATGTGTATACCTCAATAATGCTTAATAAAATTAAAAAAAATTAATTAACCGAAGTATAATATACAGGGTGTTACGTTTCATTTTGTGAAGAAAATTATTTTTTTAATTTCTCACCTTGTATAAACGATTCGCAGTAAAAAGAATATATATAGAGTGTTAAACACAGTGCATTTGGAATGAAAATGGTCATAAATCCGAAAACACTCGGTATAGACCATAAGAACTCCACATTAGATGATTTATTATAAAATTATTTAAGACTAGTGCAATAGTATACAGGGAGTCTATAAATTTGGTTCCCACGTATTTATGAATCAACTTGTGTATTTAAAAACAATCTTAAATTGTTTCTTTTAGTCTTATAACTTTTGTTATTAACATTACTTTCTAAAACAAATAATAAATAATATATATTACTTTGGACACCCTGTATACAGGGAGTGTCTATTTTTGCACCATACCTACACCTTGATTTTGGGAATTTTTTTTAAATACAATACAATAGGATTTTTTTTATCTATTATCCTTTGCTAATTACAGAATAGTTCCATATCTATCAAAACGACATAACTTCGATTGTTAACTATAACGCCCAGTATATTTCAATTTATTTGAAAAAAATTGTTCGTCCCTATACGGTGTAACATAATTCGTATTAGTGAAGCAAGACAACTTTTCAGTTAAGAACATCTAACATGTGCTCTTTCTTCTAATAATTCTCACATTAGAGATATTAAGCGTTCCACCACAAAATACACCCTAACACAACCTTCCAAAGAGTGTGCAGAGCAGAAAATCTAAAATGATTTTCAGCACTTTCTTATCGCCGATTTACTTCATACTTAATTAATCTGTTTTCTTCAAATTCACGAGATCGTCCGTTTCCCTAATACCCTACTGGGATACTCGATATAACGTCATTAGTTGTCATTGGTAAAGTTCGCCCCAAGTTTTACAACCTTTTATAGTTTTCACTTCGGAGTGAATTTACCACATGCCAGGATCATATTCAAGATGTTATATTTTAAGAGTAGGAATTGATTAAACTGTTACATTAATTCATATTAGCGTGTTTTTTATAAATCTTCCTAAGACAGTCCCTACTCCAGGTAGCTCGAATTAGAGTTGAATTTACCCATTAGATAGGTTGATATCCTATATTAGAAACACATTAGAAAGCTTAAACTGATTTCAAATTTAAAATGATTCTAAAATATTTTCCTAAAAAAGCAATACAAAATCTTATGTAGATAATCCATTCATAATGAACGTTTTCCCAGTTTGCTATTGGTTGATTTGTGACGGTTGATGAAATCGGGGTCCAGTTGTTTTACAGCTAAATTTACTCCTTTATTTATGTTTATAATAAACACTGCTTGGATTAATAATACTCGAGGAATTTCACCGATGAAACTCCTTCAGCTTTCAGTATTTTTATGCAGTACCGAAGTACTGAGGATCAGCGTTAACGTCATTATGGACTTTCGAATCTCTTTATTGAGGTTTACAAAGAGAAATCCAAAGGCTGCGGTTAGACCTTCATACAAATTATGTCGTCTATTTTCCTATATGATGTTGGTCACTGCTTTTTACATAGTACTTACTCCTTGTACGCAGATGATCTAAAAATTTCAAACTCGGCGCCAGACTAAGTATTGTTGCAGATAGATTTGTCAAATTTTGAAGAATAGATTATTTGTTAACCCTGAGAAATGTCACTGTAAAAATTATCACAATTGCAAATTAAAGTGATCTCTACCTTGGTAATTACAAACTGAATGTTTCGGAATGTTTCTTTTTAAGATGCAGTCTTCTAGGGGTGACTAAAGGGTTTAATAATAAAAAATCTTTAATAATACTTTTTTGTAGTCTTGTCAGACCCGTGTTGGAATATGCTACGCCAGTCTGGAATCCAATGTATTTTAAATATATCTAACGGCTGAGAGTTATAGTGAAAACCTTCATTTCTATTGTTTTTAGTCTTTGGAAAATTGTAGAAATTTTGATTTACTATTTCTTTATAAAGTTGGAAACAATTTGATTGAATCTCCTTTCGTTTTGGAAAAAATATACTTTAATTGTAACCCCTACAATCTTCGAAACAGGCAAAAGTTGTCTAGATATCACTTAAACCACTCTTCTACCTCTCCAATTATCAGATGTACCCGTACTTATAATAGGGTAGAGAACGCGTTTCCGGATCTTGACCTATTTGCCCTGAGCTTTAAAGCCTTTAAACGACATTTAAGACGGTATTAACATACTGTCATAAAAAGCCGTAATTAGTTCTTAATTAGATTTAGCTGGTAAAAAATAATTTCAACTATTCCACCGACAAAGTATCTCTGTTTTGTGACATTTTGTGTTTTCCTTTTTATTGGACAGTTGCGTCTGTCGGTAAGACTTGTTTATAAATAAAAAAACGGTATATCGTTCGGCGAACTATAATTCTATAGTTACCCCTCTTGGCGTCCTTCAAAGAATCCAAATTAATGACTTCCAGGATTGGGTCGTCGGGATCGAGGCAGTTGAGTCTCGCGACTTCTTTCTCGCTACCCTTCGGTGGCGCCATCTCTTGGATTTCTCTCGCATCTTCGACCGGTTGGGATGGGACGAGCGGCTCCGACTTGGGGGGCGATTTGACGGTCGCAGGCGGCAGACTTTCGGCATTCTCTAACGTTTCGTCGTCGCTCTCTTCCACCGGCAGCGCGCTTTTGATCTCCTTCGGCGGCTCGTCTTTCGGTTTTTTGATCGAGAAACACACGGGAGCTAAAATCGAAAAGAACGCAGAATTGGTGTGCGAAAACTAAACATCAACTAAATAAAGGCCGGTTCTCATGTTGGGGAATTTCGCCAGAGTTTTTTAAATAAACGTATTTGTACCGGATCATTTATAGTGTCACTTTAACCTTTTTGTTTAACGTTTGGGAAAAAAAAGTCCAATACAAAAAATAGTAAGCTATTTTTATATGCACTTTGTGTTGCAGAAACCACTCACAAATGAAAGTTATATGTTTTTTATTGGAACACCCTGTATATTATACAAAATCCCCTAAACATTTTGCAAAAAATTAAAAACCGCATTTGCAAGTGTCTAAGAAAAAGATCATTTCTCGAAAACCATTTATGTAACCGAAAAAATTTTTTAACGAGAAGACGCAGAAGATTTGGCTTTATGAACTTTTATTCCCGGCAATTTTTCGAAAATATATATAGTGCGCCGCAAATTAAAAAAAAAACTGAAAAATATGTTCCACTATTATTGAAAATTGGCTATAACCGTGTTTCAGATATCAGTTTCTTTTACACGACGATTTAGCCCACCAACAGCCGACATCCAAAACTTTTGTATTTAAGGTTTTTACCTATTGTACATGGGGTTAACGATATACCGTGCAATATTATAAAACGTAATAGGTGCCCTAAATTTGCAGCTACAGAAAAAAATTATTTCCTCTAAAACTATTAATCCGATGGTTAAAATTCTTTAACCAGCAGACGCCGAAGATCCAGTGCGATAATCTTTATTTCAAGCATTTTTTTGAGTATATACAGGGTTTTTCAATTACGGACAAAAATCAAAAAGATCCTGACAATTGTTCTTTTACAGAGTAAATTATGAGTCATAAATCAAAACTCGTAAAAAATATCGCTAAATGGTAGGCCACATCGACAGCTACAATTTTTGTATTTACGGTTTTTGTTTATCTTCGAGATATTTGAAAAAATCAATTTAGACGCGATGACGTCATTTACTATTACGTATTTTCTCGAAAACAATTTATTCTATTGGAAAAATTCATATACCAGTGGGAGATCCAAGGCCGTAACCTCCATTTCGAACTTTGTTTGAATTATATACAGGGTGTGTCGTTTATGGGCAAAAAACTAAAAAATCCTAGAAATTTTCGTTTTTGTGAATAAATTAACGGCGATAAATGAAAAACTTCTAGAGGTGGGATACATTAATTTGATCAGCATCGTAAACTGTGTCGAGAGACAGTTTCAGTTTTCGTCTATAATACAGGGTGAGCGACAAATTATAGAAAAATATCATTTTAAATCGCAATTAGTAATACGAATTTTAATATTTATCAAAGTTTGCCGTAACTCTGAAGTTCGACGAGATGTGAAAAGCACTTTATACAGGGTGCATGCGCAATTAAGTTACATCGATTTTGCGCGAAAGTTCCACAGCGGTCCGCAGAAGCACGATGCGTGCCTCTAACACAAGAAACCGCGATTTTTCGAAAGCAATCTTGATACTTTCGAAAAATCGATGAAATCGAATGGCTAGCGACTTCAAATTTGGCAGGCAAATAGCGTTTGGTCCCCTAACAGAGCATATTGAAATTGGGGGGGTTGGCGGGTTGGGAAGTATTTTAAAAACTTCCGTTTATGCAACCGAAAAAGTTCTTGAGTGTGAAGACTCTCCGAAAAATGTTATTCCTGATAATTTTTTAAGAATGTACAGGGTGCGCCGCATATTCAAAAAAACTGAAAAATGGGTCCCCGTAATAGTGAATATTCGCTATAACTAAAAGATTGTGCTTCAGATATTAGTTTCTTGTACAGGACGATATAGCCAGTATAGACAGCTAAAACTTTTGTATTTAAGGGTTTCACCTATTGTAAAGGGTGTTTTCGATATTCCGTGTAAGAAATCTAAATTTGCAGATGTCGCCTTCAAATTTAGCAGAGCAGTAAAAGCCCTTGCCCACATTTAAACAGTAGAAATTGGGTGCAATAAAAGTTCACCAAGTATTTTTTTAAACAAAATTAAATATTTTTTTGGTTATTTTGCCTTCCAGGAAAACATGCTTTTCTCCATAACCGTTCACGCAATCGGCAAAATTCTTTAACCAGCAGACGCGGAAGATGCAGTGCTAAAACATTTATTTCAGGCATTTTTTCGATTATATACAGGGTTTTCCAATTATAGACAAAATGTAAAAGACACAGAAAATTGTTCTTGTCCAGATTAAATTATTAAACGGAAATCAAAAATCGTAAAAAATATGGTTAATGGGTTCAAACAGTGTCACAGGCCGCATCAAGAGCTACAGTTTTTGTGTTTGCGGTTTTCGTCTATCAAAAAATCCATATGAGATTCACTATTCTCGGGTTCAGTCATTGATTATTAAGGCGCACTGTATGGTTTCAGAAAAAACTTATTTTCTCGAAAACCATTTAAGCTATGGGTAAAATTCCTGGGCCAGGAAACGAGAGAGATCCAGATATCCAAAATTTTTTCAATTATGTACAGGGTGTGTCGATTATGGGCAAAAAGCAAAAAAGTACCGTTTTCGTGGGAAAATTACTAGCCGTAAATGAAAAACTATAAAACATAAGATAATTTGGTTTAGGCAGTACTGTAAATTGTGTCGAGAGAGAGTTTCAAGTTTCGTCTATCACACAGGGTGCGCGAGATACCTGGAATAATATCATTGTACAATTTTTTTGTGAGAGTTTGCCGTGATTTTGAATTTCGACGCTTTATACAGCGTGTATGCAAAATAAAATTACATCGATTTTGCGAAAGTCCCATAGTGGTCCGCAGGAGCAAGATAGAAAAACAATGCGTCCCTCTAGGCGCCTTCTTTTTGAAACACAAAACTGCCTCGCGCTACGCGCTACGAATTTGCCATGCCCAGCGACGTCATTTTTACCTATGGTCCTCTTGTTCTTGGCGCACTTCTTCCCGCCGCCATCTTTTCTGCACTCCTCGCCCTTCGACTCCCGAACTTTCGCCCTATAGTAAGCGTTATACTCGTGCGCGTCGTTTAAAAACTCGAACCTCGGATCGGATTTGGCCCTGATGATGTCCTCGAATTGTTCGCCGTTCTTCGACACGTAATCGGCCATTTTATCTATCACGATTTTCGCGTCGCCTTCGGGGGACCTGCAAATCGACGTTTGAACTTCAAATTTTCCGGCATTCGACGAGCGACTACTTGTAGCATTTGGAGTTGTCTTCGGTCTCGGTCGTCTCATCTTCACCCGAATGTTCAGAGTCGCTCTCTGAGCTCGAACCGTAAGCGGCAGCCAATGATAACAAAGATTTTTCACCTGCAACATACAAGTCAGACGTTTTATGGTCGAATCGAGGTGATCGTCATAAAAACTGCCACCTGGTATCTGACAAATATATATTATTAGTTTTTTTTAAATTGTAGTTAACTACAGCTGTTTTTTTTTTTGAAAAAAATATCACGCATTATCACGCACCACCCTTGAACAAAACAAAAAGCAATAAAGGAACTGAAACAAGACAAAACTATTAACGACAAAATGGACAAAGTATTAGGTTACTAACCAAAGACCTGACACCGTCATTGGAAAGAAGAATTTATAAAAAAAAATAGTAAATACGGAGATTATCTTATGGAAAACACCACACGACACGTCTTGTCAAAGATACACAAACCTGACATGCCACCCGCTCCAGGAATTCGCGCTGGCTCTCGACATCTGTTGAAGATAATCAACCCATTAAAAGGAAAATCGCAGTCATTCGTCAAGAACACTGACCACTTTGTTGAAATAAAGAAGACAACAACCTTAAATTACGGAAATTATTATCGACGTAGAAAGTCTATAGACCTACGTACACCGTGTGATATATTTCGAAATTTTTGGAATCCTTGGTTAAAATAAAGGTCATATTCAAATTTTGAATAGTTCAGGCAGAAATTGACTTTATGTGTTTTTAATTGCCCCATATAAAATTGTGTTGTGACGCTACTGATCCAGGAATTACAACGAAAATTTAACCACAGACTAAGGAGATTATGCACTACTTAGTTAGTTTGGCAGATGCGCCTCGGCTTATACAGTGTGTCCCAAATAGGTGGTGCCGGTTTGGCGAGTTCAATTAATAAAATCTCAGGATTTTCAACTATATTTTTATTCAGATATTAATTCTAGGACAAAAAATAAGGTCAGTTTGTAGTTTATCTTATACTTAAATTTTACGTACTTTTTGAGATATTCGAGGTTTAAGAAAACACCCGCATAAATTCTTGTTAAATTTAAAGCTGACCACATTAGGTCACTTGTTGGCAATATTAGGTATTTTCTAACTAGCAAAGACAGGATACTATTTCTTTTAAAGATATAATACTTCAGATATGCGAATAAAACCCTAACAATACAGGCTGTCCATTAATACGTGGAAATTTTGAAAAAAATCGACTCTTTAATAGATTTAATAAAACTTCAGAATTCATATTTAAAGGAACATTTAATGGTTCATCATCTAGCTTAATAGAAAATACCAAATAACAAAAATAAATAATTAAAGTTTATAGGCTAACTAAACAAGGTAATAAATTTGAATAAATGGATCTATAAAACGGAAAGTTAACTAAAACGAATTCGTTAATTTGGTCCATAAAGTTTAGTTAATAATGTTCCTCTTAAAATACTCGTTTGATCTGGCATCAAAACAACAAAGAAACATTTAAAAATGTAGTTGGCTATGACTTCACAATATTTTTTTTTGGCGCATTACTGTATAAACAAACTTGGACATTTTTGTTTGTTTTAGTTTTTCATATTTCTATTTAAAAAGTTCACAGTTGTCAAGTTTTTTGTCAAACTGACTGAGTAGTGCATCATCTCCTTAGTCTGTGGTTAAATTTTAGTTACAATCTCTGGATCAGTAGCGTTAAAACACAATTTTATATTAAAAAAAAAACATAAACTCAATTTCTGGCTAAACTATCAAAACTTGAATAGGGATTTCTTAGGAAAATGACCTTTATTTTAACCAAGGGTTGCAAAAAATGTTGTATCAACAGAATTGTAATATTTTAAATCTTCAGGAGAGTCCAAGAAACTTTAGGACCAAGCTTCAAGAAGATTCAACACCACCGCAGGAATTCGTAATTCAAATTCGTATTTTCGATTTAAAGACCATTTCTGCGCAGCACTTTTCGGTAGTAGCAAATATTTACATGAAGGAAGGAGCTATCGTAAAGGTTGGTTGAGATATGTCGACGACACCTTCATAATATGGGACACAAAGACTGGGAACGGTTAGAACATTTTCTGGATCACTCCGTCTGTAAAATTCACAAATTCCTCTTGGTCGCGAGATCGGATTCAACCTCCGAGTACAGAAAACCCACACATTCGAGCAATATTCAGATATACCAATGGCCGAAGACTATCTGCAACAACTAAGATCTACGTAACGACGAAGTTGAATGAATTAAAGAAGATCCAATGCAAAACGGTTATTCAAAGAGACTGATTGAAGATATCATTACTTAGCCTCAATACCAAGCAGCACATAAATCAGATTCCAGCCAAAACCAGCTAATAACCATTCCCTATGTTAAAGTAATTTCCGAAAAGATCAGGAGAATTGCAACAAAATACAATGCCAAACCCGTCTTGTGCATTTTTCCGAAGTTTAATAACGCGAAGAAAGCCAGAGAATATCACAGACAACACGGAAAGGATAGCAGTACCCAAGGAACATACCCAACTTGGAGAAATAAATAGATCTGATCTCGCAGAGCACACACGCCAGAATTCTACAAAAGGAAACCCATTCAAAGAAAAGGAAGTTTATTGAAGTTGCTTTCATCTAACGCAACATCTTTAGTCATCCAAATCAAGAAATCCCAGCGCTGTGGCAGCCCCAACTGTAACACCTTGACCTACCCCATCATATAAATGCGGGTAGCTTTGGCTCAATAATAGCTAGTGATACTTTCTTGAAACAAAATTATTGACTAAAAGATATCACCAGAGATAGCATTGTTTTCATTTCAACGTTGCCAATGGTGGACATCGCAGGGGGTTTCTAACTATACACCACAGAACAATATTTTAATGTATTCAAAAGCATGGGTAAATAAGAACTCGCACTAATTATATATTTCGTTAAACATTACCCCTAAAATACCATATATTTCTTTTCTTAAAAATCAGTGACAACTATATAGCTGCTAAAGATATAGAGGCCCTGCCTTTGCCGATGATACAGGAACTTCTGAAGCCACTATGACAAAAATTTTGAGGTAACAAGGCCACTAATAGCTAATATAATATCTCGTGGAAATTACAAGTGCCCCAAATACTAATTCGCTTGGATTAATATGAAGTTATATGCGTTTTTACGGTTACCTTTCACTTGCGTGTTATCGCCGTCCACTTTGCCATCGCTGACTTGTTCCACCTTCTCTTCAATCGGTCGCTGGTCAGGCTTCGGAGAACTAGTGTCCGCAGGCAAATGGGGTACGGAGTTTGAGAAATGATTCAGACCGTCTTTATTTAGATTGGAAACTGACGCAAACAGAAACGAACAGAAATATTTGATTAACTTTTTTTACTGTTGCTTTCAGATTCTTGTCTGACATTCATGATTAAAGTGTTGTAGTAATTTGTCTTTTTTTTTTAATGGAGTTGATTAATAAATTTAAAAATAATAAATAATTAATTCAATAAATAAATTTAAGTAAATTTAATAATAGGGAAATATATAGTCACTTAACAAGAACCTGAATTAAGAAGTAAAACGCTATAGAGAAAGTTACATATATCCTTTAAAGTATTCGGATGTTCCTTTTAAAGCTTATGTTTTTCAATATACAGTATGTCAAAGTTTACCTATTAATTATAAATTATGTTTATACAGGATATTATACAAGTGGTATCGTATAATCTATTTAGAGACCCAGAGGCCCATTTGTTCCGCCGAGATCGTTTAAAAAGGCAATTTTTTAATTAAACTGACCAACAATACTGTTTATAAGTGTTGTTGCTATGATTAACGTTACGTTTTATTTATAAAACGAGTGGATTTCAATGTATAACAATTGAACGATCTCTGGTGACATATTTAAAAATATACAACCTAAGCAAGTCTTAGTTAAGAACAGGAGGGTCTAAATAATCGTATTAGCTTGAAAACTACTGCTAAGATGCCAAAGTACAGTCTCATTTTATTTTTAGAAGCCACACTTGCCTCGCCATCTGCCGTCTGATTGATTGACTCCCTTAATAAGCACAACATATTGGGTTTAAGACAATTTAGCCTATCAACAGTTGTGCTTTTTTAAGACTACACAAAAGCTTGTGATACAGTTGATTACGCTAGACAAGTGTTCAAAATGATTGATATTGATCGAGTATTGATGTATATTAATTTATAGCAAATTATCTGAAAGTTAGACGCCAAATTGTAAGGGTGAATGTTATTAAGAGTCAGCAAGTTAAAAACAACGTTGAAGTGCCTCAGGGCTCAATACTTGGACCAATATTCATCTTATATATAAATGATTTATTGGTTTTGCGAGACACGCTAATAGGAATATGCATACTGCAGTATCAGTGAAAGCAAAATCATAACCCGAATTTTTAACTGCCATGTCATTAACTCTATATAATATATATTCCGAGACAAGTTTCTTTTTGTCTCTTTTGGAAACTTAAGTATACCAGTAGTACATCTAGCAATAACTTATGACTATAATATAAAATAGGATGTTCACGTGGCTAACACAGTAAAAAAAAAACACAAATACTGAGTATATGTTTTTTATAGACTCTATGAAATATTAACAAGAAAGCAGTTATTACAAATTTATTATCGCCTTTTCCTTGTGTATGCAGTCATTGTCCGGGGAGGACTCTTATTCTTAAAATTATTGGAGTAAAGGAGCAAGATGCAGATAGACCACTGAGTATCAAACAAGAGTTTGTAGTAAATTTTATAGTGTTTCAATATAGTGAATTAAAAAAAGAATGTATACAAAATTAAATGAACACTGGTAAAAAAATTGGCTATTGGACAAAGAAGCTACGTGTATTACGCAGTAAAATATTTTAATGAACCTAACCTAATGAACTGAAAAATCCCAATGTCCAGAAAAAAGTTAAAGACAACATTAGAAGTGATACAATCGAATAAATGAAATGCAAAAATAAAATTCAAAATATCTGTAACTCTTTTACATGTAAAATTATAAAAAAGGTGCAACTCACAACCGATAGTAAGTAGTGGTAAGTTATTTTACATATGCAAGGGCAGTATTTGCCGCCTATATGACCTTTACTGTAGAAATATTTTTTTTTACTTGCTGGCTAGTTTAGGTTATGTAAATTTCATAAATGTGACAAGAGTGCAAAATAATTCTTCAAGGTGCAGGCAACGACGTAGAACACTCTAGAATACTGTCTAAGAATTGATTATGCAAATTTACATACCGGTAACTTTATTAAAGTATTAAAAACTATTATTAAATAATAATAATAATTATTAATAAATTGTTATTTTTTGTATAAAAATAAACTAAATAAAAATGACTTACCGATCTGCGCATAAGAGTTACTACCCGCAGACGCCTTTTGCAACTGTTGCCTGCAGTGATGCGCGTACTGACTGTACGCCATCTGATGGATATAGTTCTGCATATTCGGATCCAGCTGATGGAATTCCAACGGAAGACCCGCGTAATGGCCTGAAACCTCTATATTAAAAGCATAAAGGTCTAAAAATATTCAGCTTACCGCCATTTTCTCCCTGTTGCGTCACGGACCGCCAATACTCGTAATACTGTTGTAGATAGTAGTACTGGTAGTACTGTTGCTGCTCTAAGGTGAGCTGCAGGTTGTACTCGTTGGAGTGGGGCGCAGGTTCCGGTTGTCCGGTACCGCCCACACCCTGAATCCTTGATACTAGCTGGGAGTAAGTGCAGTTGGCAGACGGTTTGTACGGTACTGTCGGTATAGAGGTGGCATGCGTCCCGCCAGATGCTGTATCCGACTGCAAATCCTGTCATGACAATAGTTTAGCGTTACAATGGCGGTTTAACGATAAGGCAATGACGGTAACCAATGATCAAACACTGGTATTTTCTCACACAGAGTGTTCCTCCTGTCGGTGGGCAGCTTTGAAAATTTGAATTTTGAAGTTGAATCGAGTTTTAAGTTACGTTTGAAAAATGCAGCAGGAAAAAAATCCAAAACTCAAGAAATTTATGACGAAGACAGAAAAAAAAGATCTAAATTTAAACTGATAAAAAAAAGGTTTTTTTTTTACGTAACACACCAAAATTAGTTGCTAGTTACCTCTAGAAAGTACTTACCACGTGTGAGCTCTTAATATTAATAAGAAGATTATATATATATATATATATATATATATATATATATATATATATATATATATATATATATATATATATATATATATATATATATATATTCTCACGTATTGATTCACGGATGGAAAAATGTGATGACACTATACTCCGGGATATCATCCGTTCGCTCGTTGAACTCCGACTGGAATCCTGCAAATCCTGCATCCGACTGGAATCCTGCAGACGTTTCGCCAAAATCTGAGATGCCAAGTGAGATTTTGACGAAACGTCTGCAGGATTCCAGTCGGATGCAGGATTTGCAGGATTCCAGTCGGAGTTCAACGAGCGAACGGATGATATCCCGGAGTATAGTGTCATCATATATATATATATATATATATATATATAATACTTTTGCATTTTAGATTTAGTCTGATACATAAATAATCATATCTTGACGGTCTCTTATGCTTTTTTGATATATAGAACCATTTGAAAGATTGAAGAATTTAAAGAAAAATAACTTTTTGTTCAATATAAATCCACAGACGGCCCTTACCATAACAAGAAATGAATGAATAACAGAATTACCAATTTTTTAAAACTAAGTCCCCAGACAAAAAAATGAAAATAAAAAATTTGTGGAAAAAGAGTTCTATTTTAAATGGACCCGTTGAAAACTATTCAATTATGATTGATTAGGAATAAATATACTCCCAAGCAAATGGTAAACTGTCACTATATAAAACTAAACTTCAGTTTTTATGAATGGTGTGAAAACTCGTCAATTTTATGAATATATCGAAAATATTGATTAAAAACTATGAAAATAAGCACACATTGGAATTCCAATGCAAATATCTTCAAAATAATTCGAGTAATCGAGAAACTACAAGAGACCTTTTTTTATAGAGCATTAAATTTTCTATAAGAATAATTGAAAAAATTTCACGATAATTACTTATCAGTAAATAAGAAAAAGTTATTTTTCTAGAGGTAACTAGCAACTAGTTTTTGTGTCAGATCCACAAAAAAAAAGAATAATCGTTTTTTTGTGACCCACTAAACTAAACTGTGCGAAATAAGGTTTCCTACCCCCTTCACTTAGAAAGTATAAAAAAAGTTAAATAGAAAAGTTGCAAGTGTTCTTCTCGATTTTTTAATTTTTAATTTTCTATATACACGGTGTTCCTGTATATTATTGCATTTTTGGATTCCCTGGGAACTTCATTTTGAATTTTATGTCAAAAATGACGTTTGGAGTTTCTAACAAAAATTTTATCGTTTTTTTTACAAAGTTACCACAATCATTTAATTTTGGATGTATTCCTATTGTCATAAATCGTGTGGATATTTTGGGCTGTAAGTTAAATAAATAAATAAAATTAAAAAACTTAAAATGTTGCAAAACAAGTTGTGTATATTAGTCCCAACTTAATTTAATTTAACTAACTTAACAGCTATATTATAAAAGTATTATTACAATAAGAGAAGGTTTCTATTATTACGGGAACTATAAATTTCTAGAATAGACAACCTTATACAGTCATCTTAATTTTTAATCCCAAATCGGGCAACATTATATAAATGCAATAATATACATTCTATTTACAATAAGAAAGCTCATATTCACTCCAGGTGAACAAAACATCCTGTATATATATGAAAAATTTAAAATTAAAAAATCTAGCTTAATTCTGTGCAACTCTTTTCCCCAAACATATTTATTTTGAACACATTATACACAGTACGACTCATATGTGAAATTTGTGAAATTCACAGTAAAAAAAATTTCAGGATATGGTAAAACCATGCAGCTTATTAAAGACAAACTTTTGAAAAAGGAATGAAATATGTGAAAATTGTTGTAAACTTGAGTATCAACTTCATTTTACAATTTCTAGATGCTGGTGGCGTTCTTACATTACAAAATAAAGCAAAAATAGTAAATACAGAGATAAGACAGATTTAAAAAATGAAGAACAGCATGATTTTATGATCAAATTCTTATTTAAGAACATTACATACTCGTTTTTCTTGATTCTCTGCATATTATCTGAAAATTATCTGTCTATCCAGGTGCAGATCTCTTGTTTAAATTATATTATTCTCAAAGTGTAAAAAACATTCGATTCAGTTCAGCAAATTTGTAAAAAACTGTGAAGCCCAATTAACCCACTCTCAGAGGCTAAACCGCAACAGAACCCTATCGTCTACTTGATTTTGCGGAAATTATTAACATTTCGCAAAATTATAATCCCAAAAAATAATAATGAGTGCGCCCGTTTCAAGTACCAGATCAGCACTGATTGATTAAACTGCAGCCTTACCACCGATTGTAAAAAGTTTGCCAAAAACTTGACAAATTTCAACAACAAGTAAACAAAAACCCCCAAAAACTCTTGGGGACTCCTCCTAGTCCTAGCTGTAAAAAATATAAACACAACTGGCAATTCACACAAAAGTACCTGTAACATAAAAGCAGACGTTATTAAATGACAATCGATTGAAATGAAAAACAAAATTTCAATTTCAAACCATTTATATTTACTTAAAGTGCGGTACAGCTTACTGTACAGCTCAGACATTAAGCGGCCACTTATCACTATTACAAAAAATACTACAATAAGAAACTGTCTGTTATTCGAACTATTTCGGGTAGTACACATTGCACCTACCGGTTTGGCATTAGCTGATAACAAACTGGGGTGTAAGTAGTGCTGCTCACTGTCTTCTTTTGGAACATCCGATTTAAGTCGATCTACAAGTAATTTTCGGTGCACTGCAGTTGCGAAGTTTTCTTTGTACTCACCATTTTTTGTTTCATACTGGGCCAAATACCTTCCGTTTTTGAATGCGGCCAGGAGATGTCTGTAAAATTTATACAAGTCGTCGTTTTGAGTAAGAAAACGGAATTGAGGATTATCGGCTTGCTTCGCCTTGATCAGTATCTCCATCTGAGGTCCCTGTCGGCAAACAAAGAGTGCTGTCTTTTCAATCCTGGCATACTCCTTAATAGTTTTTGGCTGAAAGACAAATCTTGTTCAGTTAAAGGCAAGACAGGCATAAGCATAAGCATACAATTTTAATATCCACAGGCACATCTAATGTAGGTAAAGGTACATATGGCTCTTCATCTTCATTATATTCCGGAACTGTTGGTATACCATCCTTTTCTCCTTTTTCCTCGGTTTTTTTATTTTCAACTTCATAGCTATATTGAAAAGCATTTGTCATTTGCCTTTTGGCTTCTTCCTCTGGGAAATTTTAAACAGGTAAAAACTATTAATCATTACAGAAGTGTAATCTAACCTTTATACATTTGTTCTTCTTCTTCATTTATTTGAAGAGAATAATATCTTTCTTGATCACACAATTCTTCCAATTTCCTTTCAGATTCGTTCAATCCGAGCCACCTTGTGGCGTCATAGCCTTCTCTGCTTGCTTCATACTGTTTTAAAGCAGACAAAGCCCCCCTACAGTCATATCTAAAATATTTGAAATTAATTAACATTATGATATAATATACCCGGTGTAAAACTAGAAAATCAAATGAAGTTGAAATATAGTACTGTTACATTTTGACAATTTGATAATTGAATACCACTTACTTCCGATTTTTCCAGTAGTAAGATGAACTTTCTTAGTTTAAACCAATCACCATTTTTGAATTCTACGGATAAATGCAAGTTTGAAATGTTGTTTACCTTTTTTCGATATTTCAAATAGTTTTGGAGTTTGCTTCAAAAATTTCAATAAATCTCTAACACGAACACGGCAGAAAAACGACATGACAGGTTGTTTCATTTGAAATAAGAAAGTTGATCATCTCACTTCTGGAAAAAACGGAAGTGCTATTCAATTGCATTGCTCGCACGTGGCTTTTGTACTCCTTCCTATTTTAAAAATATGAGAATGAAATTGTTGTAAAATTTTGAATATTTAATTGTTCTGATTTGAACTTTCTGATGCAAATTTGAGAAGCAATAGTTTGCTCTCGGGACAATCTGCACAATATAAAAACAAGTTATGAATGTCTCCAATACGTTTTTATTGTAAAAATCACCTGCAACTTTAAACTAACCTATCAATTTTGAGAGCATCGTCTCCCATCCAGGGAATAAGATGCTTGCCCTGATCAATGTACAGCGCCTTCTCGTCGTCTCGGAATAGTTTACATGCGTACCCGAATACCAAAAGATCATCTAAGTTTTCCTCAATTCTGTTTTTCCTCAAAATTCCAGTCTCCGATGAAACCCACTTCGCCATCTTTAATTCGTACCATGAATACTAAAGTCACAGAATAATCAATGACATATTGGAATTTAGTAATGTAATAGCGGTGAGCGATTGTTTAGACCTACGGTTAGACTTTTAAATTTTTTAAGCCCAGTTTGACGTTTAGTGGGAGCGGGTGCTGTTACCAGTGACAGTAAAAGTTTCACAGTGTATTTCTAAATGAGGATGTTTAGAGCCTCCATAGATGAAAATATTTTATTTTATTTTATATTTTATTTATCCATAAACCTCGGATGATGGTCAAATATCTCTTTTTCTGTCATCTGTCATCCACAGTTGAACCACGGTATCGATTTATCGACAACAGAAAAAATGACTGTTAAACTAGAAAAAATGTGCTAACTTTAAAGCTCGCTATACAAGGTTATTTATAAAATCTACGAACTTTACTCTGTTACAAATAGCCATGAAGTCTATAGATTAAAAAAAAAATTGAGGGTCAAATTATTTTTTCCCTCTGCAATGTAAATTTTACCTCATGATGTTTTTCTTTTAATTTTCTTAAATACGGAACTGCATTTTTATCAGTATTTGTTTTTTTTGGGCACCCCGAAATCGATAGAGCTTTGCATTTTCTTGTCATGATAATAAAAAACTAGGGCGTTATTAGAAAAAAACAATTAATGAATGTAAAATAAAATTATAAAAAAATAAATAAAAGTGTTTATTAAGTTGTTATTTTATTTTTTCTGACTTTATTGAAACATGTATTAAAATTACTTTCAGATCGCCATACAGAAATTTTCTTGCCTCTACAAGATGGCGGAATTAAATCTAAAAATGTGAAAAATGTGAATCACATAATGTACATAATATGATTTTAATTGTTATACTATTTATCTGCGAAGCACAGAGAAGGTCAACTGATCCTGCGTTGTTCGAGTCGACTTTTGTCCCCGCCGTTATTACATTTAATTGACTTTATTTTCAGTAGTATGTGCATGGATCTATTGGTGTTATGAATTCTTGTAAGTTTTGGTCATTAAATATTGTAATACTTATATTATTATAACTACTATAAGTGATATTTCCATTATTCCAGTATTCTATAGCCTATGGCAGAAAAGTGTAGAGTAATAAATGAAGATTATATAGTATTAAAAATATGGCTAGACAAAAATATAACTAGCACACTGTAGTGCACACACCATAGAAATAGACCAAATCAATGAGACTCTTCTGTCTCTACATCCAAAGTTGGCAAGCTAACGTCAATACCAACTTTCTGAGATTGAAGTTTCAGATCTCACAAATAGTTCAAACCGTCCTTGTCAAATCTCAAATCGCAATCTCAAACAACTAATGAAATTCGATTTGAAACCATAAAATTCCTTAAAATATCCAAACCTCATCTGAATCCTTCTGACATTGTAAAGCTTTGGCTCGGGCTCATTTGATGCCTTCTGACTAGGTGAAGTTTTAGCTTGGACTCACGTAGCGTCTACTGGCTACGTAAAGTTTTATCTGTGGTAATTTAAACGTATTGACGATGTGTTAGCGGCCATGTTGGTTGCTCAATGCCGTAAAATCATCTGCTAAAAACGAAATTTTAAATCTCGTGCATGCGCATGTTTCATAGTTCCTTCATAAGTTCCCGTATTGCGTATTTTAGAGTACGGAAAGAAGATATTTAAGAAAATACATTCATTAGTCTTGGGTCACTCTGTATACCGTATATGTATACTTTTAATATTACATTCTTATCACGAACAAATACTAAATCAAAATTAATTTGATCAAGTTAATATAATCATTATTGAGATAATATAAATCCACTCAATTGTGGTGAGTGCATATAGATAACATTTATTAATTTTACCTATGTATGTGTGCGCATAAAAGCCTGAGGGGATTACAAAAAATATTACTTATACCACCTCCCTTTTTCACCTTTCGACAATCTGGTTGGTAAACTCATCGAGTAAAAAGTACCACCTCACTGTATACTGTTCACGCACAATACATTTTGGTAAAGAGACAAAACAACTCGCATAAAGGAATAACATATAAGAGATGGCCACTCCACTCCACCGAAGATGGAGATCAGATTGTCAAATTTTTATTCAATTCGCTTTGAGCAAATTTCAGTCATAATTATAACTTTTTCCTCTCTACTCTACCAGATTGTCAAATGTTAAAAAAATATTTATCGTTTCACATTTTGGCGGGTAAAGTAATTTCTTCTTCTTTTACTTCTATTGGCCACGATGGCAAAGTACTTTATTCCGTTTGTAAACACGAATTTTATTTAAAAATAAAGTATTTAATAAATGAATTAGATTAAGTTTAGTTTATTATACATATTTAAATACCTTGAACAAAAACATCTAGCAGTGCCTACAGGTACTACTAGTGTGTTTTTTGTTGGAATATCTACGTACCTATGAGAAAGTTTAAGGAATCTTTTGCCTTTCTTTATGAATGATTGAAAAGAATGAACTGGGAATAAAAGTAGATTTTACCTACTTTCCTCGCTGCTACTTTTCCCTGGTCGATATATCCACAATTAAAACTAAATAAAGTAAGCAAAAACTCATATAATAAAAAAACAGGAAGCCAATTTTATATTTTTGAAATTGAGCACCCTGCATATTATAGGGTTGTTATGGCCTATACCGAGTGTTTTTGGATTTATGGCCATTTTTTTCGTCAAAAATTTCATGTGTTTAACATGCTATTTCCGACAGCTGCAATTTTATTATGCCGACGAAAGTAGTACGGTAGACAGTTTTGAAGTTAGTTCGAATCGATTATACAACACCCTGCATATTATACTTCCATTAATTAATTAATTAATTAATTAAAGTTAGTACTTTTTGAGATATACACATTTTTACAAGCAAATGTTGCCAAATTATGAGAAAACGTCGTAATAAGTCAACAGAAATAATTTTATGAAAAAAGTGTTTAGTTTTTTTTTAAGTGCAAATGTAAGTTGGCCATGCAAATCTAAGTTTGTCATTCAAATGTAGGTTGGCCACATAAATGTAAGTTATCTACTATACCTCCACCCGAAATATAGTGCTTTTACAACGAATCCATTACATAACACCCTGCCTTGCAGACAATTACCCGTACCCATTCCAGGACCGTACTAGGAATTTATCTATCTACACTAACAAGCGGGATATAAGTACGTGTTTTTATTGCTGCTCCTACTTCCCCTTCTGAATTTCTTATAAAAATGTATACATTTAAAACAATTTGTTTAGCATCCAAAGACAAATTGGATCCGTTTTTGTTGAGGTAGTTCGTAGAACTATGTAGAATACACAAAATATTGTTAATCGACAGGCATACAAGACAAAAATGATTATTTTCAAGCTATCCAGTGAAAACAGCCTCGCAGGGTCAAATCTCGAGAATCAGGTACATAAATACGTACTGGAAGTATCAAAGTCAAATACCTAATATATACGAAACTGTTTCAGTCAAGCCCTGAAGAAGCCAACGGGATGACTGGCGAAACGTCAGCAATTTCGACTAAGCAAAAACCGACGCAGGAGAAATCCAGAAGTTTTCTAAAAAGTATTACAGTATTAACCCACTGTAAAATACTTAAAACTTCAAAGCAAAAAATGCACTATGTTTTTGGTCGTGTTATACAATAGAATCTACGGCCTTAATTGGCATATCCTGTTGTTGTAATTAAATTAAAGAAGATAATTTTGGAGGTTGGGGATTCATAATTATTAGTTGGTATTTTTCTCTGTAATTAAAATGCGAAGAATCTGCAATGATAGTTTTGATTTGTTTTAAGGTTCACGAAACAGTTTGGTTTTTGTGATAGATTCTAGAGAATCGATAGCTACGAATATCTTTCCCTTATTTGCTTTTGTGAATACTATATTATTTCGGGAAACCTTATTTATAATTGATTTTACCATAGACATATGCGAAAGATCTTGGAATTTACAGTTAGTTGTAACTTGAAATTTTATTAAATTAGCTAATACGTCAAAGCAATCAATGCATTATATTTTTGGCCGTATTATACAAAATAATCTACGGCCTTAATTGGCATATCCTGTTGGTGTAATTCAATTAAAGAATATAATTTTGGAGGTTGGGGATTCATAATTATTAGTTGGTATTTTTCTCTGTCATTAAAAAGTGAAGAATCTGCAATGATAGTTTTGATTTGTTTTAAGGTTTACGAAACTGTTTGGTTTTTGTGACATATTCTAGAGAATCGTTAGCTATGAATATCTTTCCTTTATCTGCTTTTGCATGTACTATATTATTTCGGGAAACTTTATTTTTAATTGATTTTACCATGCGAGAGATCTTGGAATTTACAGTTAGTTGTAACTTGAGATTTTATTAAATTAGCTAATACGTCAAAGCAATAGATGCACTACATTTTTGGTCGTACAATACTCACTACTGGGATATATAACTTTGACGCACAAATTTGGACACTCCGTTTACATACCATTAACGCTAACTAACCTACGCAATTTCGCTGGCGATAATAAAGAAGCGAATTTTTAATTATTAACCATTAAAAGCGTGATTAGCCGCAGCGACCTCGCTAGATAATATTTTGCGCCGTCGCCAAGGAACGATTAACATTATTGCGATTTACATGTCGCTTTTTGGAAGCGCATCTAAGTTCCTTCCAGTCCAGTCACCGTGTATACGATAATCAAAGTCGGCGCGTTCTAATCGGAAAGTTTATCTTTGGTCGGGACTGGCGAGAATGAGCGCTGAAATCGCGATAAACTGATATGTTTACAGATTCCTCGCGGGCATTGAGACGGCGTTCTGCGACACGTTTTTAAAAATCGTCGCGACATGGACCTGATCAGTTTTATGCGTTACGAAACGCTCTTGATCGTGCCTTTTGTGGTTTACTATTTGTTTTTCAAGACCAACGCAGGTCGGAGCGCGTATTCGGATAGAGGCAAGTACCAAACGTTTTGATGTTTATCGTCTGTCGGAGTGGAAAAAATGCAATCAAACAAACTCCAATATACGCGCATTTATATGAAAAATTATGACCATAGTTATACTTGCTCCAGAAATATAGTGCTTTTATAACCGACCCCATCATTAACTTTGCCTACTGTTTATTACTTCAAAACCGCAGAATACCCTGCCGAGTGGACCCTTACTCGCAGCCATTCCAGGACCGTCCTAGGAATTTATCTACCTACGTTATTAAGCGGGATATAAGTAGGTTTTCAATCTTTTTCGACGAGCAATTTTTGAAACGTCGACATAAAAAAATTACTAGAAAGTTACAATTCTGTTTCACTTGTTACTTTCGAAAATCCATGAAATCGAATTTTTCGAAAGTATCTACGCTCGTATAAAAAAATTATATCTCGGTAACGGTAGGTCCTATGGGATCGCCGTTGGTACAGAAATGATCACCGTCGAAAAAAAATTTTTTTTGTCTGTTCGTTCTCCGTTCTCGTCTTTTGGTTTTTCCTGAATAACTTTCGAACCGTTGAAGCTATAAAATTAAAATTTGCTTCCTTTTTAACCCTCCATAAGGCACATAAGCTTATGAGAAATGGCGCTGATCCGACGCAGGTATCTATCTTTTTTTTGCGATTTTCGACTGTTTTTTGGACCTTGCTATGAAAAACGATAAGTGTCCGAAATTTGAAGCAATCGACTTCACATTAGGCACATATATGCAGCTTTGCCTCGTCGCGGAACCTATTGAAAATGGGGGGGCTGGAGGGTCGGCAAGTATTCTAAAAAAATAAAAAATCGCGTGTGCAAAGGTCTACAAAAAACATCATTTTTCAAAAACCGTTTAAGATTCTTGAACCAGAAGACTTTCATTCTTGATAATTTTTCAAAACTATACAGAACAGAAAAATGGGGACCCATTTTATTGAAAATTGGTTATAACTGAAAGACTCTGAATCAGATCTCACTTTCTTTTATATTGCGATATAGCAACAACTTTTGTTTTTAAGGTTTTCACCTATTGCACAGGGTGTTCCCGATATTTCGTGCTAAATGAGAAATGTGTTAAGTGTCCTAAATATGCAGAGAAGTAAAAGTCCATGTCCACATTTAAACCGTAGAAATTGGGCGCAATCAAATTTTACCAAGTATTTTTTTTAAATGTTTGAAATGTTTTTTTTTGGTAATTTTAGCTTCATCCGATTGGCAAAATTCTTTAACCGGCAGACGCAGAAGATCCAGTGCAATAACATTTATTTCGGGAATTTTTTCGATTATATACAGGGTTTTCAAATTATAGGCAAAAATCCAAAAGCCCTAGAAAATTATTCTTTTACAGGAGTAAAAACCGAAAATCAAAAATCGTAAAAAATATCTCTAATTGGTTTGGTATCGCGCACTTCATGGTTTCAGTTTTTCGAAAACCATTTACTATTTTCAAAAAATTCTTGAACCAGGACGCGTGGAAAATCCAGGGCTATCACCTCTACTTCGAACAACGATTTATGGTCAAAAAATCAAAAATATCCTAAAAATTTCCTTTTTTGTGGGTAAATTATTGGCGATAAATGAAAAACCGTTAAAGATGGGATAATTTTATCATAAACCGTGTCGTGAGAGAGTTTCAGGTTTCGTTAATTATTATAAATGTGATATAAAGTTTTTGCGAATGTGATATAAAAGTAAAAATACTATAAAACACCATTAAATTTGTTTTTAAATATAGTAAAGGTTTTGTAAAATTAATGAAAAATTACATCTGGCTTGTAAAATGTTTTTAAACAGAATGTGAAATTTGTACAAAAAATAAGGAGACTTTTTATATACCGGCCGACATAGCGATTTGAAATTTCCAAGGGTTACTATATAATTTCTTGATAATATGTAGTTAATGGCATTTCCTGTTTATTCGGAAACGACAGTAACTTTCTAATTTTAAATGGCACAACCTATATTTCTTTTACATTTTTGGATTCAGATGCTTATTCTACGTAGGATAGGAGGGTTTTTCTCTTTTTTTATTTAATTTTTGAAAATTCTGGGAGGCTGTGACCATCATCCCATGATCACGTGACCCGGTAAATAGTATTTATTATGGTCACAGCCTCCTAGACAGAATTTTCAAGAATTAAATAAAGATTTAAAAAACACACAAAAAAGAGAAAAACCGTCCATCCTGCAAAAAAAAAATAGGTTGTGCGGTTTAAAATTCGAAAGTTACTGTCGTTTCCGCCCAAACCGGAAGTGCAAGTATTGACTACATGTAGTTACTATAGAATTACATATCTCTTTTTTTTGTTGAAAATGATAAGCGTTGCTTTACAAAACCACGAAAAGTATTTAGTAACTTCTAAAAAGATTGAAGATAATGAGATGGTAAAATCCTCATGTCGAAGGCTTCTAAAAGTCATCTTAGCTTCGCATTTTGATGGAAACGAAAACAGTGTAACTATTTTTGATATGTTTCATCGATATTACTTTTTTGTTTCCCTTTAATATATCTACATTTTTTTTAGTTTAAAATATGTATTCAAATGCACAGCACAAAAACACATGTTTTTTTTTTAAATGTTCATTATAACAGTTCATTATAACAATTAAAATATCTTATAAATAATAAAATTATCATTATTATACCTAAATAAAAAATATATATTTTATAAAAATATATAAAGCTGGTAGTGGTTTGGAATTACGTTAATTTAAAGAGAGTGTTTAAATGTAAGTTTGATACTGAAGCAAAGTTCTTAATGTTTACGTTCACACTGGTCCCATTTCAGAAAAAGATATAGGCTAGATAGAAGCTTTTCACGCAACTGTGTGTGTGTGAAAATACTTATTTTATATATATTTTCACTTTAAGTTACATGGATATTAACCTGTAAGGCGATTTGTTACCCCAACTGATTAACATGGAGTCTCTTAATGTTAGGGGGACTTATTTATCTATCGTAAACTCGTCAGTGCTGACCTTTTTGATAATTTTAAGGCAGGACCAATAGGATCGTCAAATCACGAAGTTATCAAATGAAATTGTACTGACTCACTGGGCACTGTTATTTCTAAATGTGCAGATGGTCTAAAGGATAGTTACTTTAATTTTAGTTTTTTTTAATCACATCTATGAATATTCCGACCAGATCATTAAGCTCTCAACTAATATCATTTCCCATAATGTGAAATGGAGAAATATTGTTAGTATTATTATTATTGTTATTCTTATTATTATTATTATTATTATAAAGCACACGTCAAACCCTAAGTGCTAAACATTGTTTTCACACTTCTGAGCCTCCGTAAGATGTTCAACGCTATAGAACCATATGGACTACCACAGTGTGCTTCGTTTCATTGAATTTATATCTTGTTCTAGATATTTTCTATCCGATAAAATGCTACTTCGCCAAAAAGGTGATCAGGAGCATTCAGAAAAATCAACGGACGCGCACTAAGCGGGAAAAGTCCAAGGAAGACGAACTCGAGTTTCCGTCCAATCAGGTATAAGCAGTGAACTTGATTTAAACTAGAATGGCATGATAGAAACGTGAGGCACATTTACAATTACATTTACAATAGAACAGTGAGAATCGTTTGGTAATCAGCAATATAAAAATCTTTCTGTTTAAAAAGTAATTTGAAAAAGTGAATAGAAAATAGTAGTATGCGTTTTTTGAGGAGTATACTTTCAAAAAATACACACGTATTTCCAGAGCGTACAAAGTGCCCAATTTTGTTTGTAAATTTTCGTTATTACCATGTCATATCGTACCAACGGAAAATGCATAACTTTGCAACCCTATTTAGTATCTCAGTCACCTTTAATCTAAGTTCATAACAAGGGTACGAGGACAGGTCAATAAGGTATGAGAAACAAAATTATTATTTTAAACGGTATATTTTGACTCATTTTGATTCAGCTTATTTACTTTTTTAGGAAGCCACAACAAGTATCGCATAATTTTAAAAACCCTAAAGTTTTAAACTATAAATATTTTTCAGTAGAAAATTATTTATGATACGTTTACGATCTCCCTCAATTGTGAAAATTCATCTTCCGTTCTCAATATCTAGCATTTATGTTTAGGACAAACAAAAAGTAAATAACGAACATTCTTGTGAGCACTATTTACATAACTTCTGGATTCCTCCTTCGTCGGTTTTTGCTGAGTAGAACTAGTTAAGTAAGAAGAAGAATTTTAGATTTATCGAATAACATTTTATGTCCGGTTTCGTGATTGTGTTCGGCAGCTGCACTTCCCTTAGTCTTAAGGGTCTTTCATATTCTTTGAGCCTAGTTGGTAATATTTTTCCTCTAGTCTCTCCAATGTATTCTTTGCCGCATACGCATAGAATGCTGTAAACTCAGCTCAAACGGAATTTTGTCTTTCACAGATCGAAGTTGTTGAGAGATTTTTGGTAAATATTAACCGTAATCAGATTTACCACTTGTCCAAATATCCGTCAAAGACCAAACTCCATTTGAGATGCCAGGAGTTTACAACATTCCATGCATATGCGGCAAAGACTACATTGGAGAGATCGGACGAAAAATATCAACTAGACTCAAAGAACATGAAAGACAAAATAAATAAGAAATAAAAGTTCAGATTTTCACGAAATTATATATTTTTACATGACAATTGTTTCGACAACGCCGTGTCTTTATCAAATGTTTATAATTAGACTAGACTTTTATGTTCGTTAATGCGTTTCTTGAAGGATCTACCTGCGAGTCCAATATAAATTTTAGGACACGATCCGCATTTCAATTTGTAGATTTGTGAGATTTTGGACATTTTGTATTATTGTTTTTTAAAAATTTTCCTATTGTGTTGTTAGTTCTGAAAGCTATTTTTAAACCACATTTTAACAAATGTTTTGAAGCTTTTTCACTGGGTTCTCCGCATTTCCGCATTCCAACCTGTAGACACCTGATTTTTGCGATTTTGGACTTTTAGTTTTATTGTTTTTTAAAAATTTTCCTATTGTATTGTTAGTTCCGAAAGCTATTTTTAAACGACATTTAAACTTTGAAATTTTTTTACTGGGTTCTCCTATGTATGTTATTGTTTTAAATTGTTCGTGTTCTGTATTAGGTTTCCGATAAGTAGAGTTTTCTGTTGTCTGGATTTGTTTTTTATTTATAATTTTATCTATAATGGACGGATCGTAGCCGTTATTCAGTGCAATTTGTTTAATGATTTTAAGTTCTTTATTGTAATTTTCTGTTGAGAGTGGCGTATTAAAAGAGTGAAATGCAGCCATTTTGTGTATAAGGGTGATTTGAGCTGTTATTTATGACTGTATCTGTGTGTGATGGTTTATGGTAAAAGTTAAGTCTAAAAAATTAATAGAGTTATCCTGTTCAATCTCGATAGTGAATTTTATACGATTATGTAATGAGTTAATGTAATTCAAAAGAGACGTGACACTTTTTACAAGATGCGCGCAAAGTAAAGCTACAAGAGTGGGCAAGGGTAACCCATTGAAATTGAAATCGCGTTAGCAAGGATCTAAAGAAATATTCATTTAGTGAACGAAAAGGCGCAAAAGATTCGGCTCCATAAACTTTTATTATTGACATTTTTTTAAAAATGTACAGGGTGCGCCGCATATTCAAAAAAACTATTATTGAAAATTGGCTATGTTTCAGATGTCAGTTTGTTTTGTGTATTGTACAGGGGGCTATACTTAAATACCTAACAGGTGCCCCAGATTTGCAGCTACCGATTTCAGATTTGGCTAACGAGACTGGGCGCCATCCAATAAGTATTTTTTAAAAAATTTTGAATTTTTTTTGGTGTCATTTTCGTTTGGAGAAAAAATTATTTTCTAGAAAACTATTAACCCGATCGAAAAAATTCTTTTACGAGGAAACGCGGAATATACGGTACTATACCGTCGGTCAAAAAAGTCTCCATACACATAGCATTTTTTCAGTTTTCTTTTAGTTTCTTCTTTCACTTACATTTAATAAGAAATATATTTCAAGTAAATATCGGCAATGTCATTATGAGTAATAAAAATAAAATAAAAATCATTTGAGACACTTTATAATAAGGCAATTTTAGATGCATTAAACTATGTCAAATAAGTCTCCGTACACTTTGATAAATCACTATTTGGAACTGCAGGTGGAACCGTTAATCATCAATATTTTATCAAGTCAGCTTGCATCAAATTTCGCTTAAACAAATGAGTTTATTTTTGACGCCACTTTTAAGTCAGTGGTTTTGCAAAAAAAAGCAAAAAAAAAGCAAAATGGGCGATAAAAATTGCGAAATTCCAATTTCGCTTCGAAGGATCATAGATCATAGATTTATGGAAAGAGAAAAAATCCTTTAGAAATATTGGTAAAATAATAAAAAAAATCACAATCTACTGAACAGTATGTAATGAATCAATACAAAACCCACCGGATTTTATAAATTGCGGCCACGTTCTGGTCGTCCCAGGAAGTTAACTGCACGAGAAGAGCCTTCTCAAACGAATTGAAACTCCTTGCATCTAGCAGGTTATAACGACCGCGTTGCCACAAGGAATTAATTAATTTCGGGAAAAAAATCGAAAAAAAAAAAACGTTTGGAATTTGGGAGTTTTGGGAAAACGTTAACTTTAGTGACGAAACAAAAATTAATCTTTTTGGGTCAGATGGTCGGGATAAAGTTTGGAGAAAAAAATACAGCCCTGAAAATCAAAAATGTCTGTCTTACGGTGAAGCATGGTGGAAATAATGTTTTATTGTGGCACAGGCAATTTATCTTTTATTGACGGAATCATGGACCAACATGGCTATTTGAACATCCTAAAGAATAATTTAATAATTATTAAAGAAAATGACAATTGTACAAAATAGTAGACCTTAAGAAACTTTTCAATCATAATCATAAGAAATAATAGTGTACGGTGACTTTTTTGACATAGTTTCTGGCTTCTAAAACTACCTTATTTTTTATCGTTTAAATCAAGTGTTTCAAATGATTTTTATTTTATTTTTATTACTCATAATGACATTGCCGATATTTACTTGAAATATAATTTCGCATAAAATGTAAGTGAAAGAATAAATTAAAAGAAAATTGAAAAAATACTTTTTTAACCGACTGTAAGTGTCATTTCAATTATTTTTTCAATTATATACAAAAATCTAAAAGTCCTTGAAAATTGTTCATCAGTTCAAACGACTTAGGCCGTAGCTAGAGCTACAATATTTATATTTACTATTTTTGTTATCACTTACGCTGTTCGATATATTTGAAAAAATCGATTTACGTAATTTAATAAAGGCTCTTCCCCGAGTAAAAATGATTTTAGTTTTACAACTTGGCGCGATGGAAGAACGGCATACCATTTTCAAATAAAAAATAAGTGAACTCGCGGAAAAATGTCAAAGCTGGTAACTGTCAACGCGAAAACGTACCACGTGACGTCACCAGCAAACTTTATTAATTTATTACGTTAATAATTCGCGTATGGTAAAAATGTTTACGGGAAATACTTTTTAAGTCCTATTAAGTGTTCTTATTCGCGTAGTGCGAAAAATTAATAGTAGGGTGAATGAGAAAAAGAAAAACAATCCCCATTGTTTCGTTCAAATAAAATTTGCCTCACGAAACCAATATTGTGATGTCTGCTTCCAGTTCAGTCACTACCAGTGCTATCACGGGGCAGACCAGAAAGGCAACGGGCTCAGTCTAAAATTTACCGTCAGAAGTAACAAAACGGCGGAAATCTTTCTGGTCCTGCGACTCGCGAACGGAAAAGTCTATTCTTATCCGGGTAACTAAAAACGTATGACAAGTTCGGAGACTAGAATGCTTAGTCGTAGGTGCTGAAAAAGTTCGCATCGCTAGTGTCAAAGAGAACCAATTTAAAGTAAACGGACTCACCGTCGAAACGTTGGAATCGTTTAAAAGGGTTCGCATCGTGTTCAACGGCCTATTAAGGGACATTAGTTGTAGGAGTTACGACAAGGTTGAGCACGTGCAGTTTAATTTCATGTAAGTGTATTTGAAGGTAGGAATGAAAAAAAAAATCTAGAGTTGTAAAGTCTATTTAAATTTTTTTATAGTAACCCAACTTTACTACCTATTCTTATCTATTCAGCAACACTGGAAGGTACCCTTACCCTTTTTTATTAACCGGTACTAGAAAAAGATTATATAAAAATTAAATTTTAAAAAATTAGTAATATAATTGGATCTGATTTTTGTTCATAATCGGTCCTTTATGGTTCAGAGGACCCTTTGCGAGTTGGTTCCGCCACAGAGCCACCGTCCTGATCATACTTTCACGATTTTAAGAACGCAGGTCACTTCCTAATAAATAATAAAAAAGAAAAATACCAATTCTTAATTTTAGATTACGGTATATCTTTAATATTTTCTACTCTATTTAAATTTAAGTATTTTTAAATGAAGGACATCAGTTTAAATTAAGAATTTCAATACGATATACGAGGTATGTTCAAAAAGTAAGGTGAGTTTTAAGTTTAATGTCCGGAGAATATGGCGGCTGAGGCATGTTTGTGGTTTTGTTTTTGACCGAAAATTTAGACACAAGCAACGATGAGTGAGCACGCGCCTTATCGTGATGCAAAATCGAAGAACTGTTAACTTAGAAATGCAAACTGGCTGAAACTGTGAATCAATGTTATGTGTACCAACATAATAAAAAAATATATATATCGAAGCTCGAATGTACGTAGAACGCCCAATTGCAAAAGTCGCCGTACTTTTCGAACGCACCTCGTATTTAAAGGTAGGTACGAATGTATACCATAAATTTATTTAAATCAACTGTAGTTCTTTATTTTAGGTAGCAGCAATTAACATGTTCATTCACTTCTTAGCTGAACAAATTTTTAAGAATTTTGTACCATGGGTTAATGAAAAAAAAAAGTTAAACTTCATTCTCTTTTTTTGTAAGATTTACTTTTAAAACCTTCCATTTTCGAGATTAAAAGAAAGAGTTGGTAATTAATTTTTTTCTTCGTCTAGAAGTAGGATCACACAAATTTACAAAACACATACAATAGAAAAACTAGTTTTGGTTTACTTTAAAAATATCTTCATTTTTACGGTAGAATTGCCATTTTCTCAATATAAAACTAGATCCAATCAAGCAGGTAGGATTCACTTCCTAATGATATAGCTATGCGCGCAGCACAGTTATAACACGGCAATAATTGATGCGCCTCAGGTGGCTCTGCTAGTATCCTAGAGATGGGAATGATATTCATTTCTCCTTGCCTCTATATTTCACCCAGTAACCTGCACTTTGAAGATTTAATGGGATCTGGAGACATTTTCAGAAAATATTGTACAGGGTTATCCATTATATTTCGACACCAACCTACAGCATTAATTTGGAAAGATAGAAAAAAAAAAGGATAAATACAAAAGTTTTTGAAGATTTTTGCTCTGCTATCTAAAGATCTACAGCGTGAATAAATAAGAAAAATAAGGAATAATAATATGAAATTTTGATGAAAACCTCATTATATTACTTTACGTTCAAGGCAAATTATTATGCTATTACGACACTTGACGTCATGACTGAATTTTACTTTATTAATTTTTATATTTCATATTTTTTAGAAAACCCTGAATATTCTATACCTGACGTTAAAAAATTATCCTGAAAGTCCTATAGTAAAAAGTCTCGCTCGTATAAGTTCCTTCCAGTGCAAAATTTAACCGATGAACATAAAAGGCAGAGGCTCGAATTTTGCACTGAAACGTATAGATGTCAAGAAGATGGAAAATTTCTAAACAAAACAATTTTGACGTTCACAACAGCAGGTGTATTTAATAGAAAAAATAAACATTTTTGGTCCACCAGTAATCCACACAAAATGCAGGCAGTGAAAATCCAAGGACGGACGTCAGTTAATGTATGTTGAACAATATGGTGGTCGGACCAATTATATACGAAGGTTCCTGGAATGGCCAACGATATTTAAATTTCCTTGCTACTGGAATAGAATGAATAGTTGTTAGAAAATGTCCAACCGGTTACCGATAATCTAAATAATAAATATAGACTTTGGATAGGTAGGCAAGGATTATGAAATCACCTGCCAATAGCTCCGACCTGAATCCTTGTGACATTTTTTGTGAGGATACTTAAAAAATAAAATTTATTATAATAGGCCTCAAAGTTTACAAGTGATAAGAGAAAGACTTAATATCGTTTTACAAGATCTAAACAGAGAAAACCTTGATTTTATTACCTCGTAATATTGCCCGATGTATAGAAAATAATGGAGGTTATGTGGAAATGTTTAGCATTAATTAATGATATTTTTATTGTTTGAATAATATCATTTTATTTTTTGGCTTTTTTCTTTCTCAGCACAACCCATTTGAAATATCTTATTTAACTTACGCTGCGGGTCTTTAGTTTTGATCGGATGTCAAAAGTAGAAAATTGCAAACATAGATAAAATGGTTGCTATCAAGGCAGACTTGACCATTTTTAAACAATATGGTTATTCTCCAAAAATTAAATAATTATTTCAAAACTCAATTATCTCAAAAACGACCAAATGAAATGTCAATAAACTATATGATTTTGAAATCAGGATAGGACAGGATTTAAGTTAATAATATATAGGGCATTATATTATGACAGCTTAGTTTGTTTTTTCTGACATTTGCAAAAATCCTCAAACTTCCGTATTTACACTTTTTCTCTATCTTTGAAAATTAACCCTGTAGGTGGGTGTCAAAATATATTGAATAACCCTGTACTAGGAGATTGTACTACGTCCATTATCGCGGCCAGATGTGTCACTACCCATTATCAACCAATTTGAATTCCAAGGCTAGCCTTCAGGACAGAACTTCGCTAGCCCCGAATCTTCTTACGTGCTGTCTGCATGACTCTTACTTTCAAATCAAAGATAAGTTTTACGCACGAGATGATGGCTCAAGCAATTGTTAAACCTACAGTCTGGCTTCGATATGTTGACGATACAGTAGTATACAGTAGCATTCGCAAGTTTGCCTTGATCACACCATTAGCAAAAAATAGCAATCCCTGCCAGTTCCAATTCTATTTGTCCATTCCATTTCCATTCGTCCAATCAGGATTATTCCAGCCTTATCTAAATTTTTGAAGGAAGTCATGAATGTACAAGTTTATGATTATGTTATTTCTAATCAAATTGTCTCTAACAGGATGTTGTAAAGCTTTTAGTACTATTAGTCTACTTTGTTAGATAATGGTCTTGCGACTGCACTTATATCTTTAAATTACTCTAAAGCCTTTGATCGGCTTGACCATAAACTTATGTGGGCCAAATTGAGTTACTCAGCTAACAGATATCAGAGAATTACCCTTGACAATGTAAGTTTTGAATTTCTCCCTGTTTCATCAGGTCTACCGCAATGTTCTCTCCTTGGACCTATATTATTCTTAATTAATATTTCTGATATTTATACATCCAACGAATATTTGAATTTGCATTTATTTGCTGATGACACTCAGCTATCTAACTCTCTCGATCCTAAATTATTTGATATTGCTTCAATTTATATCAATTATTTCTATATTCTTCTAGGCATAATCTTCAACTTGCTAAATGCTAAAAAATGCAGTGTAATGTTCTTTTCTTCTAAACCCAACATTGAACAAGTAAACCCAAATGTATTTATTAATTAACGGTGAACTTTTAAAAATTGTGAATTGCAATATATTTTATTATATTTGATTGTAGACTTAGATTCGTGGAACATGTATCTTTGTTGGTGAAAAAGTCTTACTTGGTTTTGCGCCATTTATACAGGCATAGAACTCTCCTTAATTTCAGTTCACTGAAACTTTTAGCTCATTCACTGGTCCTTTCGATTATGAACTGCGGTTTAGTCCTCTATTACCCATGTCTTTATAGTATGAATAAATATAGATTGCAGACTTATTTTCGGCTTGCGTAAATTTGATAGGATTAACTTTCAAAAAATTGACAGTACTTTCAAGTACTTTTTGGCGTCTATGGTTTTCCAAATTATTAGCACATCCAATCGGTCCGTAACTTTAAGGCACCCCTACAGACTCTCACTGCCACGACATCGTTTATTCCGCAGATCATTTTCTTATAACGCTGTTGTAATTTTTAATAGTATACCGGATTCAGTAAAATCACATTCAATTAAATTCTTTAAAAAATGTTTCAGGTTGAAACCGCTATTTCTATTGTTCCATATCACTATTACATTTATCAATTATTTAGATTTCAATTTAAACATTTAGTGGAGTAGCTTTTGCTAGACTTCGCCTCTTCTCTTTTTGTATATAACAACATACAACAATAAAGGCAATTTATTATTATAATTATTATTATACCTTTATCATCTGGAATGGAAACGATAGACAGCTAGATTTCTATTTCAATCATCTTCATCCTTTGTGACAATCCATTAAATTTACTAGTTCTAGTGGAAATAATGGTTCCGTCGGCACCTCTGTATATAGGAAACCTGCACATACCGGACAGTATTTAAATTTCAAATCTGAAGCAAATGTTCCATTTAATTAAAAATGTATTTTTTATTCTCGCCGGTTTTTTGAGCCACCTGGGTTTATTGAGGTTCATGATAAGTCATGACCATTTAGCGTGGGAGTATAATTGGGATCCGTTTTCAGATTTAATTGTTGCGCGTCGCCCAGATTCTTCCCTGCCGACGTAGAAGAAAATTTACTGATCGAAACGCTAGCGACGAGGCCGTGGAATGACGCCTCTTGGAAAAAATTCTTGTAGGCAAACGTCGTAAATATTGTCTATCGAAAAAGTGTGTATATGCGATGTCGTCTTGCAGGTCGGACCAGGCAGAAGGTTACGAGCAATTCGGTTCCCTCTTGGGCTTTGTTAAGGGAGACATTTTTCCGGAGGAAACGGTCCTTAATCTTCCGTGTTGCAGGTCGAGGTACTCCGGCATCGCCGATAGTCACTCCGTAGACAGGGAGGTGCGGATTTTTCTAGCCGAGCGGGACGGCGCGTTGATCAACTTGATATTGAAATCTTTCGGCGAAGGATCGTCCCAGTGAGCCGTTTCGTAGGTGTGCGGATGGCCTAGAGTTATTGTGTGGCTTTTAGATTGAACTACGGCTACGTGACTCATTTGCACAACATCACGGACCCGATCGTGGGTCAAGACATCAGGATAAGCTACGTCGGGAGGAACAAATCGTTGCCCGACGCTTTCGTAGCACACGTCCACAGTAAGTAATGCCTTTCGAGGTTATCTCTGATTCGACAAGCATAGATTAAACCAGACTAGACTAGATTAGCGAACTTCCATTGTCTTTAGTTTTTTGTTCAGACGACGTTTCGAGAAGTGCAGACTAATTTTACCTAATCAATCGCACTCAAAATGTAAAGTTGATGGAGTACGGGTACAGTTTGTTTTCATCTCTTCCTAATACTGAACCAAAACGCGTCTGTCACATTGCCAACGTAACTAAGCTAAACAACAAAAGTCACCAGACACCAAAGCAAGCTACCATGTAGGTTTCGGTTTTGGTTTGTAACACTTTTCGGAGAAATTTGCATTTTACTTAAGTAATAAGTAATACCAATTTACGAGGGCAGCGCCAAAATTTCCCGGCTTGAATATGCAAGAAAAAAGAAAGAAAGTAGAGTAACAATTTTTTATTATTTTGCAATAAAATCCCCCTTAACTTCACTACACTGATTACATCTCTTTATTAATAATTCAATCCCTTTAAAAAATATTCTTTTGGTTTGTCTGCAAAATGAGTTAAAACAGCCTCTTTTAACTCAACTTCCTCGTTAAACCGCCGTCTACGTAAGTCCTTTTTCAAATATCCAAAAAAATAATAGTCGCTGGGGGCTATATCTGGACTATAAGGAGGATGATCTATCTGTTGGAACCCACACTCTCAAATGGCAGCTTGTGCAACACCAACAGTGAGGTGCATTATCATGCAAAAGGTGCACGCCTCTATTCAGTTTTCCTCGACGTTTTACACGTATGCAGTCTTGCAATTTATGCAATAATGTTGCGTAATATTTACCATTGACAGAGGTCTTAGTGTCTTTAATATCTATCAAAAGAATTCCTTCACAATTCCAAAAGATCGTGGCCATCACCTTTTTTGTTGAGTGGCAGACTCTGAATTTTCTTGGAGGAGGTCTTACGACGCCACTCCATTGATTCTTTTTTCGATAGAGGGTCATAACAGAGAACCATAGTTTCATCTCTCGCCACAATAGTTTCTATCACAGGCTTCGGTTTCCACAGAGTTCCAAAAAAGACCGCGCACACTCGAGACGGTGTTGTTTTTGAATAGCCGAAAGGTTTTTAGGAACCCATCTTGCACTAACCTTATGCATACATAAATGATCACGCAGGATTCGACGATCACTTGTATTAGAAAGCTTAGTAATTTCTGAGATTTCCTTGACCTTTAAACGTCGATCACTCAATACCACCTCTTCCACAATCGCAATAATATCTTCCGTTATGACCTCCGTTGGTCGGCCAGTTCTTGAATCATCTGCAAGGGACTCCTGTCCCATTCGAATACGTTTTGCCCATTCTTTCACTACAGAATACGAAGGAGAACTTTGGCCGTACACACCATCCAGCCTTTCTTTAATAATTTTAGGTGTTAACCCTTCTTTTGTAAAAAACTTTATGACTGCTGTATACTCAATTTGCGTTATTTGCGACATTGTTTAAAATGCTGTCAATAAAAAATTATTTGACGCAAGACTTCAATTTTTTTTTCGCAGCCTACTAAGATGTATATTTAAAAGAAGGCCGGGAAATTTTGGCGCTAACCTCGGATTTCCAGGGCATCCATTGCATAGAATGTCTTCCACTGTCTTCTACTAGATTAGTGAACTTCTATTGTTTTTATTTTTTGTTTACACAACGTTTCGAGAAGTGCAGACTAAGACAGTTTCCCATTTTTCTAATTAATAAGTAATGTTGGTGGAGTAGTACAGTTTTATTTCACTGAACCAAAACGCGCCTGTCATATTGCCAACGTAACTAAACTAACCCACAAAAGTCACCAGACACTAAATCAAACTTCCAAGTAGGTTTTGGTTTGTAACACTTTTTGCAGAAATTTTTATTTTATTTAAGTAATAAGTAACAACATTAATTACAATGCGTGTGCACTTAACATGGTGCTCAAAATGTTTTTTTTAAATACAGGTTATAAAACAAATACTATCTGTTGCTCAAAATTATTTTTTATGTTTAATATTATACCACTTAAGGATTATTAAGTATGAAAGACACAGATGGGATGAGTTAATGAGCTTTAACAATAATAGGCGGACACTATAATCCAGCCTGGTTATACCATTCGTACTAAGCACGGAGCCAAGTTCTTTTATTTTTGTTCTAGTTTATTTTTCATTTTCATGAAATGGTTTATTCTTAAATTCGACGGCTATTTTTGGTATTTAGATAGTCTTGCATTCGGAATAATACCCACAGTTATCATTTCGTGTGTGTCTCGTGATGCTTGGTGGAAATATTTTTCATTTTTTTGTGCAAACCTTACCGCTAATTTTAATACATACAAGATGTGTTCAAAAAGTAAGGTGAGTTTTAAGTTTTATCATAAAGTATTTATTTATTTAAAGAAATTAATGTTGTCCTCTTCAGAAATCAAAAATTCCCCCCAGATATAATACACCTGTGCCAACGTTTTTTCTAATCCTCTGGAAACTGCTTGTACCACATATAAACAATATTAAACATATTATTATTATAGATCATTAACGTCGATATTAAAGACTTATTGGCACCAGCTCTCACTTCCAAGATAATTTATCATCTTTGTTTCGTTTCAGCCAAAGTTAAGGAATACAAATGCGTTTTCCACCTAAACAAGGACTTGATCTGCCCCAGCGAATCCGCAAAACTTGGTTACGAGATAATAAATGCTTACGCTGAATGTGATATCAATGCGAGCCAAGGAAGGGCCTTGTTGGAATTCACTTATTATGAACAATCCGGTAGGTGGTCTTTTTTTTATATCCGATACTATATTGAGAGAGTCAATATCAGGATGGTCCATTTTGAGGGCAGATAATAATTGATAATATTCTAAAGTCACAACTACTCTGACTGGCGTGATACACCAAAGATATGATAAAGTTTTGATATTATAATGATGGATTAGGTATCATTTTATTTACGATTAATAAAAAGTCCAGGTGCTTTTAAGATGATCTGTGAACGCATATAACTATAGTAGGTAGAGAAGGTATGGATACTTTGTTCTTTCACGAAATTACGGCAAAACCTACTACAAAAAGTAATGTTTATATATTTGACCTTTAACAAACTGGAAAATAGACTTACACAAATTTACTAAACAGAATTCCCTGCATTTTTAGGTACATTTAAACAGCTACGAAGGATGTTTGGGTAATATGTTTTAGTGTACAATAATTACAGGAAATACAAGAAAACGATTAAGCTTAAGTTGAATTTTTACTAGAAAAAGCATCTTAAAATACTTTCTTTAATTACTCCTCATCTGACACCTTTGGTGACGTTTATCATTAACCAATGTATTATTACCCGCAAATTTCCTTTATTGTGGAAGGAAGCTAATATAATACCTGTTGCTAAGATAACTGGATCTTCTATTAGCTTACTCTGTGTAATGTCTAAAATATTGGAGAGGGTTATATATGATCAACTTAATAATCATGTTGCTGATTCGAATATTTTGCCTGTCTCCCAATCTAGGTTTAGGCCCGGGCACAGTAAAACCACAGCACTGCTTAATGTCACTGATGACCTTTTTATGGATCAGGATGTGTTAAGAAATACTTTGAATTTGTTAGATTATAGCAAAGCCTTCGATACCTTAAATCATAGTCTTCTTATTTTAAAGGTTCTTCGGTTTAACCGACACCGCTATTGCTTTTATGGAAAGTTACTTGGAAAGTCGCCGGCAGAGGGTTACGTTGGGATTAGCGGTGTCTGACTTTATGCCAATTCTAAGGGGAATTCCGCAGGGCAGCATTTCGGGACCTTTATTGTTCTTTATCTACTCCTCTGACTGACAGATGCAAATATACTTATCATTCTCGGTCAAAGATGCTTTGTCTTATAATGGCGTAAATGAGGATCTTGAAGTGATTTCTAGAATCTCCAAAGCCCATGGTCTGAAATTAAATGATTCCAACACCCAGGTTGTTCTTTTCGGTAATAAAAAAGAGGAAATTATCCAGTATAAAGATCTGCAGACATCCTATGGGAAACTGAAAGTACTTTACAAGTATAAAGACGATGATGATGAGATTAGACTTAAATTGTGTGACTCTCTTATACTCTCTCTATTCTAATATGCGGACGTTGTATACTGGCCGGCTCTAAGACGGAAAGACCAATACAGCTTACAAAAATTGCAAAATGCCAGCTATATGTTGCGTAAATTTGATTATATAACGCCGGCACCCAAGGATTCTCAGTAGTTAAATCGGTCTCAAAGGTATTTTTTGCATCTGTCTACGTTAGTGTATAAAATTACTAAGTACGAAAAGCCCCGGTATCTCTATGATAGACTGGTCAGGGGTAGTGATATACATAACAGGGCGACTCGTCAGCGTAATCTGTTCTATGGTCCCAAACATAGTACGGCTGCGTTTTCACATATAACGCTATTAAACCTAACAATTCACTTCCACTGGATATTATTAGTTGTTCATCCACTTCAAAAAGTAATTAAAAGAGCTGGTGAGATTAAAGAGAGGCTGGACCGCTTAATTTTTTTTATATTTTTTTTTGCTTATTGTTTTTCTTTTAGTCGTTTTTGAATATTGCACTTGCTTTTTTCCTTGTCCTCCTCACATCCTCCTTGGTAGTATCCTAATAATGTTTCCAAGTATTATTTCATTCTTCCTTTATAAGTACTGTTTCCCAATCCTCTTTTATAAGTTCTGTTATCTGAGTTTCCCGGACTTAGATTTCCTCAGTGGTAAGCTCAGTGGTTATATTATTTTCCCGTTCCGTTGACATGTCCTCCAATGAGGGCACCTCCAGGCCGATATTTAGGTCCTCCTCAAAAAAATCTTTCCATATTTCTAGTATCATTTCTTCGACACCGATTAAGGCACCATGCTGACTCCTGACATAGCTTGGCAGCCTTTGATTTTTTACAACTCTGTAAACAATTCCAATTTCCTCGTTAACGTATTTTATGTGAGCTCTCTTCTTTTCCCTCAAAATTGTTTTTACTTTTCTTCTTTGGTTGTTATACTCAATTGTGTTTTGCTCAGACGTATTCCATAATATTTTGCGAGTCTGCGTCTGAGACATTTCTTTTCGTCGCTACTATAGCTTCCTTTTATATTATTCCATCTTTCTTCATTCGTGTCCTCTGAAGAAGCAGAAGATTTGTAAATAGTGTTCGTGTATTTAAGAATGCGTTTTGACGTTTTAGACGTTAACCAACAGAAACTTCGTCCCCTTCTACGCGAGAAGAAGGTCGATGCTTTGCCCGACGTCTTCATCGCGGATATAAAAAGTGAGGAGGCGAGAATTCTGGAACTGACAGGTGGCAAGGGCAATTCGCTGGCCCTGCTGTCATCATTGGAATCGGACGAAGTAAATTAAGCATTTCCCGACCTAATCGTCTTATTTTACAAATTGCGAATTTAGTTCTCGGTACCCGACGGATTCGTAGTGACCGTGAACGCGTTCAGACGTCAGCTAGAGGTCACTCCTAAATTGCAGACCCTCTTGACCGCATTAGATGAGGTTTTCTGCGGACGAAAAGATGGCGTTCCGGAAGAAGCATGTCAGGAGTACGTATTATTAGTTCGACACGTATATCTCGAAGGTCCACCCGGTGATTCAAATTATCTAAGAGGATTTTTCCGTATATATTTCAAATTAGAACAGATTGCCTTAAGCAGAATCACAAATCCTCAAAAATTGTTTGAAGTCGATGAGTGTTATCGTTTGGCCACAAATCGATTTTTTATTCCTAACAGAACTTAATGAAATTTAAAAAAGTTATTGTCACAATCCGTTAAACATTAGTTTCTACTAAAAGACCTTATTATCCAACTGCTACTGTGATGTCCATTCAGGAATATTCAAATACTGAATATCGCGATTGCTACGGAAGAGCAAATAGAAATGCAGACCAAGCACGACTGCTTGATATCGACAATAGCAACGTTCTATCTGCCCAGAAATTCATCAACATACACAGAAGACGCTGCAAGAGAAGAAAGACACTTCAAAATGTGGAGGATAACCCGTCAACGAGCACGAGAAAACATGTTGCTCACTAAAGAATTGCTTGCTCTACAGTTCAGGAAGTTTTGCATGAAAATGATCTTGGGTCCTTTCAGAGTGATGACAATTTTAAGCAATCAAAGTTTAGGAAAAATTCAAAATTCTTAAACGTAGTTTTGTTCACTGACGAGGCTGGATTCAGTCTTGATGGCATCGTAAATTTTCGAAATATGCATCAGTGGACCATTGAAAACCCGCATATAAAAATTGAAGGAAAATAGCGCCGGTTTTCTTTAAATTTATGGACAGACATCTTACAGGACCTCATTTCTTTAACGGATTGTTTAATAAGGAAATGTATTTGCAATTTCTCCAAACGGAGGTAGCTTTGCAGTGGAGACAAAACATGTGGTTAATGCAATATGGCGCTCCACACCATTTTCCATTGGCGGTACGAAGTTTTTAAATCATGCATTTGAACATGGACGGGTAGGTCAGGGCGGACTTCTAGCTTGGCCGCCTCGCTTACCAGACCTCAATCCGATGAACGTTTTTTGGGGACACTTAAAGTCTTTAGTGTATGAAACACCTATACCAGACATCAATGATCTATAAGAAAAAATTAAAAATACTTTTTACAAAACTTCTAGATTCTTCCTGCGTCGGATTTTGCTGAGTCGAACTTGCTGACGTTTCGTCAATCATCCTCTTGGCTTCTTCAGAGCTTGGCTGAAACTGTACCTACTTATATATTGTTTGAGGGGGGCGGAGCTAAATGAGGGCATAAACGCCGTCTCGGGTGACAGGTAAAAACCTGAGTCGCGTTTAAGATTGTTAGGTTGTTTATAGAATTCTATAGACTCTCGGATTTTTCGTTGGTAGAAGAATTGATTACATGCAGGAATTTTAGTTTCATCGAATAAAATTTTCTGTCCGGTTTCGTGATTGTGTTCGGCAACAGCTGATTAGTTTATTCGTCTTAGTCGTAAGGCTGTTTCGTGTTCTTTGAGCATAGCTGATTTTTTTCGTCCGGTCTCTCCAATGTGAACTCCTGACATCTCAAATGGAATTTTGTCTTTGACGGACCGAAGGTGTTGAGATATTTTTGGACAAGTGGTACATCTGGTTTTGACGTTATACTTCTTTAGAACTTTTGATATGTGGTCAGTGATGTTTTGAATGTAAGGAAGGACCACAGTGGCAAGTGTAGGATTGCATTCGGCCTCATTGCTATTGGAAGGTTGTGGTGAAGTATATTTTTTGATGGAACGTTTGTTATCTTTAATGCAGAAATTATTAGAGAGAAGAGCAGAGGTAAGGTGTTTTAATTCTGGGTTCAGTGACTCGGGCTGAGACAGTTTTACGACTCTGTAAACAATAGAGTTGATAACCGGTGATTTTTAATCCGGATCGGTCTGTGTGCGTAGTTTTTCTGTAAACTCAATGACCCAATGTTAGGTCTGATTTTCTATTGATGAGAATATCTAAGAATGGAAGGCTATTATTAGTTTCCAACTCAATGGTAAAACGTATGCTAGGTTGTACAGAGTTTAAATGTCTAAGAAAATCTACTAGGGTTAACAAAAGTATCATCGACGTAGCATTTCCGTAATTTTGGTTTTATATGAAAGGTGTCGAGAGCTTTCTTCTCACAGGTGAGAAGGTTTTTTTCCAGATTCTCTGAATTTAATATATCTGAAATTATGTGGAGATTTTCAGGAATAGGAAATTTGGTAAACAGGGATTCTATGTCAAAACTACTAGAATATCTTGTGTATCTAATGTAATGCCTTTTAATTGTTCAATGAAGTGAAAGGAATTAAGTACGAAAATGTCAGTTTTCCCTGTGAGGGGTTTTAATAAGGAAGCTAGATATTTTGCTAGAGAATATGTTAGAGAACCAATGGTGCTGGCAATAGGTCGAAGGGGTAATCCTGGTTTGTGGATCTTTGGGAGTCCGTAGAGACGAGGAATTTTAGAGTCATGGGGAGTGATTTTTTCACGGAGTCTGATAGAGAAGAAGCCTTAATAACAGATTTAAGGTTGCGATCGATAGATGTTTTGTAGGATCTTTTTTAAGTTGGCGATATGATCCGTCTGTAAGAATATCTTGAATCTTTTCCTGATATTCATTTGTGTCCATCACCACAGTAGCATTTCCTCTACCTGCTTTCTACCAACGAAAAATCCGAGAGTATATAGAAATCTATAAACAACCTAATTATTACTATTATTATGATTAATTTTTTATTTTTATTATTTTTTAATTTTAAGTTAAACGATAACACTCATCGACCCAAAACAAGGCAATCTGTTCTATTTGGCAATATCGGCCTAAATAAATAAAATACAGGGAAAATTTAAAAAAATATTCTAGGTAAAGGGCCCTCTAGTGACAGATTTCTGAAACACCTTTATTTTGTAAAGATGATTTTTCCTAAATCAGGGCTGCGTGTAAGATACCAGCTTATGAGCATTAAGTACACTGCGTTTAAAAAAAAAACGAAAAAAAAAAGAATTTCGACAAGCTGTAGCTCGGAAAATATTATGATTTCGACTTACGACTTACGACATGACTTCCCAGATAGCACACAATATCCAGTATATCCGGTCAATATCCCATTTAAATCTCATGTCCCGGGACATGTGGAGGAGATTTTTAGGATATACGTTTGCATATATACTAAGGATAGACTGTAAAATACATCCCAGGGATATCCACTGAATGGATAGTTTGCAGATTTACTATACACGATATACCACAGATATCCACTAAATAGATGGCCTGAGGCATCATAATGGGAACATTAGAATAGAAACCTAAAAAGTTCAATTTTGAACAACCGAGAAGGAAAATACATAGTTTTTTAGATTTGTCGTGTTTTGGGATGCATATTATTGGCAACGTTTTTCTGCGCATCTACATCGACGTCAGTGTTGGCATGTCCTAAAAAAACCGGAATCAAACCGTTAAACTCCACTGGTTTTTATTATTTTTGGACACGAATGAGACAAGAAACGCTATTTTAATAAAAATACCACAGAAAATACGGATTCATCTAAGTAAAAAAAATACAAAAACGTAACAATCATATATTTGTTTATAAGATTCCATTTGACAACACTGTTCGTCTGCAACCAATGACGCAACTACTCGCGGTCGTGCCGTGCCGGACCCGCTCGAGTCTCATCGGGTTCTCCTCCATCTCGTCGTCCGCCATATTTTCAGCATTGTTTTTGTAGGCGGCATACGGTATACGGCAACTTGGAGTCTATTTTGAGTATTTTCCGTTCTGTGCTTACTGCTTGCAGTACTGCATGAAAGTACTGCTGCTTGCAGTACTTTCATTTCAGTTAATATTTTGTGATATTGTTATTACTGATGAACTAATGATTCATGTAAGTAAAGCTTTATGGTGATATATAACATAAGATTTGATAAATTCCAAGCTGAACAAACCATTGTTGTGTAGTTTACCAACATCATGAGTCATGAGTTTGTAAAACAAGCTCTGACTCCGCTGATTTCAAATGAACTTGCAATGAAATTTAATTGGTTGAGCATGAAAAAAAAAGGAGGAATTTTCAAAATTAATACTTGGTAAGTAGGTGTAAATAAATAAGTATAGGAATATAATTTAATAAAATATATATTATGGTGATTGCTTAGTTGAGACTTTTTTTAAATAGTGATTAGTCGACCGAGTTAAGGTAAGATAAAACTGACTTTTTTGTAACCTATATGCTTTTTAGATTACATATATTTGTTTTATTTTAGACTTCTTTTCTTATCTTATTGCTCAGTTTTTGAAAACAAAAATAAAATCCACTTTCTCTTCATATTTTTTGGGGCAGTTAAATTTAGGCATACAAAACTAAACTAATTATTTATTTAAGCAAGCAATGTTAGAGAAAATCCCCCAGAACAAAATTATATTTTTAGTCATATAGTATGGTTAGTATATTTTTTTTCTTAAAATGGATGCAAGAATCACCACGCAAAAAGAAAGTATTAATTTTAGGAATCAGACTTCATAAAGTACAATTTTCACATTAAAATGGTTGTTAGATTAATTCATGGATTTTTTTAAGGCTTGTTTGATGGTGATAGTCGGTACCATCACGAGCAAAAAAAACAAAGAAAATTTTTAGGTTGACAAAAAATATTGCATTAAAATAGGCCTTTACTGTAAAACTGAAAAGTCATATTTGTTCCAGTTTTTTTTTGCGCGCGATAGTACTACTCTCATGAAAGAGATCTTACCTATGAGAGTTTAATGAGGTTTGTATCTAATGAAATGAAATAGATAACATAATACATATAAGGCAGATGTTGGGATTTTTTAAATCTGTTTTCTAAACATATAAGACACCTGTCTCGTTCTTTTTTTATAATTTTTATATATTTTCAGATCCTGATAAGAAGGCAAATACATCACAAACATAAAAAGAATGTGAGAATTCAATAGCTGCTTGGCTGAAAAAAGCTACTTTCATCAAAGAATGACAGAAAATCTGTGAAATATTAATTAATCTTTCAGAATTTTTTCAAGATGTAGTAACTTACTCTATTTGTAAGATACTTTATAGTAGGTTGTTCTATATTTTTGCTATATTATATACCTACAATTTGTTCATATCTACAATAGAAAAAACAGATGTGCATAAAATGTGTTTTATTAATGGTTTCAGTCGGCACTCCTTCACTTTTACCACCAATTGCAATTAATTGCACTGTGGACGTTCCAATTAATAACATCGTATTTCCTGGAGACGTTTTAAGGATGTCCCTTAGCTGAAACAGTATATCCCTAGGATATACGCTATGTCCCGTCAGATATCCCGACGATGTTTTACGAACGTCCTTGTGCTATTTGGGTTACTACCCTTTTTTTACCAAGTTGAATCTTTCCACCAGCGTTCATTGAATAACAGTAAAATTATAGAGGGAACTCCTTCACTAATACTAATGTGGAGATTTCTTAGCTTCGGTTGGTCAGTTCGGTTATAATTCATAGTTATGTGAACACCACGATGAAATAAAGGCTTCACGGATTCATTCATCGGTCCACAACGCATATATGATTCCAGAGTACTGCTAGCATTTCACGATGAATCCATATCTCCCGAAATTGTAACACCCTTGCTCAAGAATTTGAGAAGGATGAAAGCGGAGGAGCCGGAGGCGGTGAGCTGGGCCATTAGGTCTTCAGCTATAGGCGAAGACTCCGAAGAACTATCGGCGGCGGGACAGAACGAAACCTTTTTAGGGTGCGTCACCGAAGAGCAAGTCTTGAAGGGCGTGTCGGCGTGTTGGGGATCGCTTTTCACGTACCAAAGCGTCCAGTATAGATGGTAAGTCTGACGAAAGTCGTTGAAAATACGAAATTACTGGCATCATACTCAAGGCAACACGGTCTGCCCGTTATCTCGGACATGGCGGTCGTGGTACAGAAAATGGTACCGGCCGAATCAGCCGGGGTACTTTTTACGTGGCACCCCACTTCGTCGAACCCATCGCAAATGGTTGTCACTTCAAATTTTGGACTCGGCGAGGTAAGTGATCTCCCGTCTGTTTCTTTGTACAGGGTGATCGGTTTAAGAGGGGCCTATAGCCTATCTGAAAATCTTTCTAGTAAAATGATGTTTAATTTTTTTGCATCATCTCAATTGTCTATCAATTACACACATCTTATATTTTATTACATTTTTAAAGGGATATTTAAAAGATTGGCATATATATTCAGGATTCAGGTTATGTTAAGTTTTTGAAACATTTTTTCGCGTAATATATTTTAAAAAATAGTACTTTTTCCCAGATATTGTTCAAAATGGAAATATTACGTACCCCCTGTATATGGTTCCATTTTCCGATAGTCCTATAAAAGATGACGAATGTTTTTCTGACTTTCTAGGTAATATTAACCCAATCATACTCAAATATGGATTTAAATTACCGTAAAAATCGCAGATTATTTTATCTTTTAAAACAGTGACATTTTAGAAACCTTTAATCAATCAACAATTTCCCTCATGGCCACCATTTTGAATAATGCAAATACTACATACTCTCTATGTCAATAATTTAAAAAATATAACTTCATACGAATATAAGCTAACCAAAAAAGCAAAACCAAGGAAACTCTTTATAATGGATTTTGAAAAAAATCTTCATCTGCCGAATATTACAACTAATGACACGTATTATCGTAGATATCTTTCCTTCTACATGTTCAACATACATGTTTTCCTGATCGTGATCCGATAGAAATATCCTTGAACAAAACCAAGCTCTTTTAAAGTTATTTCTTACGAAAATTAGTCCATTATTAATAGTTGGATATTTATATGGCCAAGTATTTTTTTCCTTCGAGACCGGTCAAAGAATTAATTGTAACCGAAAATCACCCTCGTATGATACATAGGAAAAGTTGACGGGCCAATACTAAGCAAAATTTTAAGACCTCGAGCCGATCTAAAAAGATTCTGTCCTCAAAAAGCGTAGGATTTTTTTACAGCAATACCACATTGATAAGATTAAAATAATAGATTATTCATTGTATAGAACCTCTATACACCTTCGTGTGTGGACTGTATCTTGCTCTCGTACCGTCAAACGCACTTTCCTGTGTGGTGGTCAGTTCGGTACTGGCGCGCTGGGCGGCATCCCTTCGGCTGCACAAACGGTCTGGCACGCACTTGGATCGTGATTGATGCATGATAGTCACGTGACTCTGGCGTGTTCACACATAGCGGGGTTTCACATATAGCAACGAAAACTAATAGGTTCTTAACATGCCCCCCGCCTTGAAAGAATGTAAGTTGTTTCAAAATGAGAAAGTTCAAACTAAACACTTATTACAATGGTCAAATGAAACTTAAACATGATGACAAAGTGACAGGTAGAAAAATAAAAAATGTAATTTAAAGGTCAGTAATTGGAAGCGGACACAACTTTAGGACAGCGCGTTTTATCACTCCCGATGTGGTCTTGACTGAAACGACGCGCACAATATTGTCACTACCTGGATGAAGTTCAACTATACGCCCTAGCCGCCATTTGAACGGGGGTAAATTGTCATCGCGAACTAAAACCATTGTACCAACTACAAGATTATGCTGATTCTTTTTCCATTTAACTCTTTCTTGTAATTGACCAATATATTCCTTCGTCCATCTTTTCCAAAAGTGTTGTTTAAGGACTTCCAATTGTTCAAAGTGAGAAAGACGATTCAAAGGAATATCCTGTACATTTGGATAGGAAATTGATTGAAGTGAACGACCAACTAATAGATGAGCTGGAGTTAACACCCCTAGGTCGTTTGGGTCAGAAGAGAGTGGCGTTAGAGGTCGAGAATTCATTACGGCCTCTATCTGCGTGAGAACTGTGTAAAAACTTTCAAATGTTAAAAGGACATTAGATAGTATTCTTTTGATGTGATGCTTCGCTGATTTCACTCCTGCCTCCCAGAGACCTCCGTGGTGAGGCGAGTAGGCTGCTATAAAATGCCACTGTATATTTAAGTCCAATCCGCACTGATTTTTTACAGAATCTGAGTTGTTTCTTAAAAAATCGCCCAATTCTTTCAACTGATTACTAGCCCCCTTAAAGTTGGTACCATTGTCAGTATATATGTTGGTTGGTCTACCCCTGCGAGCTATGAACCGTTGAAATGTCTCTAGAAAGGCTTGTGTTGACAATTCAGTGACAAGTTCGAGATGAACTGCCTTGCTAGTCAAACAAATAAAAAGTGCGAGATAGCATTTTTGTATTTTACATCCGCGTCCCTTGCGATCTTTTATTTGGAAAGGGCCGGCGTAATCAATGCCTGTGTCTGAAAAAGGTGGCCTTGGTGAAATTCGCGCCTCTGGAAGATTACCCATTATTGGAGTCGGAATAGTGGGATTAAATCGAAAGCACACAATGCATTCTCTTACAATGCGCTTGGCAAGATTTCTACCTGCGACTGGCCAGAAAGTTTCCCTGATATGGGAGAGAAGTAATTGTGGGCCGCAATGCAGAAGGACTTTGTGTTCGTACCTAAATAACAAGTAGGTAAAATGATGTTTTGAACATAAAAGTGCTGGGTGCCTTTTATGAAATGGGTATAATGAATGTTTAAGTCTACCTCCTACACGAAGACCATCGTCAAGAAAAGGGGTCAAACTAAGAAGTCTGCTTCTTGAGGAAACCTGATTTAACTTTGAAAATTCATGTATTTCCCTTGAAAAGCTTTCGCGTTGAGACAACTTGGTTAAAACTTCCTTTGCATGACGGAGTTCGAAGATTGTTAAAGGTTTGTGATGTCCCTTGGAAGACTTTATTTTGCATAATTTTAAGATTGATGAAACATCCTGACACAAATGTACTGCCTCTTCGAAACTGTCAGCTCCAAATAGCAAATCATCGACGTAGAAATCCTTACTGATGACTCGAGATGCATGAGGATTCAATGATTCGTATTCGATAGCTAACTGTTTTAAGCAGCGTGTGGCTAGAAAAGGAGCACTTGCCGTGCCATAAGTCACAGTATTAAGAGAGAAAGTTTGAAGTTCATCCATGGGATCTGCTCTCCATAGAATAAGCTGCAAAGGATGATACTCCTCTTGGACTAATATTTGTCGGTACATTTTACAGATGTCTGCAGAAATTACATACTGGTGTTGCCGAAATCTTAGCATGATGGAAACCAGATCATCTTGTACCACAGGCCCAACCATCTGGATAGAATTGTAGGATACACCTGATGAAGAGGGAGCTGAGCTGTTAAAGACTACTCTAAGTTTCGTAGTAGAGCTATCCTCCTTTAGAACGCCATGGTGTGGTGAATAGTATCTAGGTTTGGAATTGGATGAAGCAAAAATTGACATGTGGCCTAGATCGTGGTATTCGGTCATAAAATCTGTGTACATGGCCTTTAATTTGGGATTTTTCGAAAGTTTGCGTTCCAGCTGCAAGAATTGGTTTGTTGCCTGTAACTTGGAATCCCCTAAAACTTCTGATGATTTCTTAAGTGGAATGGCTACAGTGAATCTACCATTTGAACAGCGCTTAAAATTATCAGAGAAGTGTTTTTCGGCTTGAAATTCCTCATCCGACAGGATCGGCTCACTTGACAACTCTTCGATTTCCCAAAACTTGGCTAACTGCTTTTGAACATCTAAAGTGGAGAGATGACAGAAAGAATGATTTGGGGTGGAAATGCCTAACGGACCAGAAATGAACCATCCTAATCTACTGTTTTGTAGAATAGGCTTGTGTGACCCGAGAGATATCTTTTCATTATCAAGTAAATCCCAAAATGTATCTGCGCCAATTAGAAGATCTACTTGACCTGGTTCATGAAATTTAGGATCGGCTAACTGACAGTGGGATGGTATTTCTAACTGGATGGGATCGAAATAGCAATTCGGTAATTCACCCGTAATTTGTGGGATAACTAAACAAGTTAGTTGTCTTGAAAACTTGGAATAACAAGATTTGAATTTGACAAAGCATGAGTGTTTTATGCTGGAATTGCTTTGACCAATGCCTAAAATTGAGGAATTGAATTTGTGTTTTTCGACACCTAATTTGTTAACAAATTCTGAAGTAAAAAAGTTGGACATTGAAGCACTGTCAAGAAGTGCTCTGCATAAATGTTTTTCACCATCAGAATCAAATACTTCAACTACCGCGGTGGCAAGCAAAACTTGGCTTTCGGGGTAGGAATTGTGTAATGTTACTTTACCTTCAATAGGAGTTTTCGATGATTCGGGTTTTGAATCAGAAGAAGTAATCGATTCCTTTTCCGATTCAGCTTGATGCAATAGCGAGTTGTGTTTTTGATTACACTGCCTGCAGTGACCTGAACGACACTTTTCAACAGGATGCCCACTGTGTAAGCAATTGGGGCACAATTTTAAAGATTGAACTGTTTTATATCGTTGGTCAATGGACAGTGCTAGAAACTTCGGACATTGAAAAATGGAATGCTGTTCTTTGCAATGATAACATGCAAATGTCTTCTTTTCATGAGAGGAATAAAATGCTTTCTTTGGTTTTCCTTTGTGCATTGAAACTTTGTCAAGAAAATGAGCGCGATTTGAAAGAAATGATTTTAATTCTGATAAGGTGGGCAGTTCCTCATTGAACTCTAGCTGTTCCCATTCTCTTATCGTATCGACATCTAATTTGCTCGTTATCAAAAATATGATCAAAGGATCCCAAAACTGAGTTTTTATTCCTAAATTTTCAAGTGAACGCATGTTTTTTGAAATGATATCGACTAAATTTCTAAAAGAATTTGACGAATCAGATTTAATATCATGAATGTTGAAAAGAGCCTTAATGTGATTGTGAACCAACAAAGGCTTGTTCTCGAAACGCTGACATAAAATGTCCCACGCTACATCATAATTTTCGGAGGAAATATCAATGGATTGGATACAGTGAACTGCTGGCCCTTCTAGTGAAGCTTTCAGGTAATGGAATTTTTCGATAGAATCAAGATATTCACTTTTGTGTACAAGTGAGACGAAAGTATCTCGAAATTCTTGCCATCGCTCATATTGAC